AATAATTAAAATAATTTAATTTAATTAAATACTTAAAGTAATAAGATTTTAGGAGATTAATTTCTTATTCTATATTCTTAATTACCTGAAGTTATTATTAATAATTTATTATTTAATTTTAATAATTATAATGATTTTTATAAATTACTATCCTTAAAAAAAAATAGGTTAGAATCACCTGACCCAGGATCTTTAAAAATATCTTAAAATTTTGTATTAGCTTAAATTAGTAATAATAAATTGTATTAAAATGATTTGCCTATTAAGCTAATTAATTAGAATAAAATAATGAATTCGCCCTTTTATAATAATTAGCTAAATATATGTAAAATTGAATATAATTAATTAACTAAAATAAATATCTGGGAAGTTATTCCTAAAATGGATAATTTAATTTAAAAGATTTTATTATTAAAATAGATATAGAAATATAAATTTATTAATTAAGATTAATTATTAAAATTTAAAGCAAGAATATATGTTCGCGGAGACCTTTAACTAATTAATAATCTTGATTCTAGGGCCATTACTCTAGCTATATAAATATTTAGGACTATTATAGCCCTAATTATTACTTTTAACTTTAAAATAGCTTAATGGGATATAGTAAATGTATTTCTAAATAATAAATTAAATAAATTAATTTATGTTTTACCGCCTCCCGGATTTATTTAACAAAATAAGGTTTTTAAGCTAAAAGAAGCTTTATATAGATTATGCTGATCCCTATTATTATAATAATATAAAATAAGGAATACTTTATAAAAATTAGGCCTAAAATTAGTGCCTGAAGATCTCTGCCTATTTATAAATAATTATATAATTTTAATGATTTATGTGGATAATATTATTTTATTATATAATTAAAATCATTAATCGAAAATCAACGAATTGAAAAATCAATTATTTTTAATATATGATCTAAAGGATTTAGATAAAATTCACTAATTCCTAAATATAAAGGTTATTTAAAACCGGTAAAATTAAATAATTTAGCTTAATTAAGCGGATTATATTAAAAAAGTTGCTTACTACTTTGAATTAGCTAATTAAAATTTACTTAAAATACTCTTATTATCTGGTAATTTAAGTGAATTTATAGGATAACCGCTTACTAAGCCTTATTATATAGATTATTAAAAAAAATTAGCTCAGTCTTATATCCCGCAGTTATTTCTAGGCCAGATATTGTAAAAAGTTGCGAAATCCTTACAGAATATATAGCTAAACCTTATTTAAACTATATAAATATAGTAAATCACCTAATTTTATTTATTTATAAAACCTGATTTAATTTAATTTAATATAGTCTTAATTTAATAGATTAATTAAAATCACTACCAATTTTCAAAATAATTAGTAATATAACCTATATATCACGGAACAGGATCACTGGGCATATTTAGTAGTTATTCTGTTATACTACTAGCAAAAGACTAGTATGTAAAGCCGAAGGCTTTACACTGCGCTTACATATATAAACCCCAGACAGGAATAGGAACAGGAACAGGAACAGAAACAGGAATAGAACAGAACACAGCTGCACGGTACTAGGTTATACCGTGATACTATACAGATTTATTACAAAGAAAGTCATCTAAAGGTTTTATATGTTACTTATTTAGCAGATCTATTAATTGGTTAGCTAGAAAGCAAAAAATAATTATTTTATCTATTACTAAAGCAGAATTATTAGTTCTAATTACAGCTAGTAAGCATTTTCTATGGTAGAAATGCTTATTTACTGCTATAGGGTTTAATCCTGAAGAAAAACTATATATTTATTATAATAATTATTAAACAATTGACCTGCTTACTAAGCCTAATTTAATTTATAAAATTAAATTAAAATATATAAATATTAGTAATTACTGGCTTAGGCAAAAAATCAAGAAGAAATCTATTAAATTAAAATGGGTCTCTACTAATTAAATAATTACAGATAGCCTTATTAAACACCTGACTAAGCAGGAATATATAAAATTTATTAAATAACTGAATATAGTTAATATTTAATATTTTATTAAATAATAATTAATTATTTAATATTTATAGTTTTAATTAATACTTTATTGATTTAAACTGAAGGGGTGTATTAATTAGGGTTATCTAATATTATCTAATTTATTAGAATTATCTAATCTTGTTCTATAACCAAAATTATTCAAAATTTACTATAACTTTACTCTCACTTTATTGAACTCTTACTTCTACCACTAAATTATATAAGAAAAGTGAGATAAAACTGAGCTTATTATAAGCAGAAAATAAAAAAGAAAAATTTCTGAAGAATTTTTTATTTTAGACTAGTTTATTTTTCTAATTAGGAAATCACTAGTTGCTAGAACCCTATAAAAATTAGAAAATATAATTTAATAAATTTCTTATTTAGGAAATTAAAAGTTTATTTTAACTACTGTAATTAATGGCTTTGTTCAGATGATTAATACAAAAGGTCTAGAATATCTTGTCTATTTATTTTATAAGCTATAAAGTGAATATTGCTACTCTAATTATTCTAATATTATTTAAATAATTTTATTATAATTTATATATTAAATTTTAATTATTTTAATTATTCTAATTATGAAATCTTGATTATTTGATTATTTTAATAATTAAATATTAATCTAATAATAATCTATGAGGTTGATCTTGAAGGCCTAGGTTAATAATATAATTTATAGATAAAGGCCTAAAAAGATCTGATGATTCTATATTTGTAATATTTGTTTAGGGCCAAATTAAATTAGCCCTAATTTAATTATTTATAAATATGCAGTTAATGACCTGTATTAATTTATTCTTTTTATTAAGTTAATTTACCCATTTAATTTATTTAATTGGATTTTATTTATTCATTCAATTAATTTTACCTATCTACATGTATAGCGAATGGTAAGACCTCTGGTCTATCTATTTCAGATCTAGGTGGTCCAGGTGAACTGTTTACTTCATCTGACTGATTGATTTCCTTATTCTATCTAGCCATTTGAAATTTCTATTCAACCCACGTGACCTACCTACCCCATCTGACATTAACTTATATATTTATTATTTAAAATTTTTATTTAATATAAAAATTTATTTTATATTTAATATAAACTTATTTATTCCTGCTAGCTCAGATATTTTACTTAATTAATAAAATTTTTTTTTATCTTATATTAAAATTAATAAATTTAAAGAACAAGAGATTAAAAATATTCTTAATTTATTTCAAAATTATTATAGCTGTAATTACTCTTATTTAATATATATTATAAAATAAGTTAAATATATAAACCCTATTATTAAATTTACTAATTACCTAAAACATATTAAATAAATTATTTAAAATTATTATTACTAATACTTTAATAAATCTAGCCCTTTTTAATTTTAATAAAATTTAGTTATAAAAAGGGAATATATTATTATAATATAAATCTAAAAATATTATTAAGCCCGCTAGAATTAAAAAAAAAACTATTAAGCTAAAAAAACCTATTTCTAATTTTAATCCCTTAACTACTTAAAAGTCTAAATATTAAAAATTTTATTATAACTTTTTAAGCTATATCTTATTTATTATTTTATATATAGCCTGACTATAGTAATAATTAAAGACCTTGTGAACCTAGCCCGCCTAATCCAGCCAGACCGCCTGCCCTGCCTGCCCCTTGTCACGGTGCAACCTGGCACCGTGGTGCAGCTCTGTTCTGTTCTGTTTCTACTAGTTTTTACCAGTTTCTCCTGTACCTGTTCTTCCTGCCTGGGGTTTATATATACGAGTGTAATATAAAGCCTTTAGTTTTATATACTAATCTTTTATTTAATATAATAATTTAGTTTTTAAATACGCCTAAAGGCAATATTATAATATTATATAAAACTTATTTATATAATCACGTGTTTAAATCTGTCCCGGGTTAAGTTAGGATTTTATTTATAATAATTAATATATATCTATATATAAAGGCTAATATATATACCTACCCGCCTGCCTGGCTTACCGCCTACTATATTAAGGGACTAATATAATAAAGGGGGGGTGTACTATTACAGTACAACCTAGTACCGTGGTGTAGCTCTGTTTTATTTTGTTTCTACCAGTTTTTACTAGTTTCTCCCGTACCTATTCTTCCTGCCTGGGGTTTATATATGCAAGCGCAGTGTAAAGCCTTCGGCTTTATATACTAGTCTTTTGTTTAGTGCAGTGGTTTAGCTTTTGAATGCGCCCAAAGGCAACACCATGACACCCCTGCTGCACCAACTCTACCAACCCGCCAGCCTGCACCTTGACACTTAATGCTGCTAACTAGTAAGTAGAAAAGTAGAAAACGCTGAGGATATAAGAGAAAGTATAACTATTATTTTTTTTATTTATATTTTAATAACCTTCTAATAGGGGTCTCAGGATAGCCAATGTATTGTTTTTATATAAGCACTCGCCCGCGCTGTCAGGCGCGGGTTTCCAGACTTGTTGGTTTTATGACCCAAGGCATGGCTTGGACACTACTCCACTGGGTGAACTTCGGCCCTCTGGCATTGCGTCTAGGCTATGTTGTTCATGCTCTCCCAATTGATGGGTGATTTAACAAATTCTTTTGTCACGTATATGCCGGTTCTGTCTCTGCAAATAAACCCCTTGGAATCAGAGTTAATCTGACACTGGAGCGATGCTGCTCCTATACCTCGCATAATCATAGACTAACAAGAACCTCCCGTCATTCAGAAACTATACGAAAAGCATAGACCACAGTAGACTACCAAGTCCAATCAAAGCCCAGCAATTATCCACCACCTTAATTCCAGCCAATCAACAATGCGTTTAAAATCCAGATAAAGGGTAAGCAAAACAAGCCGCAGAGAAAGCACGAAAAATGACATCATCCCAAAACAACCAAAGCCAGCGATCAATCGATCAGATCAGATAAGATAACAAATTCTTGATTACTAAGTGCAGCGATGATCGCGTTTCTCTCAACTCGATTTCAATTTCAATCCATCCTCCACCCTCTAACCCTCCCATTCCCTAGGCGCAATCGCCTAGACTCTCAACAACTCTACCTCATCATGTGCCTTTAACCGTGAAATTAAACCAAGGCACCACACAACCCAACCAACAAACATGTCCACAACCGAACCTCAACCCGCAGAGGCCCCAGCGCCACCTATTACTACATCTACGAACGAAGCCCCCAATCCCCAGCCCCGAGCAGACGAATACACCCGGTCCGCAAAAAGCGGCAAGTTCCGATTCAAGTCCAGTCGCGATCGCGAGCACAGACACCGACACCGACCTCGAGACCGAGACCGAGACCGAGAACGACCCGACCACGATCGCAAACATAGACACTCCCAAACCCACCGCGACCATGCCCATGACCACAAACACTCGCACTCACACTCCCGCTCCTCCAAACGCCACAAACACAAACACCGACCCCCCTCCCCCTCAAACCCAACAACGACCCCCCACCCAGGCCTCTCCGCAGACACCGCCTTCCGCGAATCCCTCTTCGACGCGCTCGGCGACGACGAAGGCGCCGCGTACTGGGAGTCAGTGTACGGGCAACCGATCCACAACTTCGCGGTGCCGTCGATCCCCAAGGGGCCCGATGGTGAACTCGAGCAGATGGATGAGGAAGAGTACGCTGCGTATGTGCGGACGCGCATGTGGGAGCGGACGAGGGAGGGGATGATTGAGGAGCAGGAACGGGTGAGGGCGGAGCGGGCGAGGCAGAGGAGGAGGGAGGAGAAAGGAGCCAGGGCAGAGAGGGAGAGGGATAGGTTTGAGAGGGAGGTGGAGGAGAGTTTGAGGCGTGGGCAGGCGAGGAGGCGCGTGAAGGCTTGGAAGGCGGTTTGGGAGGAGTATATGCGGTCGTGGGAGGTTGTTGATCAGGCTGTTTCTGGTGCTGGGGAGGAAGGCAGGGGGGAGGAGGGCAATCGGTTGCGGAATCTTCTCTTCTGGCCGGTGGAGACGGGGAAGAGGAGGGATGTCTCTCGGGAGGCGGTTGAGGAGTTCATGCGCCATGCGCCATCGCTGGGGTCGTCGGATGCGAAGGGGGCAGGGTCGGAGCTACTGGCGACGTTGAAGTCGGAGCGAGTTCGGTGGCATCCGGATAAGATCCAGCATCGGTATGGGTCGTTGGGCGTCGACGAGGTCGTGATGCGCAGTGTGACGGAGGTTTTCCAGATCGTTGATACGATGTGGAATGAGCTGAAAGGGAAGCAATAGACCGCTGGGTTGGCATGGCAGTTGATATATGTATAGTGGAGAGTGGGTGGACTATATTTGGCAGCGTTCTCTTTATAGCAATTGATACCCCTGTTGTTTCTTTCGCCTTATGTATGTGCGGTATGGAGGATATAGATATCTCATCTTGAAGCCAGGTTACTAACCCACTGCTATAACCTCAACGCAACCACCCTACAGGAAAAGCACCATTCCCAGAAGTAAAAAAGGAAAGACAACCAAAAAAACAATTAGGCAGTGCAACAAATAAAACAAAAAGAAAGGAACAGTAGATGGAGAGGCGGGGAATCGAACCCCGGACCTTTCGCATGCTAAGCGAACGTTATACCACTAAACCACATCCCCTGTTCGATGTAAGACTGACGTTCTCTTGGCTACATAAAGCACTTTCTAATTCTATGCAATTAACTACAAGGACTTCATTCCTTTTTACACTTCCTTATAGGTCGTGAGTCAGCTACTCGATTAGGTCCCAATTCTTATTTCGAAGATATCAATTTGTAGTGGAAATTAATCCATGTATTGGTTAAATCAGATCTTCTTTCCGTGTATTGTTTGTGCATTCGAGTCACCCTACTGATGGGCATCTGTTTGAATATATTTCTAGATTGTGCCAGCTCAAAGAAATATCCATACAACTACAAATCCACTCTACCAGCAAACCAGGACGATGCACGTGAAACTTTTATTTCGTCTCAACAATAAAGAAAAACCGAAGATACAAACATGACATGGCTATGCAAAGAGCGCAAATATAGACGAAGCTGGTTGATCTCGTCGCTTTTTTTTGGTTTTTGGTTCGTTTTCATTCAATTTGTATAGAGCCTCCACATACATCTCCTTTAAAACCTCGAGTATCTCTGCTTGGTGCGGTAGATGGTATATCCGACATAGGCACCTCCGATGGCGGCGAAGAAGAGAAGAGTCTTGAACAGGAACCAACCCCAGCTGCCCTTCTTCTTCTGGGCGCGCGTCTTCACGCGACCGCTGTCGTTCTTGGCGCTGCTGGCGCGCTTGCTGTCGGTGGAGCTGCTGCGGCCGCCGCCGACGCCGTACAGGTTGTTCGACTTGACGGAGACGATGTCGTGGTTGTCGCTCAGCTCGCCGGTCTCGGCGGAGAAGCCGAGGTAGGCGACGGAGGGGATGGCGATGTTGGATTCCGAGGCGTCCAGCGTGAAGCAGTTGTTCCAGGTGTCCTCCGACTTGTACTGCAGGTCCAGGGTCAACGTCTTGTCTTGGAAGTAGGTCAGACGGGCCTTGGTCGGGATGGAGGCGCCTCGGAGGCCACGAGCCTGTGATTTTCATTAGTGTCTGCCGTCCTATGTAATCAATGGCCAAGTCCTTACAGAGCAACCGGCAAGTTCGTTGGCCTTGCCGTCATGCGCCTGGTCGTAGGTGGTCTGGCCGTCGCCCATCATGGCCATGACGTAGGGGAACGAGGTACCGGGGCGGTTGTTCTTGTATGTGTCGAAGAAGATACCCAGACCCTCGAAGTTGTCGGTCGATCCGAAGACGGGGCCCTGCGTCGCGCGCTGCTTGGTCAACCACATGGCGAACCCATCACCGTGCAGATTGCCATTTCCGTGGATCTTGAATTCGACCTCGATCTATACAGGCGAGTTAGAACCGATGCTCGTAGCCGATAACCACGGGTCTCGACTTGATTGTAGACTGACCTCCCAGTTGGTAGCGGTGAGGGGGACACGCGAGAAGATCCACCCCTGCTGCGACGGTCGGTCCGCGGTAAGACGAACATATCTAGCGGTTTGTTAGCCCAACACCGCTCCACCTGAACCACGATATAACGAGGGGCAAGTACTTGTCGGCGCGGATGATAGTATCACCACCAAAATCGAACCAGCGGCTTTGGAAGTCCGAATCCAGATATGGCTGTGACAGTGTCAATGGAGCTGCGCAAAACGGGGGAGTCGGCCCGGTCGAGCCGCCGAGGGCCAAGCATGACAGATGGAGGGGGTGGGACCCACTGGAGCGAGACTGTGAGTTCGGAGCTGGAGAGATCGAACGGTTAGCACGAGAAGTCCCGTCGAGACTGGCGGGCTGGACATACTGGAATGCTCTTGATGTTGTCATCGCCATCGTAGGCGTTGGCAGCTGGCACAGCCGCCAGACCGACCAGGCCTAGCAGCGTCGAAAGCCGCGGGAGAAGCATTGCGAAAAAGTATCCGGTGATTCGATATCGATTGGAGTAAATTGGGGAGGTAGAACGATCGTGGAACTCGGTAGGGCTGAGGTAGTTGAAAGACCGACTGCAGCTAGCAATAAAAGTTGAGGATTCTCGCGGTTACCGTAATGTCACCAGGACATCAACTAGTTCAGATAGACACTAAGGTTGTGCGGAAATTGAAAGGTAAAAAGAAAAAGGGTCGTAAGAAAGAGAAATAGGACGGAAAGAATGAAGGAGTGAAGGATCCCGGAGAACGAAGAAAAAAAGAAGAGGAGGATTGTGGCGGGACAGCCTACCGGAAGAAGAGGAGGTAGTGGACAGATCGAACTATTCCCAAGTGCCAAAGTAAACACTGCCGAACTCCAAAGTGTCCACTTCGCCCGTGGCGCAGCCTCAAGCTCCAGCCACACTTCTCGAAGATCCTGTCGGAACTCACGCCGCTGCGCTCACGAACTCCCACGACCGAATCCACGCCCATTCCTCGCCATTACCCTCGTTTCACCCGTCCAGACACGATTCCCGTCCATTCTCATCCCCCGCGAAAATGTCTTTCTTCGGCTCCGGCTCCGGCAATGCGTCGCCCAACCCCCAGGAAACCAAGACCCTCATCATGAAGCAGCTGCAGCAGGAGGCCGCCATGAACAACGCCCGGACCCTGATCGCTGTATGCTCGACATCCGTCTCCTGACCAGACACCCACATCCCACCTCGCTAACAACCCCCGCAGAAAGTCAACGAACACTGCTTCGAAAGCTGCATTCCCCGGCCCGGCTCCTCCCTGTCCTCCTCCGAGGGCACCTGCCTCTCCAACTGCATGGAGAAGTACATCTCCATGTGGAACGTCGCCAGCCGCTCCTACGTCTCCCGCATCGCCGTCGAGAGCAAGAAGGCCGGTGGCGCTCAAGAAGTCCTCAACATGAACGCCCTGGCTTCCTCGTCGAACGACAGTCTGTAAACCCCGGCGGCGGAAGATGAATACATACTCCGGCGGATGCTATGATATAGATTTGCGGTCATAATGCAGATTGATTTGCCGGTCTAATATTACGGTTCCTTTTTTCCTTGTCTTTGCGACCTCGTGTGGAAAATGCAGAATGCTCGTCGACGTCTGTTTTTTTTAATCCTCCGCGCCTCCCTTCGAACGACTCATCCGGCGTTGTCGTTGTCCATTGTGATGACATGTGTATGATACAGGCAGGTACTATTTTTTGGTTGTATATCATTGGTTCGATCATAGAGGAACTAGAGGAGCATAATAGGTGTTCGGTCCTTGTAGCCTAGACATCCATTGTCATGACGTTATGTTCGCCGCCAATGACCTGCCAAAAGCTCGTCCGTATATTCAAGGCCTACTTTTATTGCAACAGACTGAAAAAAGATATATATGTACATTATACAGGTCCAAACAGAGTAAGAAAACCAGGAAGATCAAAACCAACATAGCCCCAGTATTTGCAATCACTAGAAAAGACAGCACAGGATCGAGGAATGAAAGTGATTTACGTCGATGCGGCCCGCCGGCCTCTCAACAGCCGGACCGACAGGCTTTCAACCCTCTCTCTAAACCAACTTGGAAGCAAGACAACGGGATAGGCGGTCTATCTTCATCGATCATGTCCAAAAATGACCAGAGAAATTTATGAAACACCGGAGCCCCGGGGTGAAGGAGGGAAAACAGGGCGAGAGGAAACGCAGAGAAACCATGCCACATATATAAACAGTATTCCGATGACCTCTCCCAGCATAGATAGAAAAGAATCAAGTCGGCCAGCGATCAGTGGAAAGAAAAAACAACCCGACATCACAAGAAAACAAGTATAGAGACGAACAAAATATAGATGAACCCCACAGCTGCTATCTCATACCACCAGCAGAAGCTGCGGAGTAATATATTTCATGGGTGCAAACCTTTTGGAGAGATGGTTTCGCACCCAACCTGAGCAGGCCCATTTCTATGGCGAAATAGTCATTGCATCATTACTCATTTAATAAGCAACTAGAAGTCGGGGAACAGATGACCATGACTGGGAAACCAAGTTAGTTACTAGAGCCATCGGGGTGTCGGAGAGAAAGAAACTTACAGGTCTTCACCCTCCTGTCCATACGACTCCGTCTCTTCCGGATAACGGTCGTACTGACTAGCATCGCCCTGTCCACCCCGGATGGGAGGTACGTAGGGGGCATCGATGTCTTTCCTCGCAAGGCGATCCCAGGTGACTTCGGCGAACCACGGGTGGTTCTTGACATCCTCCGAGCCACCGTGCAAGTTGCCGAGACGCTTGGTGAGATCCGCCGTGATAAGTTGCGAAAGAAGATCGACGGCATCCGGGTGGAGATAAGGCGGATATTTTACTCTGCCGCGGAGAATGTTTTCGTATATCTTGACTGGCGAGCCGCTGTCCCAGAACGGTGTAAATCCACACAACATCTCAAAGATCAGAATTCCGAGTGACCACCTTTTGACCCGGTTAGTAGTTGGTCTTGACTTCGCGACACGGTAGCAGAACCCACCAATCCACAGATTTGTTGTAGCCCTTGGAGGACACGACCTCTGGGGCCAGATAGTCGGGCGTTCCGCAGAGCGTCCATGTGATATCCGGAACCTCCTTTGCGAAACCGAAGTCAGTGATTTTCAAATGGCCGTGCCGGTCCAACAGCAAGTTTTCTGGCTTCAGATCCCGATAGATAATTTGCTGGGAGTGCAAATATTCCAGGGCGAGTGTAACCTCAGCCGCATAAAACTTGGCTACCGGGTTGGGGAATCGCTAGAACAAGAGAACGATCGACGGTCAGCTATTTCTCTCCCCGCGTGCCATCTCAAGGGCCGCTCACCTGAGACTTGCGGAGTAGACTGAAGAGCTCTCCTCCCTCGACGAAATCCATCACCATGTACAGGTTCCGCGAATCCTGCCATGTACCCCACAGCGTGACCAGGAACGGGTGTCGGACTCGGTTGAGCATGCGTCGTTCATCATTGGTGTGCTCGATCTGCTTCATCTTGACCACCTGGGCCTTCTTCAGGACCTTGATCGCATAGAATCGATGGTTGTGCTTGGATTGCACCAGGTGGACGCGGCCGAAGCTCCCGGTGCCCAGGGTGCGCTGCAGGGCGAAGTCCTCGAGGGAATACTTGCCCTTGGTGGTGCGAGCGTCCGAGCGGGCGGTCTGCTGGGCGTGAGCATTGCTCCCCGAGCCGGCGTGCGAGGCATCTTGCTGGGAGGAATGGATTATGTTCTGGATACTCGCGGCATTGGACTGGTGCGACGGCTGGTGGTGGCCGGAAGCGGGGTTGGTGGAGGGCGAGGCGTGCGAGGCGGCGGATTGCATGGAGACTGGATGACCGTCGGCGGCTTTATTTGACCCTGAAGAGTGATGGTGGTGATCCGAGGCCGAGGGATGGGAATGCGAAGAGCTGACGGTCGTCGAGGCCGCGGCGTTGTTGGTGGCGGCGGGCTGGTGGTGGTGATGATGGTCGGCAGCGATTGGTGACGTCTGCGTCTGGGCCGCGGTGGGTGACGAACCGGCTTCAAGCTCCTTGCTGAGGGTCTGCGAATCCTTTGTCCGCCTCTTTTTCAAGAGACCTCCGAGGCTAGGCATCGAGACTGAAAGAAGTTCACGGATTTAAATTTGACACGCAAACCATAAGCAATTCAACCCCGGACTGAAGAAAAAAAAATAAAATCGTGGAATAATTCCAGCGTGCAAACCCCCTCGTTCGACTATCAGAATCAGAAAGGAAGGAGGGGAAAGCTGCCGTGACCAGGATGAGCGCCCCTAATTTTTTTCTTTTTTTCTGTTTTTGGTTAGGAATAAGCTTGGGAGTGTCTTGTCTCGAATGGTTCCGGGGTGGATACAAGGGAGACTCCGTGGGTGTGAGAGGGCGAAAGACGGAGGAAACGAGGGAGACGAGAGTTTAAAGGGCGGTCAAATAGTCAAGACTCAAGTCAATCTAAAGGTCGGTGCTCAATTGGGCACGAGTCTCCCGCGCGACCAGGACTCGAGATCTGGGGGCAAAAAGGACACCCCAACGGCAGGAATTGACTGTCTTGAACTTGGGGAGATGGCAGCCAAGACGGACGAGAGCGAGAGAAAGCGAGAATCAGAATAATAATGAAGGTCAGTCGACCGGCCAAGACGAGCGGGGTTTTGCCTGCACTTTCCGGCCACTACGCACGAGGATGCACGACCTGCACCCTCTGCTACGATGGATGTACGACATGCTTTATCGCGAACTCTGGAAATCCCGGAATTGAATTTGGCTTCATGAGATGCGTGCCGTTGTCCGAGACGCGCTGATGACACCCCGGCACTGATGAGGTCATCCACTCCCACGGCCCAACGCCATCAGGATGGGTCGTAAAGGACGCCAGCAGGAAATGTGCGGTGACCTCATCACCGGCGGTCGGCCACTTTCTCACTTTCTCACTGGTGGATCGCTGGAACGTCCCCGCCTCGGAGTTTGGGCCTCCTGCTGCCTTCCTTCCGCTGCAAAAGCTTCTCGTCTGGCCTGCATTGCATGGCTTTGGAACCATCTCCGGCCATGGCTACACTCTAACCTAATTCCGTCGAGCCGAAGTCCATTCCGCTGTAATCGGCTGCCACCAACGTCCACCCAACAGATAAAGAAATGACAAGAAACCATGGGCTATACTCCGATGTACTCCGTAGTGCAAATAGTGCAAACCGTAGCGAATGTCTCAGATGCGATAATGAGCCATGTTCTTCTTAATCTCGTCCACAATCTCCACCGCCTCGAGCGCATTGCGCGCCTCGAAATCATATCGCTTTTGCTCGTTCGCATCGTTGCCCCGGAGAACGACGACCCGGAAATTCTTCGGATGCCGTCGACTGACCTTGCACCCGACCACGTCGTTGAAGCTGATCGATCGCGTCTTGGTGTCGGACGCCGTCTTGCCCGTATCCCCCGGCATGATATGCAAGTAGTCGTTGTCGAAGGTCAGGATCCGTTGGTTCGACGCGGTAAACGACATGGACTGTTTGCGATACACCAGATACCGCCGGTAGTACCCTCCGATGAGATCCTGCTGCTGCGTGAGAGGGTGAAGCATGCGCTGCCCGCTCTTCTTACTCTTCTTGCTCTCTTTACTGCTGGCGGGATTGTTGCTGTCGACCAGGAGAGGAGCGTTGGGGGATGAGCTGCCCGGTGATCCGGTGAGAGACTGCGGCCCGAATCGTCGGCGCACGAGGTCCAGGTCGGTGATGTTGCCCAATGCCTCCACGGTCCGGTCCAAAGGCGCGATCGTATTCGAGCCCATCACTTTGAGCAGGTAATTGCCCTTGTCCAACCCCCATCGTTTGCAGACGGAGTCGAGGATCTCGGCAATGTAACTGTCGGCAGACATGTTCATCGTTGTCGATTGGGCGGAGCCTTCCAGGTTGATGAAGCGGATCTTCAGGTTCTTGGTGATCCCCATGCGAGGGCTAGCGTGAGATATAGGGACGGCGGGCCGGTCAGCCGGGGTAAGAGTGTTATCATTCAGGGCCGAGGAGAACGGCTGCCCCAAGATCGGGTTCTGACGAGGCATTTTGTTCTGAGCAATTGGCTGGCTGGCGGGAGCCGGCGCAGGAGCCATAGTATCGGCATTGTCTTCTGAGGGCACGGACTGACTGAAGGCCGGGAAAACGCGTTCATTCTCTTCGAATTCCGCCTGAGATGCCTCCACGAGAGCAAACTCGTCATATTGCTTCCCCCGAGACCGACCTCGGGCACCCGCCGCCCGGTTGTTGTTGGATGTGAAATCGGCAATGGGAGACATTCGTCCAAGCGCGGGGAAATCGTATTCCACCTCGCCATCTTCTACCATTCGCAGAGTCCATCGATTGACGGTTAATTTGCTGCGCTCAATGGACGGGCTGCACCCTTCCTCCGAATATCTCCAAAGAGCAAGACCGATAGCCTCGGCCACTATAACCGGTGCTGGCTGCTCTGCCAGTTTAGATTCCCGCGCAATCGGTAGATCCAGTGGATCTTCAGGTTCGGCCGAAAATGGCACATATAGCTTGATATTTAGCACGTCGGTCAGACCTTTGCCTGACAGGACGGCGAACTTTTCGACGGGGTTGGTTGGCGCTCGTTTGCGCGCGTTGAGAGCCTTAGAAAGCAAACTCACTGGCTGTACCGTGCTGATGGGGCGTGGCGGCGGCAGATCTTGCAATTCGGGCGCAGGGGTCTTGGGCTTCCTAGGGGATACTGATTGTGACCCCACACCATTTTGTAGACGGTGCATTAACGCAACCGGCGATGACGAGTCCAAGCTGCCTGTTATACCAACACCACCTAATAGAGACGCGGAGCCAGCTGTGGCATCGAATTCGGAAGATAACGCAGAACCCACGGATTCGGCTCCTGAATCCTCCGCTTGCTCATGTAGATCCTCGATGGCCCTATTGCCAGCGAGCCTTCGCCCTTTACCCAAAGGCTCTATCACTTGATCCTGACCAGAAAATTGAATTTGGCGTCTCTTGAACGACGGGTCCATTTCGTTCTCGGAAGACAAATCACTGCTGGTCGTTGTCGTCGTATCTCGTCGCGGCCGTTCATTCACCGAAACCGCAGTACCTAGTGACCCGGTGCGGTAATGAGTACCCATCGTTGGATGTGATGGAGAAGTAACCATGACTTGCGGACCCTCTTGACGATCGGTTGTACGTATTGGCGATGATCCCGCCCGTGTTCGGATCGGCATCTTGGGAAACTGGATTTGACGAGAAGCTCTGCGGGATGTCAGAGAAGGCACATAACCAGCCGTGGTGTAATTACCGACCTTTGAGCACTCTCCCCGTCGTCGTCACTTTCGTCACTGAGATCGCTGCTATCCTCATCGTCGACATCCTGCTTCTGCTGCTCTTGCTGCTGACGGTCCCTTCGATGCACCCTTTTCCCGGTGCGCCCCTGATGCCGACGCCCTGTTATACCTGCGTTGCTTTTGCCCGTGACCATCCCTCCTTCCTCATCGTCGCCGTCGCCGAGCCCAAATCTTTGCGAATCATTCTCGTGTCGGGCGCCGATATTGTAATACTCCGACGATACCGCGGCCGTAGTAGGGATGGGAGGGGAGTAAGTTCGTTTGATGTGGGAGGCTGCGCTTTGAGCATTGGGGTTTGTAGAGGCTGAAGACCAGCCCGCCGCGCGGAATCCGGGAGTGTTAAGGACGGAGTTATTCACATTGATAAGTCGATCGCCTATGCCGTCTTTGATTGTGGAGAGGTAGGACGTGCGAAGCTGCCATATGGTGAAACTGAAACGCATTTAGCCCCCGACGATTATGTGAAGACCCCAGGGAAGTCAGACGGCTAGTGATGCGGAGCGCGCATCTTGGAACATACTCTTCATTGTGAAGCAAAGACATTTTGTAAGCGACTCGCGCAGTATCGCACAGACTCGGAGAAAAGAAGTCAAGGGAGATAGTCGCGCGATTTATGGCTGAGAGGGCAAAGATAGTCTCGTCCGCGCTCGAATGAGCATGGCCTCCGGGGCGGCGTAAATGGGCCAATAGGCAAGTCGCAAGGGCGAATGAAGGTGCGAGATCCCCCTTACAGGGCCAGCCTGACGAAGAAGGGATAATAGCAAGAATGAAAGGGGACTTGAACAGAAGGGCGAAAGCAGCCAGGTGCCAGAAGGTGCCGGACTGAGGGGTTTGTTCGTAAAAGCGGGAGGAGGTAGTGAGGCGTGGCGGCCTGGGGCTCCCACAGCAAAAGCAATCTGCAATTTCTCCGCAGATCAGCCAAGACAATCTTGATCGTCTCCAGACTAAGTCAATCTAATCCCACGAGCCTCAGCCAGACTGCAACGCTAAGCATTCGATCTTCGTGGTGAGCCATTTACAGCGATTATGAACACGTTATTTTTCAGTGGGCATTGAAGTACAAAAAGTGTATAAAGCCTATTTGAACCAATCATTTCTGATCACATCGTGCGCTGCCATTAAGAGTACATGAATGAAAATTACAATGCAACGCCAACAACCGGGATGAGTCGGAGGTTACCCGAAGACAACTTCAGGTGGCCTTGGCCTTGGGTTTTCGGCCTTTGCCCTTCTTCGGTTTTTCATCATCGTCGATAGAGTCATCGGTGGCCTTCTTGGCCTTCTTCCCCTTGCCCTTGCTGGCTGTTTTCTTGGGCACCCGGACATACTTGTCTTTTTTCAAGTCGAGTTCCTCGCTTTCGTCATCGTCTTTAGTCTCATCCTCCAACACCTCTTCTTCATCGGACTCTTCGATGGCATCTTCGATGTCGGGCTTCTCCTTCGGCTGCTTCTTCGGAGCAACAACATTGCTGGCCTTGATGAAAGGAAGCGGGTGCGAACGCTGGTTGTAGAGTCGTGTGAATGTAGCCTTGGTTTGTGTTTCCAACTTGACGTTTGACTCATCCATGGGACCAAGCCCAAGCTCGACAAGGGCATCCCAATCCTCGCGGGTAAGGAAGTACTCGTCCATAAAATCGATGACATCGTCCACACTCTCCTTGCCCTCAACCATTAGACGGCGAACCAATTTATCCCAGATGAGAGGTAGGTATTGCTGTCTAATTTCGTCACGGTCTGCAGACGAACGAAGACGCATATGTCCCTGGATTTCTTTGATATATCGCGAAAGTTTCCCTGAGAAATTCATATTAGTCGGAGGGAATCAATGTTATAAATAGTCCCGATAAGTAGCATACCTTGTTTGCTGTTCTGACCAAGCCAGCTAGTAAAGCCAGGACGTTCCATCATGTTACCATAGCTGAAGCTTGCAGGCCGGACAAAGCTAAAGACGGCATGGGTTGGCATCAGGCTCCATTGTTGTTGTGAGCCATGAATCATTTTGTCAACAAGGTCGCCGTCACTGATGCTTGATGCTGCATTGTCTGCCAGTTCGAGCATCTTCAGCTTCTGCTCTTTGCCTTGATATCCGCCACCCAAGGTAGGTCTAGTTCTGAGATAGTTTTCTTGGAGCATGAGATAGCTAAACTCGTGGTCGTTGAAATAAAGTTCGATCTTGTCATTCAACGTAGCCTTTGAACTGGGCGAGAACATCTGCGCGTTCAGAATCTTTGAAACAATGTCCCAGGGCTTCAGAATAACGTGTTTCTCCCAAGCCTTGGACATTTCACGGCCCTTTTCATAGTCGAGATTCTTTTGATCTAGCTTCACGGTCGAAAGCATGTTGATGACCTGCCGAATATCGGCGTTCGTTCCCTCAATCAGGCTGTCAAGCACAGGCGGAGGAATTCTGAGGCCCTCTCTGAAACATATGGTCGAAAGTCTGGCCCTGATTTGTTCGGCCGTTGGGCGTCGGAAAGGGAGCTCAAACGTGACATGATCGAAGGGCTTCATTTTCGGAAGTCTTCGCTCGTTACAGATGAGAATAAGGGGGATCTGGGTTTTCTTAGCGATGGAGGCCAGTGCTCCCACACCACCACGATCTCCAGCGGACATTCCATCAACCTCGTCCATGATTAGCACCATGTTCTTCTTGGTGCTCTCTACTTTATGACCAGCACCTGAAAAATAGCCCTGCAGAGAAGTTGTGTCCAAAACACCGTGAAGACCAGACTCAACAAGCTTCTTACTTCTCGTATCACTGGCGTTGGTCTCGACGATATCAAAACCCTCAATCTTCGCCACCAAATGAGCTGCAGTGGTCTTTCCAATTCCAGGAGGTCCATGAATCATGACAGAGCGATAAGTTCCGGATCCATCCTTTCCGGGTTTCGCGAAATTTGATTTGGCGTTTTTTCGCCAATTCCGTAGCCAGGCTTGCAGTTTTTCTACAACGCCCTTGTTGCCGCAAATCATGTTCATCGACGTTGGCGCATATTTGGTAGTCCACAGCAAATCGTCAACTTTAGCATCAGCCTTGGTGTCGGATTTAGCAGCAGCAGCCTTCGCCTTGCGCTTCTCTTCTTGTTCCATCTCAGCTGCCAAGGCACGGATTTTTTCGTCCTCCACCTTTTTCTTCGCCTCGTACTTCTCGGCTGCCTTGCCATCTCCACCATTGGCTGGCAGCCGCCGGATGAGCTCGAATAGTCCCTCTTCGTTGATTGTCTTTAGATTATGTTGCTTGATCGTGCTTAGTTTCTTAGGCCCCGCGTCGTCTCCTAGGACAACATAGCTTGTTTTAGAACTAGGAGCTCCAGTGACTTTGCCACCATACTTTTTCACCAGTGCCTGCCCTTCATCACGGCCAAGGTTGCCGAGGACACCGGTGAAGACGAAAGCAAGACCTGCAAGACAATTTTCTGCACCAACGGGCATCTCTGTATTCCCAGATCCCACCGGATCCCGTCGTTGAGCTTGAGCGGCAAAATTGAATTTGGCCTTTTCCCCGGATTGGGGCGGAGGCGAGGGGGGCTTGACTTGGGGGATGCTATCGAAGATATCTTGGATCTCCTTGCTCTCAGGTCGGTCGCTCGGGGGTGAGGCCTTCTTTCTCTTGGCCGCGGGGGTCGACGATGCTGTTTTGGAAGGAGCAGCTGCCTTTTTCTTAGGACTGGGTGTTTCTTTGTCCTCATCCTTGTTCAGAACTTCGGATTTTCGTTTCCGTCCAGGCCGTGAAGCTGCCGATTTAGATGCTTTGGTAGACGGCGCGATGTCTTCCATAACCACGTCGTCATCAGATTCCTCAACGGTGGCTCGCTTCTTACGTGCTGGCTTGTTCGAAGACGCTTGAGCTGGTCTTACAGCAAGCTCTTCAAAGTCGCTGTCGTTGTCGTCGTTCTCGGCCTCCACGTAGTCGTCATCGCCCTTCCCTGGCTTTCGGAATTCCTCTGCGTGAATATCGTCCCCACCGAGCTCATCGTCATCTAGTATTGGCGCAGACTTCCTTGTGGATTGACGGGGCTTTCGCTTCGGAGACTCTTCAACCACCACTTGTTTCTTCACCGGGGACTTCTCAGCTTTGTCATTGCCGCCGTCATCGTGGGATGGTTGAGGTTCTTTGGCCGGTGCGGCAGAGCTATTCTTAGAGGGCCGTCCTCTTTTCTTGCTTGAGGCGAAGTAGTCCGATGAGGTCGTTGGTTTGCCCTGGGAGACTTCCGGTTTCCTATTGTCGAGAGAGAAATTAGACGCGATTGACGGTTGTAATTAAGGGATTGGAGGACCAACGGTTTGCTAGGTGTTTTGGGCTTGGGACTTGGAGCTTTCGATACAACTTCGTCTTCATCCTCACTATCATCGACAACCTTCCTTCCGCCTAAATTGATGTCAATGAGACAATCCAAAGTGTGTATAGTATTGGGCCTTACGTCTTTTCCTCGGAGCGGGTTCCTAATGGAAATATGTTAGCTTAGAAGCTCACAAAAGCTGATTGCTCATGACGGAATCATCAAGGTAGGTGGGAAATGGGCAGTAACACACCTCTTTCTTCGCAGGCGGTTTCGCAGGCTTCGCAGGAGAGCTGTTGGAGCCTTGGCTGGACTTCCCACCAAAGAAGTTCCTAATATCAGGCATGATGATTATATCGATATAACCATGACTCGAAATGCCAATACCAGCAAGACAAGTTGAAGCGAGCCCGTAGAAGCTTCCACGCCAGCTATGCGCAGTTGCAATCTCCAATTGTCGAGCGCGATAATTCTCCAGCTCCGGAAACACGACGCGCCTGCCCGCAGGCTACACGGGGAGACGTGACCTAATTAGCTTACGTAAGCAAGGCAGCAGGTGGCACGTGCGCAGCGCTTGTTTCCGTGTTGGGATGGGAATCGGACTTGCAGATACGCCGATGCTCAGAGACGCTCCGCTTCATCCAACATTGTTCAGTCGGTACGAGAAGGCCGTGAGCATCCAACATGGCGATGAGACCACAGACCAAGCTCTTCTCGGGGCCTCAGATGGCCTTCTTCCGGCCTACGTGTGCGTCTCCTCTCACGACAAAACTAAAAGATTTTTTCGTCCTCCGCGGCGTGAAACTGACTGATATTTATTGCAGGTTTAACGACGCCCTCTCCGGCCCAGTCGCTATCACGATGCTTCTCTACGACCTCGCCTGCCCTTGACTGGCTGACTCCGAAGTTTATGGAGAAGTCGAAATCGCCCAAGGGTCGTCCGCATGTCGCAACCGGTGGATCGTATCGGGGTACAACTGTCGTCTGGGGCGACTACGGCCTGCGGATGAAGGACCATGATCGTCGATTGCCCGCCAAATCGCTCAAAATCGCAGAGGAAACGATCAAGCGGCGTTTGAGAGGTATGGACTACACGCTCTACAAGCGTGTGAGTGCCAACCTGGGTGTCTACACCAAGGGCAATGAACAGCGTATGGGTAAGGGTAAGGGAAAATTCGACTACTGGACGGCGAAGGTTCCAGTGAGCAGGATTGTGTTCGAGCTCAAGGGTAAACTGCACGAGAAGATTGCGAGAGAAGCGTTCCGATTGGCTGGCCACAAGTTGCCCGGTAGGACATTATACCTCCATTACAGAATGACCTCAAGGGCCAGCGCTAACTAGACAATCTACCTACAGGACTCTGGGAGTTTGTGCACAAGGGAGATCCCCCTGTCGTTGGAGTGACGAAACTTGGCAACGGAGTGACTCTGGAAAGTCTCAAGCGGCCACGCAGAAGCCCAGCCTTGGGTTCGGATAACCTGGAAGCGCCCCCCAAATCGACCTCCTCTAGCCCATCCGCCTCCCAATAAGTGCGGGCGCAGCCCTTCCTTCTCATCATGTCATTTATATACCTTTTATGCCCCCACGCCAGAACCAGGGCCATATCCTTGCTCCCTCCTACTCTTCGCTGCCTCGGTATCACCTCGGGTCTCGGGCTTCAGGTCTTGTGTATAATATTTTCAGCTTTGGATTCTCTTTGCGTATCTTTACTCGCAGATGTCGATTGTTTTCATACACGGAGTTCAATAGAAAGAAAGTATGATCGACTGTACCTTTGTCTGTATATCCCGAAGAACTAGCAGTGGCTTCTCCCAGTGCCAACTTCCTTGCCTGCTCGGCATCTTCTTCCCGCGCTCTCTTTTCAATACTCTCGGCATCATCGGGGCTGTACGGAATGCCTGGCTTTTCGCTCTTCGTATGCGCAGAGTTGCCTATGACTATCAGCTCCCAAAGCCTATTTGCGCCTAGAGTTCGACAGCACATACCACCCAATTGCCCGGTCTGCTTCGCTGCGGGAATTGTAAACTCCCGAATAGATTCGTATCTATTTCATTCGGAAACCCGTTAATTTGAATACGCATTGTTAGAGAGGACAGAAGGAGAACGTACTGGGTGCTTTCACCACCAGGCTGGATATCTACAAGCTTGGAATCGGACATTATAGGCAGTGTGGTTCTTTTAAAATATAGACTGAATCAAAAGATCAAAACCGTCGGAAATGCAACTGAAACAAAATATTTTTCGAGGAAAATATTGGATGGTAATGATGTAGTCAACTTGTGTTGGAGGGGGACCGAGTCTTCCACGGAGGAGACAGCTAATGACGTATCTTTGCCTCATCCTCAAGCAAGTTATGGTGGGACCCCGGCTTCCATTGTCTTGCAATACTATAAATGGAAACGATGGCCATGTGTTAATTCTTCAGATTAAGAATTTATCAGAGTGCTGCTCTTGATCTGAAATAATGCATTTAGAATCAGACCTTGTCCTTTAACTCCGTAGAACTTAAATAACGCCAGCATTGTCTTCTACAAATACATTATGCCCGTGAGACAACTACAACTAAAATTTAAGATAAAGAATACTATTCGTATTGTACAATTCTCATCAATCGTCGATTATCTATCCATGATTAGAAGTCCATGCCCATCAAATAACTGTATCTTGATGTTAGATGTCTATCTTTGCTATACTAGAGAAGACGACAAACCTTTCATAAATACGCATAAATTTGGCAACAAACGCTTCAAGGTGAAAGATAACTTTCTGTAGGAAGAGTTAGCTCTGGCACTCAGGATGGCGGGGATCGTCTTACGCTGCCTTGCTTGATTCTGTGCTCATAAAACGCCGACCACTTGATCACGTCAGGCTTCAGCGCGTCGTCAACCTTCACGATAAGGTTGAACGTGAGTGTCTGCAAGGTTATTAGTACATGTCAATGCCATAGACTGTCAGAGGCGGACAGACCTTGATAATGGTAGTAGGCGGTATGCAATGTGTCAAAAGATCATACAACCGCGCGCGAACCTGCAGCAATCTAGCAGGTGACCGCTCGGCCAGAATTTCGTCTGCAGTCAAGGCGATAAGAGCCTCCCAGTCGGGCGGGGGAACGGGGGTATTATCCGTCACTTTCTCGCTATATTTTGAGAAGACGTCAGTGATGCGCCTTTTCCGCGCTTCTGGGAGCAATATCAGGCTCACCTTTGAGCGTAAACGGCCTCGAACATGAGTAATGCCCGACGAAGATTCCGTTGGCTGTCCTTCGCTATCCTCTTGTTCAACCCGGTCGCCTCAGGCCAGCCTTCCTTCTTGCCGGCATTGCTCAAGACGGAACATATTTGCTCTTCTGTTGGCGCGGCAACCCTAACCAGCAGGGTTCGCGAGCGAATGGGAGCAATGATGTTGGAGGTGCTGTTTGCCAGCAGAATCAACCGCAGATTGGGACTGTACTTCTCCATGGTCCGCCTCAGCGCAGCTTGGGCATCGCGAGTAAGATGATCTGCTTCGTTGATCACGACGACCTTGAACCGCTGCTTCGCCGAGAGATCGACCTGCTGGGTCTGCGCGATCTCTTTCAGAAGTTCTTGGACAACGACGCGGTCATAATTGCCAACGTCGGACGGTGTGATCTCAAGGTGGTAGATGGAGGAGACGATGTTGAATTCCAGTTTCCGGTTACTCGTCGTCTGGAAGACTCGAGCGTCGATCTTGATCTTTTCGACTCCGGGGCCGTACAATTCCTTCAACGTTGCGATCACACGGGTTTTCTTGCCCGCACCGGACGGTCCGTAAACGAGAAGGTGAGGGAAATCTCCGCTTTGAGCCTAATGCCAATGCTATTGTCAGAAACGGTCATCTTGCTTCGCATCGGGGAATGATTAGGTAGAACCTACCAGCGACTTTAGGCGTGCCGACAGATCGTGATGGTATGAAAGAGCGTCTAAAGAGCGCGGGCGCAACTTGTCAACGAGAAGAGCCATTTTTGTAGCTTGGAATCCTGCCGTGGGTTAATTAACAGCTTCACTTCGGCTGGCCACTGGAAAAGTCCTCGAGGTTCGGGATAGCTTCGATTGAATGCAGACGCGTCGGCTCGTGACGCGCGAGCTTAATTGATGATCCGTGCACGGTATATACTGACTAAGCACCAGCAGGAGCCAATGACAATAACCCATTTTGATGCATACAAATGGATGGAATGCAAGCGTTTTCGGCCCATTATTGAGGGCACACTGCTACAGGAGGATTATTGAGAATTCCCTATGCTAAACACGCCATTTTATCAATTTATTCAAACAAGGGATAAAGAACTGTTGCGCTGTCAAAAGACCGTCGCCCAATGCACCCAACTTTGGTTAAAAGATAAATTGCTAAAACGAACAAAGGTAAAGAAAAAGATATTCCTAGCCCATTTTTGTAATATGTACATCTATGAATTGATATGATACAAGTATCTCTCGAAGGATTAAACCCCATAGGAGATAGTACAGTACATTTTGTTATGCTTTTGGAGAGGAGATTGAAGCTTCCTCGCTAGGGTCGAACTGTCCCTGCGAAATGGGACTTGGTTCTGGATGATTTCCAAACTGCCAGATCTTCCCCTCAAAGTGATTGTGCATGCGGTGCATCACTTGTACGAGTACTCTTCAGAGCGTTGTGATGTCCAATGACCGAGTACGGTACTTGGGACATGGGTCGATGCAGTGCATCCAGAAATTTATACGATTAGCCCGACGGCATAGGCTTGAGGACACCATTATCATCGTATCGTGCTTCTGTTTTGCTGTTAGCGTATTTTTCCAACTGTGCGCTCTCTTGGCTGGGCAGCTTACTGAAGAATGTATACGAGAGCGTAATGGTATCGATGCCCTTCATTGCCGGATCTTTGGCGAAGTCAGGATCAATGAAGAAGAAAACCGGCATGTCCACAGATTCTCCAGCATTCAACTTCTGCTCTTCGAAACAGAAGCATTGGATCTTGCTGAAATAAGGAGCGACCTGTCCGGGCGTGACACTGTATGTCGCAACCCCGATGATATCCGTAGGACCCTTGTTCGTGGCGGTATAGAAAGCCAATGCGGTTTCACCAGGGAGAACTCGAACTTCTCGTTGCTGTGGCGTAAATTTCCATGGCAGAACGTCTGAAACCGAGCCATTGAACGTGATTCGAAGACGGCGAGAATCCGTTACGGGTTTTACACGAGATGAGGTATCGTTGTCTCCTCCGCGGTGGGTAAGGACGGGCTGACCGTTCCAGCCAGTCTGTTGGCAGATCTTTGAAGCAACTGTCAGCTCTCGTAGCTATAAGGACAAGACCATGGTATGGGGATTGGCACTCACCATCTTGTACAGAGGGACAGAGCCATAAGCAAGAGCAACCGTCCCCAGAATAAGACTCGCAGTATAATACATTGTAGAGGCATTTCGCTTCTGTGACTGGGGGGTATTAAAGGGCGTGGAGGCGGCATTTTCTCTCATGAGTGGGTTGCGACTGAAGTACCTCTTTCCGAGGTCCAAACCCTTTGATGCATTACATCCGGACGGTTTGAAGCCCGTTGCCGGTGACAGAATCCGGCCCCATGAGGAAATTGGGCGGGCGAACATGGCTATAGATTAATGTGAATGCGGACGCAAGTCGGAGCACTCGGCTGATCACCAGCTTCGTTCCGCGCAAGACATAGCAAGCACGTGATCGGGTCTTGGCGCAATACTATGTAGCGATTGAGGGACGAAGAAAGTCATAACTTGAAGGTATTGAGATAAATGACTTGGTAAAATTAAGTAAAACCGAATGCTACTTGATCTTTTGACAATGTAAGATTTTCGAAAACTGAGTTACATAAGAGGGGGAATGAGTTTGGATCAAAGCGCAAGTATATAATTAGTGTAAAGTGTAGTATAAAGCATGTGGTAATACAGAATTCGTCAGATGCAACATTAGACACTCTATGACTTTAAGCTGATAAGCACGAATGAAGTGAACAAATGAATTTATCACTCTGGTGAGAACGCTATTTCAAAACGCTTGTTGCAATCTTCCCAAAGACACCTCGAACCAAGCTGGGTCGCTCTTGAAGGCAAGTTAGAAGGATGGCGGCACTAATAGCAAATGTGGCGCGCTCTCGGTATTGATACTGAATGAATTTCGAAAAAAGTTAGAAAAGATCAAAGCCCCAAGAGTGATTTGAGAAGTTGTACAAAAATGGGAAAACTTGGATAAGAGGACAGGAGGCGCATTACTGCATGCGAATGAAGTGCTGAGGGAATCCAATCTCACCTTTTTATCGTAATATCTTGGCAGCACGGTGGCTGCAGCCCTGGGTGCCACAAACAAGGCAATTTCCTGGCGTCTTCGGGCGTTCTCCACGAGTATACTCCAGCCGCACATAAGACATCCGGCACCGACACACAGTCCAGAGTCCCACATTAAGGGCGTCACCGTTTCTTTGTCGAAGATTTTGGGTCCAATGCGCGTTCGAGCCAGGCAGACAGAGTAATAGAAGATGCTCACAAAGGAAGCAAGAAAAGATGATGATCGCAAGGCATCGGAAATCGCTCGATAAATGGATGACCTTGATTTAATATTCCGAAGGCGGAAAGCAATTTGGAGCGGTATGTAAGTTGCACAAGCAAACTTGAAGGTTCGAGCGAATCGATATGCGGCATGTTTCTCACAGCTAGGACCACAGCCCATATGAACCATTTCACACGGTATAGGAACTGTTTTCATTGGGTCCCCCCATTCCACGGGCCAGGAATAATCCTTGCACATAGATTCGAGAAGAGGAGCTTGGCCCGTGTCTTTTCCATAGACAAAGACTCCTCTTCTGGCTCGGCGAAGGGCCTCGATTAGGCGGTTATCTACCTTTGCAGCCTCTCCAATCCATTTCCCGTAAGACCTAGGTAGCCTTTCGGGCATATAAAACCATGCCCACATCACGATTGCAGCGCTGGCTGCAAACAACCCTGCATCTGCCAATTGAGGCGCATAAACCTCCACAAGAGTCCGGTGACCCTGGGATTTCCGTCGTAAACGCCACCGCGCCCACGCCATACAGGCCATGGAATCTACCGCTCTAGTAAGACTGAAGAGAGTAAGATCCATTGTCCTACCGGCAAGCTGAGGACGACCGAGAGCTGCGGCGTTACCGTCATTTTTCCCGGTAACATTCCTCTGGCTTGCACCGTTCTGGCGCTCTTCCAGATTTCCTTGTAATTTAATAGGCTTTTGGTTGAGGAGTCCAAACGTGAACCACGCAGAAACCAGGGTAGCAATGAACCTCACCAACCGCAAAGATTTCGCCGAAGCGAGAATGTCAGCTCGCGAGCCAAGACTACGGCTCACACGCCGCAAAATCCGAAAACATAACAGCGGCAAAATCGTGGAGCCCCCGATAAGAAGCCCACAGAACGTTGGGAAGCTCTCTAGCCTTAGTGAGCTTCCAAATACCGAAGACAGCTGCACCTGTATGTTAGCCGACTATACCCACTTCTTGCGCCATTCCAGTACAAATTAATCAATACTGATAGGTGATTGCGACAGGGGTTGTCTTGACGACGGAGCTGATGGATTGAGTTTCCAACGAGAAAGCCTACCTCTTTGAATTTCTGTTTATGATCCAGGTCGTTTTTCCAGATGCGCTGTAAGCATGAAACTATCCTGGGTGCAGTGGAGGATAAATGGCCCAATACATAAGCGCGAAGAATTCTGCGACAACATCGAATCAGATATGCCAATTCCCTTCAATTATGGCCTTGGCAGTGTAACATGGCAAGACGTTCTAGATCGAATGAAAGATAGATAGAACGGCGGATACTCACGGTTTTAGGGCATGGATGGCGATTTGACGCCTGCGAGGATGTCCTGCAGAGTCCATTGTTTTGAACTGACCTACTTCATGACCACGCTTTTAGATAAGCATTTTCAAGAGAGAAAAACAAACACCCTATAGGGTAATGTCAGCCATTGCCGCAGGTTAACAGACGGCCACCCATAGTAAGGCCCTTAATCATACGTTTGAGGTTCTGGATGGCCAGCATGAATGAGCAGGTATTAGGAAATCCCCAGCTGCAGTGATATGACGATATCGTACAATTCCAGCTGCATTACAGAACCAGGAGACCAATACACACAAGAACCAAGTGCTCTGCAACCAAGCGCAGTGACCAGGCAGACCGCAGCAAGGGAGTGAGCAGGAGTCTTTCGTGCGATCTGCCGTGGAGCCGGTACAACCGTGCGACCTAAAATTCGACCTCGGCCCTAGAGGACGCGAAGAAAGCGGTTTGCGAAGCCCGGCTCAGGGGTAGGAACTAAACAGTTGGCTGACGATCCTCCGTATGTCAAAGTCTCAAACTCGGGGTTTTGTCGATGACGCCCGTGGAAATGGCCCTGCGACTTCCAGTCAGGTACCTTCTTGTGGGGCATCAAAAAGGCAAATTAATTAACCAGGAAATTCGAGCAATAATTGGACGTACTGTTCGCGGTCATCCACCTTGACCAACCTCAGGATTGCGGTGGTAGACAAGGGGGCTCAAAATTTACGCTGAAGAGCGAGCAGGAGGGGCAGCGAAAAAAAAGAGGAAATCAAGCGCAGAAGAAGAAGAGAGTTTCCCTCTTTTCTGGGCTGTCCAACACGTTGTTGACCGGAGCGAGCCAAAGGAATTTCGTCATGCATGACCCTATCCAGTCCTCCTCCATCGATCGGACTGGGAAATTGGGCCGAGAGCCTCCGATCCCTTCCTAACGCGATCTTACCAGACAGGGAGCGGCGGCGCCGGCGGTGGGGAGGTAATTTTCGTATTGCCGTGACCGTCACGCGACCTCCGCTGAGCGCCAGGTTTTCAGCATGTGATCGACTCGAAAGGACCGACGGATTCCATGCTCTCTCCTCCATCTATCGACGTCCTGCCCCCGGTCACCTTTCCTCTCTTCTTACTTCTGAGTCTGAGGTGGAGTTCCGCTCTCGTCTGCACGAACTTTGTCTGGGTTTATCAGCACCCTGTGGTCTAGACGTCTGGCTGACTTCTAAATCGCATCCACTTGTACCCTTCAGCTCCGCCGGAACCAATCCATATCGAGAGAAAAAGAGACCGTTAATTCCCCACGCACGACCTAGCCGTCAACCCCGGTTTAGCTTTTCGCGATTTCGAGTTGTACTCTTGTCAGCATCCCGCTTTCCAGGGGATCAAATATCCTGCCTTTCCGCCGGAACAAAAGGCATGTCCTCGTCGACCTACTCCGTGTTGCTCTCGACGATCGAGTAGCAAAACTTTCGTGAAGCTTTCGCCTATCCTAAACCGTCGTCGCTTCTTTTGCTATCTTGCTGCGATCATGAACATGAATGGATCCGAGCCCCAAAATGGGCGCAATAGTCCCCAACCGGGCCCATTCGGCTGTATGTGCCTCTAGTTCCAACGCAGAGTTTGGCCATTCTCTAATCAGTCTTCCCTTCTCCCCAGATTCTTTCCTTTCGCCCATGGACACTCCTTATGAACCCGCGCCTGCGCCGCCACCGGGACCGGCTCTACTGGACGATCAGGAATCAAATATGCTAGATAGCTTTTTCACGACGATGAATTCCAACCAGTTCACCAATGAATTTTGGCTCCAAGGCAATCAAAACAAATCCTTTGGCCCGACAAATTTCGAATGGTCGACTGAAATGCCCCCAACCTTTGAGGGCTCCACAACCTCACTCTCGCAACCTTCGGTCCCTCAACATGGTCTAGAGAAACCAGGTTTCGGTGTGATGCCCAACAATATGGGGACGAGCTCTGATATCTTTGCCGCCGCTTCCATGCTCTATCACAACGGCATGAATGGGACCGAGTTTAACACTGGAGTCGGACACCATCCATTTCCCACTTTCCCGGACGTGGACTTGAGTAATGTCAGGTCACATAGTAGCGGGAAAGCCGAACAGCACACTGACCACATGCCCGCTAAGCCGGTCCCATCGCGTCCGCGCGTACCGAGTGGCTTCCACACGTCCGAGATGCTCTTTGATGTGCGGGAGCCGATATCTGTTGAGCAGCAGGCCATTGCGAAGGTACGGCCTCTACATTGGGGCTCTGATATCAGCTTTATGGATCAAGGCTATGTGGCACCACCTGATCAACCAAATGAAGAGGAGCAAACGAAGGAGCTTCTTGATCATCTGGACTGCTTTGAGCGACAGAGTAGTGCTGCCAACACCAGGGCACCTAGCCCGGAGCGGACGTTGGGTGGTCACGGGGCTTCCTGGACGGGATCCAATGCCGTTGGGCAGCCCAGCGATCTACGAAGGGAATACAGGGATGACAATTCCTCGCAACCGAAAAAGAAACAGAGGACACTAGTCAAGGAAGAGGAAGACGACGAGAACTCTGATATCGATAGTTCAAACCCGAAGTCAAGGAGATCCAGGGCCTCGAGCTACAACCGATCCAGGAGGATGTCTAGTGATACCATTCGCAAATCAAGGCTCTCGCAAAGCGCAAAGGCTGCACGGGAAAATCTAACGGAAGAGCAGAAAAGGAGCAACCATATCCTCTCGGAGCAGAAACGCAGAAATCTCATCAGACAAGGATTTGACGATCTATGCTCGCTTGTACCCGGCTTGAAAGGCGGCGGGTTCAGCAAAAGTGCAATGCTTACGCAGGCAGCAGACTGGTTAGAGGAGGTCTTGCAGGGAAATGAAATCCTCAAGGCGCAGCTATCCGAGTTGAATACCATGAATGGCTTGGTCATGCCGAGGTGATCTTGGTATTCTAACGCGACCACGATGTGATATTTCTGTTTCCCACGATGCCCGGCCTGCGTTCATTCGCGGTCGGTTTCAGTCCAAGCGATTAAGCGATTCGGCAGGATGCAATTCCCCTATTTGGGAATGCAGGCGTTTCTATTGGTGAACATGGATTGGAATCCTGATCATCTCCATCTCCGCCATTCATTCATTTTTACTTCGCATATGTTTTTAGCACCACAATACCCTTTCCGGTTCAGACTTTGATGAACAGGAATCTTTAATCAAAATAATGAGCGGGATAGAAAGTACCTATCGTGGAATATATTCCGATAAAAGTGACCTATATGAAGTTTGGTCCCATGTGTTTATGTTTGAATGAATTATATTATCTATTTGTGTGTGTAGAACTCCTGGTCCTGGGAAGTAGTATGCCAGCCATCGAGGATGCTGTGAAGTATGAGAAGAACCCGACAAGTCGAGTTGCTGATGGACACCCCGCATATTCCCAAAGTGGTTAAGCGCCGTTATGGTTGGCTGGCATGTGACGGGCCTGCGAGCTCAACCATCGCGTTTTGATTTGTTTATTCCGACCGCCTCTACTGTTGCTCCGTACAACACCTGCCCATCTCGTTGAACCTGTCCACCAACCCGACTGCCTTGACCTTTTTCTCTGATTCCACATCCCCTCTTACCCGCATTGGCAAGTGTTGGATAAATCCGCAATGCCCCCTAAAAGAAAGCGTGCCAACGATGGGCAAAGCGCCGACGACGGCGCGCGCAACAAGCGATTTGCGTATCTGAAGCCCCAAGTTCGCCAGGTCTCGGAGAAAACCATCAAATCCAAATGGTCTACCCTTCCCGAACCCGCTCAAGACAAGGTTAGGGATATGTTCCGGGCCCTTGAGCGCCCGGTCATAGTGCGACACCAAAATGAGCGCAAGCGCATTGAAGCGCAAGCAGCCGTACATGTTGTGGTTAAAAAGTGAGTCGCCCCAGTTGAGGGCGCCTATAGTTTTGCTTGGAGCCAATTGATTGCGATAGTTGAATCCCGCTGACAGTTTTGTTATGAAGTCTAGCGAAGCGATTACCTAGAATGCCATTCCCGCCAATTACCAAGGACTCGGTTTTCGAGTATGAAGCGGCCCTGAAAGAACATGTGCGATATCCTTATAGAATTTATGCGACATTGTACTGACTGGCCTAGTCCTCCCTAGAGGCCAATCTGGCCACGGTGAAGGATAGCACGGATCTTCTGAAAACCGAGGCCGACCGAGAAGACGCTTTACTTGCGAAGGAGAAAAAACAGCTCCAAGAGATGGAAAAGAATGCCAAGCGAGCGGAAATGGAGAGGAAGCGACAGTTGAAAAACGTGAGGATCTTCTATTGTTGTGATATGGAGTGGCAACTGATCTCGTCTGAAGGAGCATCCCGTGCTACGAAAACTTAATGAGGCCCCTAGTACCGAGCACCGGATACAGGCCGATCTCAAAATCGCTGCCGACAAGAACCCTCAGCTTACATTTGATGGGGTATGGCTTGATTTTCTCCTTTGCGCTCCGTGGTACTGACATAAATTTGCCAGCTCGAGGATGACCCTGATACATTCGACCTGTTGAAACAACTGAGTGGCCACCTGAACTCGATCCAAAATAACATCGCTCCGCTTGACGGCCTTGCGGATGCAATCACACGATCACAAATCGCCTTGAGCTTGGCCTCTATGTCAGAAGGCTGAGTGATCAAAATCAGAGAGGAAACGACAACAGGACACTGACGAATCGACGACATTGCCGACATTGCCGATATCCTAGATGACTCGAGCCTGGTTGGGCCTTAGGCAACAAATAAATCCGGCCCGGACATATCTGCATTCCCGGAATGCAAGCTTCATACGACGGGATATGCTGTTACGAGTAAAGAAGACTACTTGTTGCAAAGCGACCGCAAACCACTAGCATACTCTATATCGATGCGATGAGTGGTAGGAGACAGAAACCCCGATGGTTCAGCGTTCAGGAGACCGGGAGTCCACGCTTTCGCTGGTCACTAGGTTCGAGAAGGACCAGTAAGAGCCAGGAACCCAGCTTGGGAATCAGGCCAAGGGCCAGGCGTTCGTCATGCGCGTGAAGGAATGGAACGTGGCTGTGTATGGAAAGGCCATGGCGTGCTAGGTTCACCACAAGTACAACAATGCAAGACCAATACGTGGAATCACGGAATAAAAATAGTCACCAGTGTAATATGCACGCCGACTGGCTTAGAAACCATCGTAGAACCTGCTGTAGTAAAGACCGGAGCAAATGCCCGAGGTCAAGTAGTGGCACATGGCTGGCCATTTCCCCAATGCGGAGGAGCTCGGGAAAAGATGGCGCCCGGCTTCAAGTCCCGCTCTCGGCGGGGAACCCTGGACGAGTCGATCGCATTCGCGCCTGTCCTCAATTTCCCGCGGCTCCTTCAACGGCGCATGCCTGCTACAAATGATCCCGATTCCTATTCCTCGCTGAGTCTTAGTCGATGTCTGCCGGTGACCACCCGATCAGTTCTTTTCGTGTTCCAATCGTCCATTACCGCCCCAGCAGCGAGCCGGACTCTGCGCAACCACTTTGCGCTTAGCGATCGATGACCGAGAAAAGCGCGCATACGGCCACGGCCCCCGACCAACCATCGAGCCATGAACCGACAGAGAAATTGAAACTCAATATGTCGGAAGGCGAAAGAATGAGGCGGGATTCCAGCGCAAGAGAGAGCTCCCAAACCTCCCCAGCGTCCAAGCCTGAGAACGGGGCGTCCTCCAGTCCCAAGAAGCGTCGCAAAGTCAATCACGGTAAGCAAACCGCTGTGCCCATGCATTTCTACAAGGATAATGGCAGTGGCTCCTCGCATCTGCTCCATTACAGCCGTCAGGACCACGTTGCTAACCAAATGGCCACGCCTGCAGCCTGCGTCTACTGTCGGCGATCGGTAAGTCGTCATAGCTGATCCCCTCTTTGTTGTTTCTCTCCTCTCCTCGCATCGTTTTCTCGCGGTCTCGTCCGTTTGGATCTTGATCGATTTGCGCGAGAAGAATTTTCCTGGAGACCGATTTGCTGACGGGATGGTACTTGTTCACGTGGCACAGCATATGACTTGCGACTCGGTACGACCTTCCTAAACCCTGCCCCTACAGCTCTTGCGTGTGAAACGTATCGCAAACCGACTTTTAGAAGACTAGCTGCTGACTTGTTGTGCTGTGGGAAATTAAAGGAGCGGCCTTGCACCCGATGTATAAAACGCAATATCGGCCACCTGTGTCATGATGAACCGAGGGAACAGTCGAAGCGGACCCGGAGTGACCAGGAACCTTCGATAGCGGACGACGACGGCTCTTCGAACAATGAATTCTCGACCGTTATGCAACCAATGCCCCGAAGCGTCGATATTCAGGATGCTGCTGGTCAGCAGATTAGTCACGGGATTCCACCTTCGTCGGCTGTGAACCCAGTGCAGCATGGCAACATTCCTGATTCTTCAGGACAAGGGCTTGCAAACTCCCAGCAGCGTAAGCTCGCAGTGATCACTTGATTTCTAACAATTTTGCTGACATAGGGAGGTAGTTCTAGGGTACAATGACTGGGTTCCAGGGCAGAGCCAATTTCAAGACATGCACACGTTCCATCCTTCGTACATGTTCAACGCACACGAAGTTACAAACGAATACAATCTACTTGGGGATTTCCTGAGCAACAGTCTGTTGGATGATGGGGCCATGTTCCAGAACGACGATCTACATGGAATCTATTCGGATCCAACTTTGATCAATTCCATGGCTACACTCGGTGGTGGCCCTAGCGCAACACTACTTCAACAGACCCAGCCTTCCCAGATTGCTCCAAGCCAGCAAAATCAGGGAGAACCCATCCACCAGGGTCAGAGCTCGGCGGTGGGAAACGACAAAGCGAGGGAGACGTATTACATGACTGCAGCCGATCCGTCCGGATCTGACCCTCCCGAGGAGCGAATGAACAAACTTCTCAAAGCCAAGTACGACGCAGGTCTTCTGAGACCATTCAACTACGTGAAGGGCTATGCGAGGCTGAATCAGTATATGGAGAAGCACTTACAACAATCCTCGCGCCAGAAGATCCTCCGGCAGCTAGACAAATTCCGGCCCAAGTTTCGAGAGAGGATGCAGAGTCTCACTGATATCGAACTGATCCTGGTGGAGATGTGGTTTGAACGAAGTTTGATGGAATACGATCGTGTCTTTGCCAGTATGGCTATCCCCGCCTGCTGTTGGAGACGAACGGGCGAAATCTTCCGAGGAAACAAGGAAATGGCAGAATTAATCGGCGTTCCAATTGAGAACCTGAGAGACGTGAGTTGCCTGTTCTAAACCTGCTTCCTAGTGCGGTGGACTAACTTGCTCTTGTGCTGCAGGGCAAGCTGGCTATTCACGAAATCATCGTGGAGGATCAGCTTGTCAGCTACTGGGAAAAGTTCGGAGCGATTGCGTTCGACAATACTCAGAAAGCTATGCTCACTAGCTGCACTTTGAAAAACCCCGACTCTAACTCTCCTGGTGATGGGATTCCCTGTTGCTTCTCATTCACAATACGAAGAGATAATCACAACATGTAAGCTGCTAGCCATTGGGTGATTCTCAAATGAGCCATGCTGATTGAAATTTAGCCCGTCACTCATTATCGGAAACTTCTTGCCATCTCGACGAAAGAGTAAATGATCTTATGGACTTCTAATTTGCTCTGTCGGCGCCACCAGGCTGCTGGACACTGCTTATATCTCTCTAAAATGGAGTTTAGAAGATAGTTTTCGTGAGCTTCTTGCATATGTCTCGACTGTTGTCGTTGAAAATTGTGGATATAAATTTCTCAAATAACTTACACTATTGGACGAATGATGTATACTGATATATCACCGCGACCTTTTGGAGCATGTCTACCGTAATATTCGCTTTTTCAATGCCCTTGATCCACCAATCTTTTTTCCCACTTGGTTATACCTGATGTTGGATGGATGAGGCTAGCCTGGTCAGGTGGACGGTTCTCCAACCCACTTTCGTTCCCAATGACCTCCTGTCAACCCTAACGAGACCACCGAGAATGTCAATTGACCAAAGCCACGCAAAAGCCATCAAAAAACCAGTCTTTTCATCATGGAGATGACACATCCAGACAGCTTGCGTGCGGAGACCATTATAGGTAAAGCACATGTTCCTCACAGCTCCAGGTTTATCAAACCAATTTATCCTAACATTATGCATTATCATAAGAGTTTGCAAAAGAAATACAGACCCGGCTTTCTGAGAGTGACGGCTTCAATGAGGCCCTCCACGACGATGCACTCCGCACTTTAGACAAGTGCATCGACCATATACCTTTACCTGCGACGGCGGTCCCGCATACAATTCGTCATCAAATGGACCACGAAGGTGTCAAACTCTGGAACCTGTGTGCGCAGCAGATGCTACATGTGGAAGGTAGCAGGGACATGATACTGGTCTGCAAATGTATTCAGTCATGGAAAATGAGACTTTTCCTCTGTGGGCTTTGCTGAATCAGCGCAGTGAAAGTATTGGCCTACTTGATGATTGGAAGTGTCGCTTCAAAGCAGGGTCAAGGTTAGTTGAGCTTTTAGAAAGAGAGTATTATGAAGAGCTTACTGTCAGTAGGGAGCTTTCGCGTCCTGGAGGTAGCCTTGAACACGGCCAAGGCGTGCGCGGGTATTTTCTATCCTCCCTCCTCATTGCCTAAGCTAAAATTCCATTTTAGAAACAAGGCAATTTGACCTGAGCCAGAGAATAATCGAGACCATAGCTGTGAGGCTGGATGATATCGAGAAATCAAATTCCCAACATGAGCATACTCGGCTACGATCCGCCACCGTGGAATACTACATGCTTCGTGTATACCTGGTTAGCAAACCAATGAGCCCTGTCCAGAGGACCCATAGCTTGACTAACAAATCGTAGTCATGGTTTCGAGGGAGACCTGACATTGCAGATCATTTGTTCTCAAAAATACCGGCGACACATATTGACAAGAACCAAAGATGTGTTCTAGACATATGCTACAAGGTTGGCAATCTGGCACTTTTATCCCATGGACATCATACAGCAGTAAAATGGCTAGGAAGGGCAGTGAAAGCTTATGAGCAGTTGAGTGACGACTCACAAGAGTCTGACATAACTTTGGAGGAAAAGAAACTGGTTGTCATGCACACGTTTGGTAGGTTTCTACGAGAGACTTGTTTGCTTATAACAACAATGCTCACGCGAACAGTACGTGCATGCCTTCGTCTGGACAAAATGGAATCCAAAAAGCCTTTGAATAGAGCACTCGAATCACTGAAAACCGTGAGATCTGAAAAGTCACTAAACGACCTATTCTAATTCAATTGAATAGAAATATGGCGATACCTTTGCTGTTCAAATGCTACAATTAGAAGCTCTTGGCATTGAAGAAACCTTGACTGGCCAAGAATACCTGCAGAGTGAGTGTAACAGTCTAGAAAATGAGCCAACAGCATATTAATGAAGACTTTAGTTGTTCAATATGCCATTAAGACAGTGGAGCATAAACACGGGCATTTGAACATGTATTGAACTGCAACCTATGTTACAGAGTGGTTCTAATCAAGCAAACAGCCTCCTATGTTATATCCAGAAACTGAGGGAATTGGAGTAAGCAGTATTATACCCATTGTTCACCACTAATCTGACGCATGGCAGTGTGAAATGTTATGTGCAGGCGTTGAAACAACTCCTTACCGAGATACTTGTTTCTCCGGCTGAAAGAAGTCTGATTGAATCCACTTTCATTCGGCTGGTTTGGACATTGACAGATGCGAGTATCGAGGCCCAGCATGCCCTTGATATTTGCCAAGATACATCGACAGCGCTCATAGAAACCCTACAAGGGCCTTTGAGTGAGAATGCGACTCATGCTTCTCTGATTGTATGTTAACCCTGCCTGGTATGCTCTATATTAATGGCAGATACAGCTTATGTGGAAATATATCGATCGTAAATTGTCTATGGATGATGCCCCGACTGCACAGAAATGGTGCTTCTTCGTTCTTGACCATCCGGTTTTTCAAATATCTCCAGACACGCGTGGGAAATTTCTTAGGTTAGTTCTCGTGATTTTTATTCAAATCGCTAGTCTAATATAAGATAGAAAATTGATAATCTATGCTATGGAAAACCCGGGCTCGTCCACATGGCATGACTTATTCCACAAAATGCCGATACAGTGCCAGCAGTCTCCCTCCGCCTTATTTCTCATGCACAAATATGCTCTTGCACGAAAGGATTTTTCTGAAGGTGTGTTTTGTCCCTTGTATGTGCCATATCTGACTGGTTAAAGCATCTGCATATCTTCAAAATCTCTGTGAACAGGCAGATCAAGCAAATGCCTATCTTTTGCCTTGTATGGGCGAGGCGATGCAAATGGGACAAGCCCTGCAAGCAGCCAAGATATTGGAGCGAATACTCGCAAGCTCAGATGGTGCTTGCTTCGAGGCAATGAACGTCAAGGATCTTTTCCAGTATGGTACATCTGTTCCCCGGCAGAATACTTGCTAAAAATGCTTTATACCCGTACTTCATCATCTCTTAATCGATATCGAGACATGTGACAACAATGAGGAAGAGCTGATCCTCCAGATCACATTTATATTTGAAGCCGGTGTGTCTCATGCAATTTCAAATACAGACCGTCGTCAAGTGACAAATCCAGCCATCAACCAAGCAGGCAAACAAAACGAAGCCCAATTCTCACCTATTCAGCTCGAATGGCTTTCTCACAAGAGTTATAACGTCGCTTTACGAACCCACAAACACTCTCAGCCCAAGCTAGCACTGCAGCTATTAGATATATCTGTGAAGGTAACCAGAATCCTTACCACCCTCTTCTATGTTAATTTGAAGCTCTAATTCAGCCAGTTCGCCGAACTGCATCAGCAAACCCTACCCCCAGAAACTCAACCCAGTATAAACCAACACATACTCCACTGCGACTTCCTCCTCGCCCTCATAACGGTATCACAGGCCCGCAAAGCAAAGACTACTCCTCAAAAAGTCAGCTCCAAACTATTACCATCCTCCTACCTACTCTACCCAAAACACCCAATGAGAGCCAAATCAAGCTAACCAACGCAGAAAAAAAACCACCAAAAACTCACCCACCTAACAAACCACTTCCACACTCATATCCACCCCCTACTCAATACCCACAGCCCAAAAATTCAGGAATGGACCCCCAAGTATCGCACCATTCTCTCCTGGGGCTTCGAAGCCGTCGTCTCCCTCCACAAATGGGACGACGCTGCCAGTGTGATCGAGAAAGCAGGCACCGTGACAGATGGTAAACTTGCATCCATCTTCTTAGATTGCTTACTCCGCTCCGAAGCCCCGGTGAAGGAGATGGCGAGGATGGTTAAGGTAAGAATATACTTGTCTGCCCCTTCTGCTTCAATGATACCCAGTCTTCGCTCCGCTCTTTTATCCCATACCATCCAACATGATATATAAATCAATCAACGCAGACAAAGACCCAGACCCAGAAAACCACCAAACTAACACAAACCTCACCAGCTAATGATCCGCACCCTCCACACCTCCCCCTCCGCATCCGAAAACAACCAGACCTTCCGGTCCACACTCCCGCGCTACCTCCGAATCCTATTCCGCCTTTCCCTCTCCGCAAAAGACACACCTCTGGCCGAATCAGTCCTCGACCAGGCCTTGATCCTAGCGCAGGAAGCACACCAGTCTGAGTCTGATGCGTCCGCAGGTCTGTATCCCAACGACGAGATCCAGTGGCTCTCAACTGTGGCGTTTAATCGGGCCGTGGAGTTTTACCGCGCGTCGAGAGATGAGGAGTGTCGGCGGTGGGCTGGGAAGGCGATTGCGTTGGCGGATTTGATACATGGGGGTGGTGCGGGTGAGTTGGGGGGATTGCTACGGCGGAACTTTGCGAAATTGATTTGAAGGATAGGTACTGTTGTTTGATCAGGGGAGTTTATACTCGAGAATGCCAGTGATAAACCTCTGTGCAGTTTTAAAAGAATCAATTTATCTCACAATTTGTCCCATGGGTCAGGTGTTGGGGTTGACTTGAAAAAATAACGAAACCAATATATCTGAGCATTGAACCATGCTGTAACAAAACGGATCTTTCCAGACGTCCGTTAGAAAATGGGGTATCATTTGAAAATTGGACGAAAATCAGAAGATATGGGTGAAGAGGTCCACAAGGACCAAACTTCTAGAAACAGGATTCAAAAGCAAAAGAAAGAGAGACTAAAAAGTTATAATGAACAGATGTGGGCGAAGTGGGTAAAACACGGCCACAGACGTTTTTGTACAAGAAATGCAGAGCAGGAAAAACGTATGCGAGTGTTGTACTCCAGACTCCTAGAATCGCTTTTGTGCCCATGTAAAGACGATTTCAAACACCGGAAATGCAAAAAATAGGCTCCTAAAAGTTAACCAAGATAATCTCCGCTGGCTCCAGTCTGGCATATAGGAAAAGCGACACTTTGAAGTTCCCCTGTATAGAATGGCAGACAGTATACTGCAAAAACAGGATGACATAATATCAAACGAAATTGGAATAAAAAAAAAAGTAGAGTGTGATGAAAACGAGGCAATTATACTGCTTTCGAATCAAAAGAGTGACTTCTCAGGACCTTCTGTGATTCACGTTGGCCCAAATTCGGAGTTGAAGGCATGCGGCGTGCTGGCCTATTGGGTGTCGGAACTGCTAGCTTTTCATTTTCTTTTCCGCTGCTGTCGGTCTCTGCATCTGCACTATCGCAAGCTTTCGTTCGAGAGGCTAAGATTCGCAGAGTGAGATTCAATTCCCGCTCCAGTTCCTTTTGAGAGTAAAGACTATCAGTGGATCCATTGAGTTTCTTTCTATAAGCTCTCAATGTACGGCAAACTTGATCGGTGGACGTGTCCAAGTTTCCGAAATCGCTTCTATTGGAGCTTCTAGGACGCGCACGCAATTCGCGAGGAGAGTGGCGAGCAGCGATATTTGTATGCTTGCTCTTCCTGCCCAACGCGGACCTAGGACTTGAAGGCGAAGGTGATCTGTGTTGCTTCTCAAACCGATGGCTCGAAGTAGAAGATCGATTCGAAGACGTGTAAGGCGGAGTCGTTGGCAATGAGTGATAGTGTTTCCCAGATGGAGGGGCGAGCGAAAGCTTTGACGGTTTCCGAGCTAGTGGCGGAGAGTGTTCGCGCACTGGAGTCGGAGTACCCGGTAGATTTTCCGGACGATTAAACCCCGCAAGTTCGGACCGAGACAATAACTTGCGCAGAGGAGGGTTGGAGACGGATGGTTCCTTTGAAGGAACGTCCTCGTCAGTTCGGTCTTGGCTCTGAAGCGGTTGCACTGATACGTCCCATATCATAACAATACCATCGATGCCGGAGCTAATTATAGTCCGAATGGCGGGTTGGTCGGGAGAACATGACTCCCGTTCGAGCACGCAAATGTCACTGACACCTTCTGTATGGCCGAATTCACCGGTAAGAAGTGCCCCCCGCTCTATATCATAAAGGCGGATCGATTTGTCTGTTCCCGACATCCCAACAAGGAGCTTGGGACTTTGTCCTGGAACTTCTTCAGTAACTGTTAGGGCACCCATAATGACTGTATCACTTGAGTCGGAATCAGCAGAGCGAAACGAGTGTAAGAGGCGGCCAGTGCTAATGTCGTACTGCTGGACGCAGCGGTCTATTGTTGATACGACGAGAATGTTCGCGTCTTCAGGAGACAAGGCCATGGAAACCGGCGACGCTTTCAACGTGATCACTTTTGATACCAGATACGCAATAGCCGTCGCACCATTGTCCTCTCGAGTCACTCGATTCCGAACACGGATGGTGCGGTCAGCAGAGCCAGAGAGGAGTAGTTCGCCATCATTGATGAAAAGCAGCTGGTTGACAGCCCCGACGTGGTCATCCATAGTTTGTATCAATTGAAAGTCTTCGTCGGATTTTTGGAAGAGCTGAACCATACGATCACGCCCGCAACTGGCAACTAAGCAGGAGCCAAACGCTGGGTGCAAAGCAATATCTGTTATTTCTCCTCCGTGCGCTCGAGCTTCGTTTGTGCATCTCCATGTTTTTCCGTCCATTGTCCTAGCGTCATAGATTAGCAAAATTCTATGTCAGTAAGGGAATCGGATTTATACCTAAGGACACCAAACTTATCCCCTGCGACAAAGAGGTCTGTATTTTCTGTAGTGCGAAGTACTTTTAGTTCATTTGAAGATTCTTCGCCAATTCCAGAAGCCTCTAATGGAACTGTTTGGGTCATTTGGTTCCTTCCTCGGGTGTCCCAAAAGTCTACAGTACCTCTGGACGACCACGTGAAAAAGTCGACGTCCGGATGATTTGGCGACTGTAAAGAACGGACACCCATTACAGCGTCCCTGTAGCCGGGAATTGAGTTTGCCATGTGGTCCAGGTCATCATTATCACTCAACGCGTCAACAGGGTACACATGGATTGCCCTTGTAACATCAAGTGTCACCAGATGCGACGTGAGATATCCCATACAGCTTATGGCTGGCTTCTTGTGGTGGCATTCTGTCAGGAAAGATGACTCTGAATGCGTTGGGGATGGAGGTGGAAGCGAATTCTCTACCATGCTCAATGGAACGCTTTGTATCTGCCCATCACGACCACCGATCCAGATGCAGGATCGATCCGAATCGACTGCCAGGGAAGTGATCCCGAAGCCCATATGCTGAACAAGAGTTAATTTTTGGGCGCCCGCATGGTCATCTATAAAACACAGAGACCCCTTGTCTGTGCCTACAACGGCACCAGTATCAGAGACGCTTGCCACACTAGTAAACGTGCTCTCTGCCAGAGCACCAAGTAAGCAATTTCTCCCCGCGAGTGCCTTTGGAGTAACATTCGGGGAAGGTGATCCGGGCCTTGCGTCTGCAAGTCTCCAGATTTTCACATGTCGAACTCCGGCACTGGAATTGGAGTCAGTACCAAATAATACCACCATGGAAATATCGAAGCAAGACATACGTGATCAAAGTTTGGCCCATCCAACACATGTCCCGGATATGTGCGGTGCATTTATTGGTTGAATGAAGCTGGGCAGCGCCATTTTTCGGATTGATCGACCATACAAACAGGAAACCGTCATTTGCATCCCCGAGCGTCGCCAAGTGCAAAGAGTTGGAGCTGAAAGCAAGACTGCGGACCCCAAATGTATGGTCGTTCATAATTGAGAGAGGGACGTCGGAGGGGGCATCGTTTGCTGTCGAGAATATCAAGACCCTCGGGCTATATCCAGTCTGAGACACGTTAGCAATTGCGTCTTATCTTGGACGATTCACCACTACTTACTTCCCCTACCGCAAGCAACCTCCCATTTGGACTTATAGAAACACCAGTTACCGCTTTCACTCTTTCTCTCGACGACCAGGGCCGAGGAGCGGTACTTTCTGCCAATTCGCTCGAAGGAGATCCATTGTGAACATTGGCGTTGGGTGCAGATTTCAGGCTTGAAAGAGGCTTCGCACGCGTGTCTGGAGTGGTGGGAGGGGTTGACTGATTGTAGAATGAAGTAGCCGGGTTGATGCTGGGTACGGAGGGTCGAGCTCTAAAAAAGCGTTGATTCACTTCTCCCTCCTCGTCCACCTCTGCCAAGACAGCCGCGGAGCCGGCGCAGAAGGCAAATGACCTGCTTTGATCGTGGCTCGAGAACCCATTAGGGGTAGTTGTGGTGGTACCGATTACAGTCTGGAGAGATAAAGTACCCTGGTGCAAGGGAGATTTGTTGGGGGTGCGCGGCGGCGGGCGTAGATTGGGCGAGTTGGAAGGAGTAACTCGGAGGGACGATCCGGGGCCGGCAGATTTGTTCTTCACGTTCAGCGCGTTGTATGCCATCGTTAGCAATGGCTGTGTTTGATCATCCACTGTCTTTTGGAATAGCAAGCAACGTCTTCATTCGCATTTGTTGGGGTGGGTTTGAACGGGAGTCGTGTCTGGCCAAAAATCCAGCAAGCTACTTCATTGCCCACAAACGGCCAGCAAGAAAAGCCAACGGACGAGGAAGTCGAAGGAGCGAAAAGTTTTCTGACTCGTATCTTTATGCAGGCGAAGAAGGTTTGGAGTACGTCAGGTCATCGATCGAGTTCGACGGAAGAGGCGTTTTGCGGTCGGCCGGGCAGATATTGGAGGGGAAGAATGTCGGAGATTGCAGATGAACAGACAAAGAAAGGAGCTGAAGCGAGAGAAAATGGAAGCCCAAAATAACCATAAAGGAGCGACGGTTGAAACAAACGAGAGAATGAATGTAGGGGGAGGGTTGGAGCCGGGAATGAAGCAGCGAGTGGGCTAGGAGCTGTCTATCTATTCTGGTGGCATCAACATGAGCTCCGGCATTCCAGAAGGCGGAGAGCCCAAAAATGATTGACGAACCTATCTTTTGTCCCTTGGCGCTGGGATGGAAGGATCTGACATTGGGCAGAAAATAGTCTATTTAGGTCCCCTTAGCTCGAGGCTACTTTAGTAGGGAGTAGCTCAGTAGATCCGCGCCGGATAGATCATTTGGCTGATCCAGAGTTCCGAGTTAATGAATCCAACCTCGGGAGAAAGGGAGACAGAGATAGGAGGATGCAAGGAGTGACCAGCCGGCAGACACACGAAAAGAACAGTTCATCCCATACCTGGCCAGCATCCCAGGATGATGATCATGCCAGGGACCGCAGGAAGGAAGACTCGCCGAAGGGTTGAGGCGGTGGATCGCCTGAGGCCGCCAAGTGGTCCCGCGTCATGTGGGGCGTCAATCTTGCCCGAATGGGAAGCGCGAGGGAGTCAGGATTTAGGGATCTGACCTTACGAAAGTCCTCTAGAAGAGTATATTCTCCAAACGACTCAATATTCAGTGCGCAACGGAGCTGGCCCTGGAGGATCACGGAGGGCAGGGGAAGCTAAGACATGCAGGATGGATCGCAGACCTTGACGTTCCGATCTATCGACTATTGAAGCTGCCAGATATATTTCCCGCCGATGGGGGCTCAGATATATCACCCGATTGGGTCCAAAGAGGACGAGCAGTGTGACACCGCCGGAAGGCCAGAGCTCGCCTTAGCGCCTCTTGAATGACAAGCATCGCCGAGGTAAACCACTGTAGTTTATCGATATATACGAAGGACAGACTATCGAATCGAACAGGTACAGTTGACATGGTCGACCACCCAAAAAGGAAGGCGGTCTATATCGCGATAAGATCACATGATACATCCTTATCGGGCGATGCCTGCGACCGCGTCGAGATTTTCCGGCGCCATCACTTTCCAGTATCATGATTCTCCCATCATAGAGCATAAATCTGCTTTCTTGAATGACTGCCGGAATCATGTTTCTATCAACTATCCTTCGCAACGTTACTCGGTCCGAGCTCGCTGGCGAGCGCTATGCCCTCTGCGACTGTCGAAATTATCTGACTCGGTACAGAGCCTTTCCCAACCACAGATACCAGAATGCGACGCAATTCAGTACGCTCTCCGGGCATCGCACGCCCGACGTCGAAGCAGATCTCTCTTCACAGCATATTGTGAACTCAACTACGGAGAAACATCGTCCATCGCATTCGAACAAGAAAGCGCAAGACCGGGCGCGGAAGCCGAAACCCAAAACCAACACAGCAGAGTCCTCGAACAGCGTGGACCCCAAGACCTCAAAGTCCTCTCGTACGAAGAAACGCTCAGATGTGGGCCAGACACACTCACAGCCGAAACCGAAGAAGAAGCGGGAGCACTGGCAAATTCAAAAATCCGCTTTGCAAGATAAATTCAAGGATGGATGGAACCCAGTCAAGAAACTATCGCCGGATGCTCTTGACGGGATTCGGCATCTACATTCTATTGCCCCAGAAAAATTCACCACCCCCGTTCTCGCAGAGCAGTTCGAGGTGTCGCCGGAAGCCATTCGACGGATTCTGAAGAGCAAATGGCGAGCTACTGAGGCTGAGCTGGAGAGTCGACGTCAACGATGGGAAAAACGACACGATCGGATCTGGAGTCATCTGACCCAGCTGGGACTACGACCGAAAACGAAACGCACCGCCCCCTACGACGACGTCGGTATACTGTACGATAAGAGTGGCAGCGGTGACCGGTGACGAGGGTCTGCCGTGGAGGACAGACCTGTAGTGGATGCACTACAGGGAAGGAGTCGAGGTCGTCGCATTGTATTTATAGTCACCATGTATATAAGTATAAGTTCTCATTACTACCCCTGTATAATATCAGACAGAAGAATTGGAGTTGTTCTTGGTGTGGTTGCCGGTTCTCGGTTGGTTGGTTGGCCACCTGTGAGGTGCCTTCAACCGAATTTCCAGGTAGTTTGGAACCGACTCAACAAATACTCCATAGAGTCAGCAATTGAATCTCGACAGCCGTTGAGTTCAGTTGGGGTCCATTGTTTCTATACATCATACATCATACATCTGTCGTTCGGTCGGAGGTCCACCACTAGTAAGTAGTTCGGCCGTCATGCACAGCCGAAGCGCGCATCACCGCATGGGACTCGACTGGCCGCGTCTGACTTCCTTCTTCCGCTCTGCCTTCTTCCCTTCCTCGCCCACTCTGCCCAACCTGATCGTGACCATGGATCGCCTGGTTTGACGGAATGCCCTAGACGGCCTTCCATCTTATGTATCTTTGTCCGCATTGTATCTTGCCCTTCTGCGCTTGATCGCAGACCCCGGTGGCGGCTGGTTCCCACCTCTCTTCCTCAAGTTGTCGTTGACTCCTGCTTGCCCTTCTCCGCCCATATGGTGATTGCTCGACGATCGCCATGTCATCGGACATCCAGGTCTTCGTGAAATGGAAAGACCAGACCATATTCGCGGGAGAGGACGTGGAATGTACAATCACCTTCAAGAACGTCGCAGATGGTACCGGCGAATCGAAGAATGGCGGGCAACACTCCCACCAGAGGAAACAGTCCCGAGCTGCCAATGTCACTCCTCATTCGGATTCCTTCTTTTCGCTGAAATCTCCCCATAGCCTCTTTTTCAATAATAACCGCCGCTCGTTTCCGACGAGAAACCCGCATCATCGCAGCATTTCTTCGCTGAGTTCCCCATTAATCGGCTCCCACAGCTTCCCGCCCCCCTCCACCCCCCGAAGTACCTCGTCTTACGGCCATAAACACAAACGCTCCGTTTCGATTCTTTCGATAGACAGCGAAGGTGGCGGTGAAAAAACCCCAAGGACCTCCTCCCAATTCAACCGCCCCCGGCCGACACGCGGCCATGGACGCTCTGCAAGCTTACAAGTTGTACCGAGGCGCTATGAAGGCTACGAGGATTCTCCCCAGAAAGGTACCTGACTCGCCCTCACGGCTGATCAACCCATGATAGTCTGACAATTTTGATCATCTAGCCGCGCGCATTCCCTCCCGTGGTTTTCCGTCTCCTGTCACCCCGTCCTCCCATGGCCCGAGAGTCGACATTGACCGGCTGAACCGGACCAGTCGTTCTGGCTCCGAAGTGGCTAGCCCTACAAGACCCATCGAATCGCCGCGCACCCCAGTCCGAAGACCTCAGTTGCCGCCGATGGACTTCAAGTTCCCTCCACCTTCTGACGCGAACCACTTGCGACCTGACGCATCACCCGCAGTGACTCCAAACGATGAGAACCCCAATCTGGCGGTGACGGCAAGAACAAACGGAAAGGATGCATCGAGCCTGGCCGCACCAGGACAGTTACCTCAATTGACTAAGATCATGTCGACGTCGAGCTTGAGCGGAAGCCACAAGAGCAGCGGCGAGTTTTACTCTGCTGGGAATAACTCGTCGGAGACTCTTCAGTCTGAATACACCAATTACTCCCTTCCTGCCCCTGGACCGGGCGGTCCTCGTCACTCGCGACATATGTCCAGCTTCGAACCCGTAGGCCTTTCGCCGAATAGCCAGACGCTGCTTATGGGGTACGCGCAGATCAGTGCGTCATTCACCGTGGATGGCTCGTTGGTACAGCAATCCGCCTTCGATGATGTGAAGCGGAAAGGTGTGGTTGGAGGACAGGGAGGCACTGGGACTCCCAGGTCCAGGCCCGGTTCGAGCGGCGACAAAGGCCGAAAGACCGGAGGCTTTTGGGGCGCCTTCAAATGGAACGCGATTGAAGAATCCATAAGTGGACTGCTCTCCAACAATGAACTTGATGGCCTCAGGGACATGCGGGGAGTTACCTCGTCGAAGTCGATCCCGTTATTGTCAACATCCCAATCGCTTCTTTTTGTGGATCTCCGATTGGCACCCGGGGAAGAGCAATCTTACTCCTTCGCTTTTACCTTGCCCCCTGGTCTCCCGGCGAGCCATAAGGGCAAAGCCATCAAAATCTCATATAACCTGGTCATCGGCACTCAGCGCCCGAGCAGGCCGAACGAACCTCAGCGAGTCAATCGGATTACTATTCCATTCCGAGTGTTCAACGGTGTCAATGGTAAGCCTTTGCTTCTTCATTCGAGACCTCTTTGGTTCAGCTTCTTTCCCGTTCGAACATGACTAACCGAGTGATGGTATATTAGCCCAAGGAGAAATTCTCGGCCATGACCTAATGAGCCCTTATGTGCTTCTGCGAGACGAAGCCAGGGTGCAGAAAGTCGGGAATAGTCCACCGCCGGTTGCAAAGCCGAAAAGTATTAGTGGCGCAACTTGGAAGTCAGCCCCTGACTTTTTGAACTACGTCGACGAAATCCTGGAGCAAAGCGCTCGCAGTAATCTCTTGCAACCCCCTGATAATTCATCGGATAAGCGTTCGATTCATGAGGTATCGACCGGGCCAATTTCTTGTAAGGATGCTATCGACTTGGCTATTTTGCGGAGTAACCAGGCATTCAGCTCCTCGCGCAGCCCGAATAGATTCGAGATTGCGCGCAATGGACGCCGAATTGCCGTCGTGGTCCTCAACCGTCCCGCCCACCGACTGGGCGAAACCATCATGGCCACCGTGAATCTGGCGGATGCTTCACTTCCATGCTATGCCATCCGGGCGACTTTGGAGTCTTCCGAGAGGGTAGCGGCTCCGTTGGCCGTACGGTCGGGGGCCAGCATTCGGCGGGCTACTCGACGCGTGCACGCCTCTTTCTTCGAAAATACTTTGTACTCGACGCGTGTGGTCTTCAGTCCTGCCGTCCCAATCACTGCCACGCCCACGATCCTTACCAGCGGAGTCAACTATGATTGGGAGTTACGGTTTGAATTCGTGACGACCAGTGTACATAATGACGGGGAATCGGGTCCCTCAGGCGAGAGACTCCTCGAAGCCGTGCACGAGGATGATCGCGGACGAATCATGACGGCGTTGGAGAGCTTAGGATGCGAGTCTTTTGAGATCTCGATTCCCATCACCATCTATGGCGAGACGGTGCGCGAGAGGGTGCCCGAAGAGAACGAAGGATACTCTATATAATCTCGAGATGAATCTTTTGGATTTGCATCAGCGGCGTGACTGGCTGTTTTATGCTGTATGTGTATGATTTGTTGTCCATGTCTTTTTCTTATGTCTCAATATTATTACTCTTGGATGTTTGGATATATGAGGGCCCTGGTTGATGGATTGGTGTAGACTTCTGGGTGGTTTAGAGTGACGACAGGACGTTCTCCACCACACTACTGGATCTCTAGTATACTTTGGACTGTGAACAACTTGAATCGAGAGAAAAAGCAGGCAGGCAGAGGCCGAGTGGGGATGCGTCGCCGTGGAAACGGACGACGGGCTGGCAGCATCCATGGATCCGGACAAGTCAAGGAGGTTCCGCTTGTGGGATCGTGGGGACCTGCCGTCGATGACGGAATCCCTCTTCCTGCCATGTTATTCCCATTGAGCTAATTCGATTTCTGGTTTAATTAATAAATAAATATTCCCATCACAAGATCGCCCGTGCACTCGCTGAGATCCCTCGGATTTGTTTTCCACCGCCACCTTTCTCTCCCCTCGTCAGAGTGGCTTATTCTCAGCCGACCGCGATATCCCTGCGGTGAGTCCTCCACGTCGTGACCATCCCCGGATATGAATTGCCTGAACTGACCTCATCCCTCCTATTGTTCTCTCTGGAATGTAGGCGCATTCTCTATCACCACCTCCCGCCTATCAACGGTTTCCATTCACCCACGACAAGCTTTGAATCGGGCAAGTCGGAGAATTCGACGGATTGAAGGGGGAAGCCGGACTCCCTTGAGTGCTGTTTGCCAGGGTCTTTTATCGTTGAGGAACTCGGAGAAGGAAAAGAGAAGTTGAGAATGGCTTCATTCATCACTACCATGTCGGTGCCCACTTCTGCTTCATCTACCCCGCCATCGCACCCACCATCGTCCACACAAATTCCCCTGTTACTTACCCCTGATACTGCCTACGATACCATCCATACCTCTCGTGTCCCTCTTTCTGAACCCCCCTCTTATCTGTCGCCGGCCGTTCGCGCTCTGAAGCAAGGCAGCTTTGGACTGACCCCTCCCAGCAATGCGCGCACGCGAGCCCCCTTCAAACCGCGATCGGCGGCCAAAGGCACCAGCAGTTATCAGTTGAGACAATTTGCAGAGGCAACGCTTGGTAGTGGTAGTCTTCGGAAGGCCGTGATCCTTCCTGAAGGCGAAGATCTGAATGAGTGGCTTGCGGTTAATGGTAGGCTGCCCTTCCCCGTTTGATGCCTCGTACATCCAGGCTAACCTTCGCATGCGATAGTCGTCGATTTCTACAACCAGATCAACCTTCTTTACGGGTCAATTACAGAGTTCTGCTCGCCGCAGTCATGTCCGGAGATGAAAGCGACCGATGAGTAGGTGTCTTGTCCGAGGAACCCAGAAGACGGCGACTGACACCGAGGTTTCTCAGATTTGAATACCTCTGGCAGGATTCGGAGCACTTCAAGCGGCCCACGAAGATGTCCGCTCCAGAATACATCGAGCACCTGATGAGTTGGGTCCAGGGCAATATTGACAACGAGCAGATGTTCCCCAGCCGGCTGGGTATGTATCCCCCTCGGACCCCGACGATGGGAACGAATCGACTGATCCGAATATGCAGGTGTCCCGTTTCCCAAGGCGTTCACTAGCCTCGTGCGACAGATCTTCAAGCGGTTGTATCGAGTGTACGCACACATCTACTGTCACCATTACCCGGTCGTGGTACATCTGGGACTGGAGCCCCATCTCAATACGAGTTTCAAACACTACGTGTTATTCATCGACGAGCACCGGCTGGCCAGCGGAAAGGATTTCTGGGGACCGTTGGGGGATCTGGTGGAGAGCATGTTGCGCAGCGATTAAAGGTCGCACCGCCAGGGAAAGGCGGACGGGAAGCATTCGAACTGCAGGCGTTGCGGTGTTGGCATTAGTTATTCGTGTTACTGAGATTGATTTGCCTGGAAGCGGGCGGGCGTTGCGACATGCGATGAGAGAAGGCCGCGAGGATACCTGTAGACTATTTAATAAATAAAAGAAAATGACACCCAGATAATAACATTCTTCGTCCTCTTATGGTCACGGTTATAACCGAAAACTCGGCGTGTGCGGGATCTCACGTGACCGGGCGCCGGGAGAAGTTGGACGTTCGACCTCAACTCCATCCCAGCTCGACCACCGGCCATTCGCACCCCTCCGATCTCGACGCTCGCCCGTCTCGCATCCATCCACTCCTCTCCTCCTTTCTCGTCCGAGGCTTCTCGCCCTACCACTCACTCGTCACAATGATGTCCGCTCGTGTCGCCCGCGCCGGCCTGCGTGCCACCCAGCAGTTCTCCGTCCCTCGCACTGCCGCCCTGAACGGCCTCAGGACCTATGCCACCCCGGCCCAGGAGGTCAAGCCTCCTGTGTCCCTGTTCGGTGTCGACGGTACCTACGCTACTGCTCTGGTATGCTCAATGCCTTCCTTCCTCCTGCACCCTGGAAGCGTCGTTCCTCGATCCAGCTGGACGTGTTTTTCACCCTCTCCGTTGCCCCGGGGTCGGAGCGAGAAGCCTTAAAAAAACTGGATCCAGCTTCCCAGAGCCTCACCATACCAGCTACTCCAGATCCTCAAACCACAATGCCCAATTCCACTCCTGCTAATATCCTTCTCTGTCAATCTAGTACACTGCCTCGAGCAAGGCTGCCGCTCTCGACCAGACCGCCAAGGCCCTCACCACCCTCGGTGAGACCCTCAAGGCCGACCGCAAGTTGACCGGCATCATCTCCGCGCCCACCCTCACCGTCGGCGACAAGCAGCAGATCGTCCAGGAGCTGCAGAAGCTCTCCGGCGACAAGGGCGACGTCGTCAAGAACTTCCTCGAGGCTCTCGCCGAGAACAACCGTCTCGGCCTGCTGGAGGGCATCACCGAGAAGTTCGCGACTCTGATGGGTGCTCACCGTGGTGAGATCGAGCTGAACATCACCAGTGCTCAGGTATGCCTTCTTTACCGTGGTGGAGATCCGTTGGGTTAGAAGTTGTCACGTTGCGTCGTGGCACTCGGGACCGCCGGATTGGAATTACTTCGGAATGGAATAATTATGCTAACGTGGTATCCATCCAGGAACTCGACAACAAGACCATCAACCGTCTCGAGAAGGCCGTCGCCAAGTCCGAGTTCAGCCAGGGCAAGAAGCTCAAGGTCGTCTCCAAGGTGCGTACCCATCCTTCCCTCCCCCTACATAACCTCATCCACCCTGCTAACATGAACCCCAACAGGTCAACCCCGACCTCGTCGGTGGCCTCGTCGTCGAGATCGGTGACCGCACCATCGACCTTAGCGTTTCGTCCAAGATCGCTAAGCTGAACAAGGCCCTCACCGATGCTTTGTAAATTAGAAATATCTTCCGATCCCCTTTTATACGCCCATCAACCCCCCCCTTGTAACCCGTACCTTCTACCCAGTCCCGCACACTTTTCTTTGAAAGTACCTGACTTAGCATGAACTCGTGTTCTGGAGATATGAATAGACAGAATTGAGTTGATATCTTTATACATATTTCTTCTTTTTAGTTGATTCAGACTGGTTGTGTTGGGTAGAATGACGTCTTTCATTGTCTTGAGTACCTAGTGCATGGATTATGGAATGGCTATCGAGAGGGGTAGCAAGCGCCGAAATACTTGGCAGCTTGGACCTCGGATTTCCACGAACTTGTCTTGCGTATCTACAGCGTAAATACAGGGTCTATTCGCCTTTCTGGCTCGGAAATACTAATCATCGTCTTTTCCTTCTTCTAAAAGGCACATACACGGTAGTGATTAAACATAGAGGGAGCTTTTATGATGGGTTGATATGCTTCGTCGGAGTTAAAGAGGTGGAATGAAGATTCGATAGACATATATTCGTACGGGTGAGAAGGATTAACTCGTGTCAACCGGGTTTGGATGCTTGAATTTCACGACTTGAGTGCAGATAGAAGGCTGATATGTGTTGTATGGTAGGAGTATAGACAAGCTAAATCCAAGCCAAATAACTCAATCCATGGCTATATTCGAACGCAAAATAGAACATGACATCCAATCAGACTGTACCAAAAGAGCAACTCTAAACAAGGAGATACAAAAAAAGGTAAAAGAAGATAGACTGAAATTACCAAGTCCCCATCACAAGTACTGATGTTATCTTAGTGCCCATTCGGCGTGCGATCCGCCTGCGTCTCAAGCTCATCCTCGTAGCTGGCAATAGACGTTTGACTACGGATCCGTTGCAACTGGCTCTCGACGTAGCTGGAGACATGGGGGTCCAAGTCGCGGTCCCTGTGCTCGTGGTCATCTTCGTCGACGGCGCTCTCGGGAGCGGGCGTTTCACCACCCGTGAAGGTCGACTCGAAGTCGCTTCTGTTGCCGATGGAGCGGCTGGTAGAAGAGCGGCGGACGCTGGGTCGTCGGCTGCCGCGGGGGCGAGCGGACCGGGTGAAGATATCGTCAAAATAATGGGTTGCGGCGGCAAAGGGGGAGCGAGGGGTTTGTGGGAGACGGCAGTTGATTCTGTACTTGTTAGACTTGGACACAAGGGTGGCAAGGGAGCTAGGGAATAGCTTACCCGGTGTCATGGATGACTTTGGCGATGAGACCTGTCCACCCGCATTGGTGAGAGGATCCGAGACCTCGACCGGTATCTCCGTCGAAGAACTCATGGAACCACATGTAGTCTTTCCAGTTCTCGTCGAAATCGAGCAGGTCAGAATTGTTGTGGACTGCACGGCGTCCTTCGTCGTTCCGAGCAAACAGATGTTGCATTCGGTGCTGGATTTCCTCTGCTACCTGCCCTAGATGCATGTAATCTCCAGAACCAGTGGGACATTCTATCTGGAAGGAGTCGCCGTAGAACATGTAAAAGCGTAGCAGCGACTCAACCAGCAGGAAATTCACGCACAGCCAGACGGGGCCGCGCCAGTTACTGTTGCCGCCAAAGAGAGCACTGTCTGAGTCGCCAGGGACATAGTTGACACGGAACTCCTGGCCATTGACAGCCATAGAGTATGGGTTCTTCTCATGGTGTTTGGACATGGATCGAATGCCATGCTTTGAGAGGAACTCAGTCTCATCGAGCATCCTCTTGAGGATTTTCTCTAGACGATCTCTGCTTACCAGAGATAACAGTAGTCGCTCGTCCTTGCCACGACGCTTCATACTGGCGATGTTTCGCTCTGCCACATCTTGTCTATTCTCAACAAACCAATCCAACCGTCTCTTAAACGAGGGAAACTTCTTGATTAGTTCCGGTTCAAGTGTGAGAACCGCATACAAAGGGATCAGGCCGACGAGGGACCGCACAGGGAGCTGCTGGGTCCATGGCTCGCCGTACGAAATGGCGTCGTAGTAGAAGCTGATAAGGTTAGATACTGGAAGATAAGTTGGAATAAAGGGATTTTGTACCCGTCCTCCTCGTTCCATAGAGAGGTCTCTTGTCCTCCCGACCTGAACGTCATAGCGTCGCTGATCAGGATGAAGTGTTCAAAGAATTTGGAAGCGACTTCGACTGTTAGCATAGGTTTGGAAATCTAGCTCCGTGGTAGATGATACTCACTGTCTTCGTAAATCCTCCGATGCTTAGCAAGTTCCAGGGCAATGTTGAGCATGGTTAGACTGTAGAAGGCCATCCAACCAGTACTGTCTGCCTGTTCCAAGACACCACCCGTTGGCAGCGGTTCGGATCGATTGAAGAGACCGATGTTATCTAGCCCAAGAAAGCCTCCCTCGAACACATTCTTGCCATCGCCGTCCTTGCGATTGACCCACCAGGTGAAATTCAGGAGGAGCTTTTGGAAAACTCGCTCCAGGAAGTCAAGGTCCTGACGTCCGTACATTTTCCGCTCGATCTTAAACACTCGGAACGTGGCCCAGGCATGGACCGGAGGATTTACGTCGCCAAAGTTCCACTCATACGCTGCAAGCTGCCCATTAGGATGCATGTACCATTCGCGAGTCAGGAGATCCAGCTGCTTCTTCGCGAACTCCGGGTCGATCATCGCCAGCGGAATGCAATGGAACGCTGTGTCCCAGGCAGCGAAAAAGGGATACTCCCATGAATCCGGCATAGAGAGGATATCATCCATATACAAGTGTTTCCACTGCTGGTTGCGAACATGCTTTCGACCCGGCGGCGGCGGCACCATGGCCGGATCACCATTTGCCCACTGGTCCCAAACGAAATGATAGAACTGCTTCGTCCACATCATTCCCGAAAATGCCTGTCTTTGAATGTTCCGTAGGTCGTCACTCATGGGCAAGGGGCTAATATGATAGTAGAAATCGTCGGCCTCTGATTTGCGTTGATCAATCACATCATCCAGCACGGCTTCATCGATGAAAGGTGCAGTTGTTTTGGAGAATCTAAAACGAACAACAGCGCATTCACCCGGAGGGATGCCCTCGCCTTCATCAAAAGCATACCAAGCTGCGAGCTTCGAGCCCTTCTGCGCCGGATTCACCGCACCATCCTCCCCGTTGACGATATGACGATGGAAGGCATCCTTCACGTACGGCTGATCATTCTTGGTGTCCCAAAGCAGCTCGTTGTTTGTCTCATTTTCCGTGAACAGCATACGAGGCAGGATATCATCCTGAGTAGGATCAGGCGACGGCGAAGGAGAGAAGCGCGTGTATCTCTCTCCTAGCTTGTAATGGGTTGATTTCGCCGTGAGTGGAGACACCTTCTCGATGGACGGCTTGAGGGATTGATCCTCGTAGCCCCAAGCCCAGGTGTTCCGGAACCACACTTGCGGAATGATGTGCAGATGGGCCGGGTCTGGACCTCGATTGTAGGCAATGATGCGAAACAGGAGTTCCTCCTCGTTATCCTCCTCCTTAGCGGTTTCAATAAATATATCCCAGTAGCGGTCTTCGGCGAACGCGCCGGTGTCGAGAATCTGATACTCACGCTCTAATCTTCCGCGACGAGCATTCTCATCCACAAGATCCTGGTAAGGGAACTTGTTCTGGGGGTATTTGTAGAGGAATTTCATGTAGGAATGCTAGGGCGGAGAAGTGGTCAGAAAAGGCCAATCCCGATAATGAAAAGGGATATACCGTCGGAGTGTTGTCAAGATGGAAATGTGCTTCCTTGACACTCTCGCCATGGTTGCCTTGAGGGTTCGACAAGCCGAACAGGCGTTCCTTCAAAAAGTCACTGTCGGCGGGATGATAAGCTAGTGTCGAGGGAGATGTGCGGGATGACGACTTCAAAAAACATACTCCTTCCCGTTCCAAAACGAAAATGCTATATTCTGCAGATTATGGGTATCGGAAACGCCGGCAATGCCATCTTCGCCCCAGCGATAGGCCCGTGAACGAGCGTGGTCGTGCGAGAAATCTATCAGAGAAATTGCATATGAGAATGAATTGGCCATAGATAAGATAGCACTAGATTGGAATGGTGGAGAACGATCACACTTACAGCTCCAAGCGTCTCCATTCTCGCTGCAAAGGCGTCAAATTAGCTCGAGTTGGCCAGGGAAAAAGAGGGGACAGAAAATACTAACGAATAATCCTCACGGACTGCGGGGAGACGAGAAATGAGGTCATCAGTCGATCGGAGCGCGGAAGAAGCTCAGCATTGAAGACTCACCCGTTGCCCATTGTCGCTCGGCAACGTAAGGCCCCCATTTTTTCCAATAGCGATGGCGTTCCTTGTCTTCCTTCAAGCGACGCTCCTCCTGGGACAGGTAACTGTGTTTATCGATCAACACCATGGTGGAGAAGCGGGGACAAGGTCCGTCGGGGAGGTGGATCGGGGGAGGATGCGATGGAGAATGAGGAGAAAGAGGAAGAGGGAGGGAAGAAGAGGGAGAGCAGGAGAGAGAAGAGATTAGAAAAGAGAATAGAGAAGTATGTTATAGCTTTGGACAAGTCAGAGATCGGGGCGGGGATGAGAACCGGAAATGCTGGTCTAGACCCCGTCCGCCTGACATCATGTGCTTCCCCTCTTTCCCCTCTGCTCGCCGTCCCTGTTCTCCGTCCCTATTCCCAGTTCCTATTCTCTGCTCCTCCCTCTTCTTCAATGGGTGGTCCTTATCAGCCGATCCCATCGCGCTTGACTCGTCTACCGCGCGTTGCTATGAAACTCGTGAACCGCTCCGATATGGGTTCCCTATCAGGCATCCTGCGTGCAAACAATCCAACCAAACGATGTCAATGGCCACGATATGAACGATTGATTCCGTACGGTCGGTTAAAAACGATAGTGGATCCGGGGGTGGGGAGGCTGGAGATGGTGGATGGAGATACAACGCATCCTATAAGATAGAGGTACCCGCACCTTCTACTCGTAGCTGAAAAACAATAAGTGCACCCGAGAATCTGACGCCATTTCTAGAAAACATCCAACCTACCCAAACGGAGATAGATTTCCGTCAAATATAGCGGCCCGACCTCCGTAGCTCAGAGAGCTCGGGCATCGGGTATGTTGCAAGAGCGAGAGATGACGTGGAATAGACAGTGATCAACATTTTCACGAAGGAGACTAATCCACTTCTTACCCACCCTGGCCCGAGCTACTGCAGCCCATACTTGATCTCAACATGTTCTGTGTAGCATACCATGTCATCGCAAAAAAAGGGCCATGCCATCCCCGCAGTGCTGGGATGGATGAACCCATGTGACTTTCTGCATGGCCTGACGGGCTATAAATAGGCGACCCCTCTCTGGGCATAGGGATCTGTCTTTGCAGACATTTGAACAGCGTTGGGAGTTCAAACAATTAATCGAAAGATGGATGCAAGTTGCCCGATCGGTACCAAGGCACTTATCTCACTGACCATCCCTAGACCCTCCAAATGAAAGCCCTAGTCTACAAAGGCAAGGACAAATTCGGTGTCGAAGATCGTCCAATTCCCCTCCTTCACTCGGCATCCGATGCGATCGTCAGGATGCGCCACACGACTATCTGCGGAACAGACCTCCACATCCTCAAAGGCGATGTTCCCGCCGTCAAGCCGAACCGAGTCATCGGCCACGAAGGGGTCGGAACACTCATTGGAAAAGGATCCGCAGTCACAGGGCTCCATATCGGCGATACAGTGCTGATATCAAGTATCAGCGCCTGCGGGGTCTGCAAGTCCTGCCGCAAAGGCCTTAGCGCCCATTGTATGGACGGAGGTTGGATGCTGGGAAACAAGATAGACGGAACACATGCCGAGTATGTGCGGGTTCCGCATGCCACAACGTCTCTGTACAAGCTTCCCGCGAACATTAACCCGGCTGCGGCTGTTGCTCTATCGGATGCGTTGCCGACTGGGATGGAGTGCGGCGCGATGAGTGCCTCCGTGCAGCCTGGACATCTCGTTGCGATCGTGGGTGCTGGGCCGGTTGGTCTGGCGGCGCTCCTTTCTGCTAAACTCTATACACCCGCCAAGGTGGTGGTGATCGATAAAGATGAGACCAGGCTTGACCACGCCCGGAGAATCGGGGTGGATCATGCCATTAATCCAGACACTCCTGGTCTGATGAAAATACTGAATGAGATCACCGAAGGCTCAGGCTTCGACTCGGTGATTGAGGCTGTGGGCATACCGAGCACCTTCGAGCTCTGTCAGCAATTGGTTGCCCCTGGTGGCACGATAGCCAACGTTGGTGTTCATGGGCGAAAAGTTGATCTGCAATTGGATCAACTGTGGGATCGTAATATCAGTAAGTGCATGAGATGATCTCACTGGTATGAACTAACAAAGCCTAGGCATCAAGACCCAGCTGGTCAATTCTCATTCTATCCCAACTCTTTTGAAGCTTTCGCGAGCTGGGCTTCTAAACCCGGATAGTATAGTGACTCATTGTAAGTTTTTCACCTTAGGGGGAAATGCTCGAGGACCCTACCATGAGGGAACCAAGAAACGCTAACTTGGAAATACAGCCTTTCCATTCTCGGACATTACTGGGGCTTACGCAAGCTTTCAGAATGCAGCTGAGTTGGGAACCCTCAAGGTAAAGATTGATTTTGAGCAGCATGAACCGCATCGAAACTAGACACGCCGGTAGTATCTTAGGCCAAGTTTGTCCTTCGCCATTCAGTCAAGCCAACTGCCTCTCATGGATATAGAAGTTGATAGAGATAGCTATGATTCAAACTGAGCGTAGGTATACACTCGCTCTCCGCGCATCCTCCCGTCCCAACTTTTGCAAGACACGGCCAATCCTCTCTTCCCACAAATTCTTCAAGAGCAGCCATGGAAAATCAATGCTCGCCTAGAGAAAAAAGCGCAACTCTACCACTCAAACATTGAGAACACACCAACTCACCTTTCATATATTACCCATCTCCCTCCCAAACTCCTTATCTGGAGTCCCATCAATACACTAATACAGCCCAATCTCCACCCCGGTAGGCCTAATCCATAACACAATTTACTCGTTTCGGCAAGTTATTTACTGGGAAGTAGAGCACGTTTATTTATAGCAAAATTTAGCTACTACCCACTGCACAATATTAGCAAAAATGGTAGCTATATGAACATAGAGTACCTACCCTCAGCCCGCTCGGGGTGCTCAGCAATGCAACAACAACCAAAAAAAGAAAAAAGAAAAAGAAAAAGAAAAAAAAAAAAAAAAAAAAAAAAAAAAAAAAAAAAAAAAAAAAAAAAAGAGGGAGGGAGAGAGAGAGACAGAGCGGGTCGAAGTTGCCCCGGTGAGGCGCTTGGAGCTTGGAAGACATTTCTATATAAAAATCTAATGCCCTAACCAGAAGACTATAGTACCTGTTACAAGCACTTTTCGGGAGATTTAGCGCCCTATAAATCGCGGTTTTTTGCGGCCAGATTTTTAAGTGACTGCAGGAATTCAATTAACTTAGAGAACTTGGCTTGCGGCCATTTCTCGGGGAACGAAGAAATCCCCAAGATAAGAACCGATAGCATCGGCCCATCCGAAGCCTAGGGACACTGCGATTGAAAACCAGATCGTTGGCAGTAGGGATTGTGGAGTTAAATCAGCCCCGAGTGCAATGCTTTTGATAAGCATGCCAGCTCTCGTACAAGGTTACTGAAAGGGGATATCACCTCTATCTATTCTCCGTATCTACGGACCTAAATAGGCATAGAAATCCTCCGAGGAATAAAGGCAGCAAACCAGATAAAGGTATTTATTCAATCGGTTCACCCGACTGTTGAGACAGTGCATGGACTGTGCTTTATATGTCTAGAAGAACATAAACAACTACCCATAAAAATACTTTAGAAGTCCATCGTTATGACTGGGATCAATCCCCTACGGCTGTTCAGGAAATGGATCTCGAGCTCTATCGGTTTTTCTCACGGAGATGAAGCATTTGACCCTACGGTATGTGTATAGAGGTAGAATATAGAGATTCCTACTGAAAGCCTTGTCGAAGGTCCATCTGAATTACTCGGCCCCACGGAAGAAGTACACCATGCAAGAGCTGTCTTTGAAACAAGCTCCCACTACCTCTTCCATTGCAGGCTCAACACCGTTCCCGCTGCTGTCACACGAGGGCGTGAGGGCCTACAGAAGGGCTCTGTTCCGGTCGGATGTTCTCGATCAATGTGCTAGTTCCCCGTTTCCAGCCACGTTAGTCCTGCGCGATGCTGGGAAACACTCCAGATTCATTCGAGATTTTTGGGAACATCCTGAGACTATGAGGATCGTCTCCGAAGTAGCGGGTGTTCCTTTGGAAGTGGTCATGCCGGCGGAGATAGGGCATACGAATATCCAAGTCGAGGGAGACACCGTTGCGGAAATGGCGAGTAAACTCCAGGTTGAGCCAGCTGTGGAGAAGGTGGACGTGAGTCCGGAAGAACGAGAATATGATCCACTGAGCGATGATGCCGCCGTCATCCCATGGCAGTAAGTCTTCGAACTCCTGTTTTGACTCTGCCTGTCTAATCTTGAAGCTATGATTCTTATCCGTATGTTTGTGTGTTGATGCTGAGTGAGACCGAAGGGATGATTGGAGGAGAAACGTATATCAAGAGAGGCGACAGGACGGCTCAAAAGGTCAGTGAGGCCAGTACTATTGGATGTCATATTCAAACTAACAGGCCTTTAGGTAGAAGGGCCGCAGATTGGCCACGCAGTGATGCTCCAAGGTGGCGAGGTGCAGCACCTAGCGGCTCGAGCCCGAGGAGTCAAGGAACGCATTACCACCATCACCTCGTACCGATCCAGCATGCCAGCCTGCTATGACTCCAGCTACATGACCAACATCCGGCCATATGCAGATCTGGATTGTATCTACTCAGAATGGACCCAGTACCGTTTGAGAAAGTTGAGAGATGAAATTACCCAGTTTCTCAACAAGATAGAAACAGACCCGACATTGTCTCTAAACCAGGCGGGAATTGATGAGCTCATAACGGCGCAGATCCGATATATCCAGCGGACCTCAAGACAGATGGTTCCTGTTGAATACCAAAGACAATTGCTGAGCAAGTACGGCAAGGCGACGTACTACAACGCTCCGAGGATATGGGAGATTGTCCAATCGCTGCCGGAATTTGAACACTTTGCGTCATGTGCCGACGATGATCGATGCTGGATGCCGAGGAGTGTCTACTGGAGTGATATGCAGAGCTCAGCCGAGGGTATCCGATTGGGGGAAAGCCTTGAGAGTGCACTGGGGAACTTCGTTTGGGACAAAAAGCGAAGGTATTTCATGGGAGACGAACTGCTGCGGCAGGGATTGAATGAAGTGTTTCTGGACTGGTTGGATAGTTCAGGCCTGTGGGACATTTATTGCAAAGCTATATGATTTTCCCCCTTAATTGATGGATGGCTCCTTGACTGTCTTCAACCTATCTTTAAACTTATTTTTAGTGACCTGTGGGCCATTCTTCAATACTCTTTCTTGCTATCAGGGCTGGTTTTGAATAACTTCCAAACAGAAATGACATTTAGTATATAGTTCGGACTGACACAAGAGACGGACCTTTGAATTGAAGAATAATTTCCTTTGGTCATTACGCTATCGGAATGAAATTATTCGTTGTCAGAGTAGGACATTCTGACTGCAGTGATTACCTAGAACAGAGTCGCGCAGGTGACAGTCTTCATGTGCTCGATTGATCGCTTTTCATTCCCTTCTTGGGAAACTTTAGTCGAGATAGTGGAATATTTCTCCTATCTAGGTTTTCCGGCTATCATACAAAGTTTGTCACTGTGTTGGATATCTCACGGGACTCGATCGCTATTATACCCATATTCAACAGGATATGGTTTGCACATGGCTGCAGCATACCGCATTTTGCCTGTGAAGGTTGCACAAAAGGTGTAAGTGTCCACTTATCCTCAACGCTTTCTACAAGTTTTTGTTGACGACCGCTCGCAGTATTAGTGGCGATAATCATAAGCAAATTCGACGCGTACAGTTGCTTCTTCTGTTCTAAAGGGGATTAGGCTAACCGGAGCATAGTTTCTTCATGGCGTATTTCCGGCTGAACGCAAAATGTCCAGACGAACGAAGGACAAGAATACTCTAGATGTGGATGTCGTTTGTGTGATCTATCGGCATCACTGGTCTATTCGCGGCTTTTTTGTCACGGAAGCATGATCCTCTATTTTACTACCCATCCAGCCCTGATCCGCTATTACCGGGACCCGACCCGGCGTCCTGCTTTCACAGAACACCTCTCTACCTGGCGACTCTATGAGCAGGCGCAAAAGAAATCCCACTTCTCAAAGTATTATTCGAAACAATTTCCCGTGGTAGACCTTGCGGACTCAGTCTACTATCGCGACATTAAACTCTTCTACCTACACGACCCTCGGAGCAAAATTACCGTTCTCTATGCTATTATATGTATTGATATTTATCGAGCCATATGATACAGCGACGCTGTTTGGTATTAAAAATTAAACAAAGTAGAAGTCGAGCTCGTCACTAATGTAATATACCTCTTTCAGATCATCTTTGTTCCCTCCTGCGGAGCCGGCCAGAGCATCTTCAACTTTTTCATTTCGCCATGAATCCTGACTGAATCTTCCACACCAGCAGAAAGGCTTCAGTAGTCTTTTCTTCAGGTGTCCACTTGAAATCGTTCCTCCGACCTTTAAGGACTTCAAAAGAGCGTGCATATCAAAGTCTTCTGAGTGGCAAGCATCACCCTCGTGGCGACAGCGGTAGGTAAGAAATTCAACTTGAATAATTGCCCAGAGCGTGGCGATATTTTGATTCATATCAAAAGGGTGCTTATGTCTGCCATCAGTAGCACAATCTATTCCCAATCCATGACTCATGGGGCCCAACTGACTTAAGCCGTCTTCAGTCCCACTCAGGTTGTTCTCGAGAATCAGGCAGAGTATCTCCCAACCGACCTTTGATGCTTTGGTCCATTTTCGTTCAAGTTCCGGCGTGAGTCGATGCGCCAGTGTAGCTGGAGTAAGATCTTCATGGCTACAAACTGTGGGCGGGCTTTGGCCAAGCAGGGCAGCAATTGAGATAGCAGACTTCAGACAAGGGTCTGCTCCATGTGAAAGCAGGCAGAGAGCGCAAGCAACAATTCCAAACAAGTCTTCTCCTTGACAGCCATGGAAAATAAGAAGAGCCGCCGTCAGGACCAACGTGTGTAAGGGCCGCATGCGCATGCTGAGCCCACAAGCAGCACATCGTCTGAGAAACAATCCACTGGAGTGGTTGATATCAGGAGACCATTTTAACGCAAACAGTCCCCTAATGCAGTGGCAGATCGTCTGAACTGATGTATGGCAAAAGTGATGTTTCAAATGGTAAGGCACACCTCCTTGTTTATCCTTGAGCAGCTCTCGTACAATCTCGCTATCAGCATCCCATCGACCACAAAGATCCACCTCCGCCCCGGGGAAAAACTCTTCCTGGGCCCACGTGGTGTCGACATCCCTGGGATAAGACATCGTATGGGACTTCAGTACTGAAATCATGAGGCAATCAAGGACTGTATGGCCCAGGTTGTTCACGTACAACTGATTCAGGTACTGCGGGCCCATAACACAAACGAGCGTGTGAAATATTTGGCAGCACACCTTTGTGCCATCCAGGTAGGTCGCTGCAAGATGGAAGGGGAAGAGACCCAAAATATCTGCTTGCTGCATTTCGCTGGATTCCAGTAGATTGTATACCAGTCTGTCATTGCCAGCCATAATGGCAAAACTCAAGGAGTCTGCGAATAGGGAGTGATCGGTACTGCCAAGGACCTCTGGAACAGAAAACGGCAGTTCTTGCAGTGGTACTGTGCTGAATCCGTTGGTTTCAAGTGCGGTCTGCAGGGTATCCTTGAATGAGGCTTCTATCCATGATTCAGGCCAGGGCGTCCAGCTTTCCGCCAATGGATTTGCATGAATTTGAGGGTCTGAGTTGGAATGAAATTCCTTTTGCTGGATCACAAGATCATCAAGTCCCTGAGAAACAGGCATAGAGTCTAGCAACAATGTCTCCTCTTGAAAAATATCTGCGTCTTCTTTCACAGGTTCTTTTATTGAAGATTCTTGTCGACTTGGGGAAGATGATCCCAGAGCTATTTTCCCGAAGCTCTCCGGGTCCAGGTGCATTATCAAACTGCAGCCTTTGTTTAAGGTTCGAGTGGTATCGTATGCAAGTGTGCTTTTGACATTATTGGCGCATGGTAGCATGGCGTTGATGTTTGTGTGCAGTGATTTTGGTGAAAGTTCGAGCTCTGGTTGTTGAACAGGTTCAAACAACAAAAGATCTGGTGTCCATAGCCGTGGACCACGTCCCCAATACTTTGCTGTTTTGTATGAAAAGAGCCAGAATTGATGAAACCAGGTGGTAATTGCCCTGTCACAAGTTTAGCCAGTAGGCCACACTTCACATTTGGTCTAAACAGACCTTAATTCATCGGTATTAAGCGACTTTTTTAGTTCCTCAAATTTCCCACGAAGCAGCATGCGAGATCTATCGATAGAGCTTTCGGTCCTGAGATCTTTCCAGAGCAATGAGGACGACGGGTCTGAGTCCAAAGTGATCGTAAGCGGCGCGGAGCCCTTTTTCACATTTCCTTGAATAGATATCACCGACGGCATCGTGGACGTGGACGAAAGCTCCATTTCAAGCGTTGCCATTCGCATCATCATAAAAGGCGTGTTGCAGGAAAATCGAAATACATCTCTTCGACATTCTCATGTTACCAGGCAGGCTTCGAAAAGCATAGGGGCATTAGCTACCTTCGAACACACGGAAGGGTGGAGTCTCTGCTCCCGTCCAAGGCGCGGATAAGCCTTTTACGCAGGCAATCCTTCGCATACCGCTGCAGCTTCTTATTCACGTTCTTCCCTTGGTATTTAACGGTTGTCACTTTGCCCCCGGTTCGGCGAAGCGTGTTGCATATTGCATCTTTCTCGGAACTTCGAAGCGATTTCTTCAGTCTCCATAACCTATGTACTCGGTGTTTGTATTGATCGTGACTGACGGGAGGAACTCATTGGTTAGCTTTAATCTTCCATCGCGGAGAACCCCCGCAAGATAACCGGAACATCAAAGAGTCGAGGAACGGGGGAAAGAGAATACCTGGCGTTGAATCCATATCTTTCCTTCAACTCAGTAGCTATTTCAGAGAGCTTGCGGTGCTTGTTCAAGTACAAGTCCGTGATAATAGGTTTGAGTGTCTCCCATCGCTCAGCTAATGGGGGCAGTGGACCGGAACCCCACAGCGTAAGCCGACTCATTGGAATTGTTCAGGTCAACGACAGAACCATGGACGAGCTTCAACCTATCTAGAAGGAAACGGCCAGAATATATATGGTGGGCATTTTGGGCAAGAACTGGGCCGTGCGGTCTATGGAGGGATTTCTCACGTACTGCGTACAGCCTCAAACAAAAGTGTACGATGCAGCGTCGATGGAAAGAGCCAATGGGGGAAAAACAGGTGTGCAGCCGGGGACCCATGATATGGCACTGAACGAGCAAAAGTGTAAGGCACACCTTTTGGTCACGGGCGGCTGCGCAGCACCGGACTGGCGAACTCAAGTCTCTTGCCAAAGGAAGCAAAAGGGTAAGGTCGATGCTTGGCCTCCGACCAAAAGTGTAAAGTACATACATACATGTATGGTTGATTGCTGGCGCGCCACTTTTACCTGGAGGCGGACCCGGAAGATACTCAGTACCCAATTCCCCCCTTTCTGAGCTTACACTTCTGACCGTTGATCGACCGTGCGGGGATCAGGCCGCCGCCGCCAGACCTGATTTCAGTATGAGACGATCTCGATCGCCCCTAACCTTACAGAGTGGCGTGACCAGCGGTGGCTTTCCTTCATCCCCTGCAGCTTATTAGCGCGGAAAATCCTACCTCATGAGACTGGCTGTCAGTGGCACAGAAATACGTTAATACCGTAGCAACACAACACAAAAGTGTACGATTGCAAAGGTGTACAGAGCAGTAGGCCCCTAACGGATACTGCGACGAGGATGAATCCCAAGGACTTGCCGCGGCTTAAGCATGAAAATATAAATACAGGATTTTTTCCCTCCCGGTCGAGTAGTATTGACCACAACGAACGTTATATGCTCAAAATTCCACCTTCTGCAGGGCTGTCTTCAAGTTTCTCCATCTCACAAGCCTGACTCTTTGATTGACCACACAACCTATAAGCATACCTCTGGTACCCTGTAAGATCATTCAAACATAATCAGGCACAAGTATGTCCGTGTCCTCGACATCAGTATTTACTGACATTGTTCGAACTTGAAGTGATCCTATGTGCAACTATGGCTCATCTTGAACCTGCTGTTTTGTCTGCTATTGCGAACATTTTGACACCCTTTGCCATCATCCTTGCGGCAATCATTACACCCTGGTTGGCTGGGAGGTGGGCACATCGTCGGTAATGGCACTGAAGTTACTGTCTTCGATACACCAGTAATAGGGCACTAATAATAGTATACAGGCACCAAGAGCAGTCATACTAATCACTGTGACTAATATATTGGCCCTCCAGGGGCTTTCTGTGCAATTATCACGTGACCATCGGCATTGCCAGGTGGTACCTCCCTCTCTACCAAATGGCCCTTTATGTCCTTGTTGCGGAACGTGTATGTGGGTTCAGGAGGAAGACCATGTGGAATAATTCTAATCTCGCTTACAGTTGCACGTGAGATTACTACTTACGTATATGATTTCCGTTTCTAATTGTTAGTTTAGAAACTAAAGTTAAGACTCTTGTTATTTTCATTATATGTCTGGTGATCTTTGTACAGTAGACTTTTCTGTAATTCACTACAGTTAGGAGACCAGAGCTGTGATAGCGATAATTTGCACTAGTTAATTTAGATATTTTATATACGAATTATGTATCAACGGATCCTATAGCTAGGGCTCGAGAGTCCAAAAAGTACTGCAGTACACTTGGATGTAAAATGTTCCTAATTCACCATGCCTTCGAGAAAGCAAACTCATCTTAATGATTAGCAGAGAGCGAATCTCGACAGATTCTACATTCGCATCTAGAATGAATATTTACATAGTAATGGCACTCATTATTTCAATACTAGATCAGCAACAGTAACCATGGAATCTATTATATAATCTTCGATACTGCCGAGCCAAATCCGGATACCGCCTCCACGGCACCCTCAGGCATCGAGCGTCCCTCATCCATCACGCCGCAGTCTAGATCCTTCCTGTTCATCGCTCACGAGCGAAGTTCCCGGCTGTCTCCCCATGGATCCGCGGCTACTCGATCTCCAGGACCAAAACTCCGGCGAGCATCAGGGTGTGGGGTCCACTGATGCTCCGCCACTGTCAAATGCCCACTGGAACGACTTTGACGAATTCATTATCGATGAGTTACCTCATGGTGAGTGGTTTTTTTGATTCGCGTATATGAAACAGTGAATGACACTCCGTAGTAGAAAGTCAGTCAGGCCTTTCTGGGCTCGGCCCTCAGGCTGCCGGCGAAATTCCAGCTGGAGACCAGCCGACTATGGCTCGGGAGCACATAGGCGCACATTCTGCCGGTGTCCCATTTGACGCTCACAGTCTCTATCATGATTCTCCCCTAGTCACTGACAGTTCATTCTTGCCCCTCACAAACTTACACGGCGACCAATCGCTGGAAGACCCGACTACGTCTTACCTTAGTGACTTTTCCCAAGGATCTGGTGCTAGCCATGGGTTGAGTCACCTGCCCCATTCAAATATCCTGGCGCCGGATACAAGGACACCTGAATCTCCTCAGTTGTCTACAGCCAGAAGCCCTGTACCAGGTTACGGTTCTCATGTGCGAGGTCAAGTCAACGCCAACCAAGGCCTCCCAAGGCGCAGAAGTCGATACCAGCTTTGCCGCTCTGGGGCAGCACCCGTATTCATCCCAAACTCGATGAACGCACCCGATCCCATGCAACGGTGGCAGGATTCACCGCCTGAAGATGAGCCGGCATCAATGTCAGCTATAGCAAATGCCTTGAAACGCCAGCAAACCCAAGATTCCCGTAGAGGGAGATCGAGATCTGGTAGTGGGGCTAATTCTCCGAAGCATGATGCCTTTCGCGATTATCGCCGGCCAAAATCTACGGCCAGTTCCATAAGTGGTACCAGCGCTTCATCCAACCAATCTGCTTCCTCGAGTAGATCCGCAACATCAGCAGGTGCTCGAAATGGACTCGGTCCTTCAAAATCGCATGGTCGCGTTCGGAAAACTCGTCGGGATCAGACCAAGGGACCGACGGGTGAGACGCATCGTTTATTCTGCTGTACGTTTTGCTGCGATCGGTTCAAAACTAAATACGACTGGGTTAGACATGAGGGGTCTCTGCACTTGAATCTCCGATCATGGGTCTGTACACCCCACGGAGGCAGCGTCGTCTCTTCCCTCACGGGAAGACAGCATTGTGCCTATTGCAATGCATTAGACCCAGCAGAGGCTCACCTTGAACAACACAATAATCGTGCTTGTTTGGATAAAACCCGGACTTTCAGGCGAAAGGATCATCTCGTCCAGCACCTGCGGCTTACGCATCATTTGGACACCATCCCACTCATAGATGATTGGAAGATAGATAGCACGGCGGTTACATCTCGTTGCGGCTTCTGTGACCATCGACTGGAAAGCTGGGACGAGCGCACTGAGCATTTGGCAAACCACTTCCGTCAAGGAACTACCATGGACGATTGGCGTGGTGAACATGATTTTCCAAGCTCAGTTGCTGCTAAAGTTACCAACAATTTGCCGCCCTATCTTATTGGGGCAGAATCGCGCACCATGGTCCCGTTTTCGGCGACGAATTCAACTGTCAAGGATCATTTTGCCCAGATCTCCTCGCGCGCCGACCAGGTTCGTCCAGAAGAGACTCGTGCTCATGAGACACCCCTAGTATCCTCATTCCAGCAACTTCAAACAAACGACGTGCCCCTGAGTACTTTCGCCCAGATCCTCACGTCACATCTAAGCCGCTTTGCTCGGAATCAAATGGAACAGGGCGTATTGCCTACCGACGAAATGTTTCAGCAAGAATCTCGGCGAGTACTTTATGACTCGGAAGACTCGTGGAATCAAACCGTTGCTGATAATCCAGAGTGGCTGTCTGATTTTCGGCGTCAACATTTGAACAAGCCACAAGATACGCAACCAGGTATCGAGGATAATTGAATTGTCTCTACTTCCTCTGTCATTCTCCTGCAATTGCTTTCTCCTATTTATACATATAATATACCCAAATACCCATGTGGACATGAGCAATATCGACACTACAAAGTGACAACCTTCTCCCGAACAACATCTCCCCAGTTACTGTTTTCGACACCGGTCGTAATATCAGTCATCCACTTTCTCAGAGCAGACACATGAGCAGTTGCATCCTGAGGAATATCAATACCCCGTCCTGAAAATTCGATGTGAGACACAGGAACAAGAAAGCATGCAGTGCCAACAACAAAAGATGAAATCAATCGTCCTTGCTCAGAAGCTTTGATAATGTCAAAAACCGTGAATTTGGTCTCCACAACATCCAGTGGCTCTCCATCCCATCGATACGACCAACCACCAGTCAGCCTTTCTCGTGCGAGGTCCAGAATGCTTTGTCTTGTCACCCCAGCGAGAATCGTATGCTCGGTCAATGGTGCGGTGACTAGCTCCAGTTTTCCCTCGGAGTTCCTCCAGATCACAAATAAATTCGAAGATCCAGCTTCGGTCACGTATCCCTCGGGACCAAACAGCCACAGCACCTGGTCAAAGCCTTTGCTCTTGGCTTCCCCGTGGGCCAGAAGAGAAGGACCATAGTTCGCGCTGATCTTCGCTGACCCAGTACCACCCGGCCAAGCGCGAACCATCCCCTCCCTGCTGGACAACAGACGTAGGGACTTGGTTTGAGGAGCGGATCCCGTCTCTCCGAGAGAGGGGGCAGGTTTGGGGTTCGGCCAGAACGAAACAACTATAAACAGCATTGCCTCTCGCGGCACCTGAAAACCAAGATTGGCGTCGGTCCCAACAAGCGTGGGCCGAAGGTAAAGACACTCTCCGGCGCGATCTTTGGGCAGCCATTTCGGACACTCAACTGCGCACAGCTCCCGGATTAAATCGAGCAACTGGGCAGGATCGAACTCGGGCAATCCAATCCGAAGGGCCGAAGCTAGCATGCGAGCGCAGTTATACTGAGGTCGGAAAAGGCGCAAGTTCCCGTCGTGTCCGCGATAAACCTTCATGCCCTCGAAACAAGCGGTCGAGTAATGAAAGACACTAGCGGTTGGCATCATGGAGATGGCGCCGTAGGGGATGAGCTCCGGGTCCGCCCAGCCATCTGTCTGGTTCCAGCGCACGACTGCCATATGGTCTGTACATACGGACCTTGCGAGCACTTCAGGCGAATCTGGCTCTGGGACCTGTGCCGGGTTCGAGGTCAGTTCTGTTTTTAGCCGAGAGGTATCGAAACTTGGGCCGGTCCATCTTGATTGGGAGGCCAGCAGCTCTGTGACTGACGAAGGGAGGAAATCTTGGCTTGATGATGTGGATGAAGACATTTTATTCTCGATGATAAGTTTGAGGAGGTTAGAAACGAAGTTGCCCGGTCAGTGGTTTGTTTCTCCTTCTGGGATTCGTCAGGCCTTTTATACATACTGATCTCTTGAGATAGCTGCTCCATTGAACAGGGCGTAGGGCGTGATTACAAATAGAATATACGGAATCAGTCCGTCACCATCATAATTTGATTGTTTAAATGTATCATGAGGACGCTATGTTTTGTTTCACTTGGCGCACAGGGACAGGTATAGTAGGTCAGAAAGTTCGTGAGAACAACATTAGCGATTCTAATCAACATTAATTACAAATAGTACGTCAATGATTCTCAGTATAATGAGAGCCTCAGGGTCAACTTACATTTCCTGCGGTCTATCGGGTCGGCAACCTCCATCTGAACCAAAAACTGCCACTCGCCCCACAGGGCGTGTTCCCACGCCTTGTGGAGGTGGAGATGCACGCCCTATTCTCACGATGGGCGTGAAATCTCAGAATGTGGCAAGCAAAAAATAACGAAGAAAAGAAAAGAAATGCTAACAAAATTATATAGACTAATAAATAGTCTACACACTATAAATGGGCGTATCAAATCCACAAGATGAGATCCTTCCGCGCCTATCGAAACCTCCTAGACCGTCTTTCCTCTGTACTTCGCGTCCGCCCCAAAATGACTCCCAAACCTTCACCCCGAATCCATGTTCTCGGACTCGGCAGCATCGGCTGCTTTGCTGCGCATTGCATCACCGAGATCGTCAACGGACCCTCCGTCACCCTCCTCCTCCATCGCAAGTCCCTTCTCGACGCCTACCGTCGCAATGGCAATCGCATGCGAGTCCAGACCTCAGAAGGCGAGCATATCAGCTCCGAAGGATATCAGTTCGAGGCCCTCGACAACGGCCAATGGTATCATACTGCACCGGACGATGAGCCAGATTCCCCCAGAGAGCCCGCCACCGAGCCCATCGAGAACCTGATCGTCTGCGTCAAAGCCACCCAGACGGTGGAGGCTCTGCGCCCTCTATCCAGCAGACTGACTCCCAGCTCGACGGTTCTTTTTCTTCAGAATGGCTCGGGCATGATCGACGAAGTAAATGCCCATCTCTTCACGAACCCAGACACTCGTCCCCGCTACCTCATCGGGGTCATTTCCCACGGCGTCACACTCAATGCGTCCTTCGATATCACGCACACCGGGTTCTCGGCGACATCGATAGGCCAGATGCCGCGCGAGCACGAGCACGAGAAATCCCCCTCAGATTCAGATCCAGAGCCAACATCAGACAACTTCCTCCTCACTACCCTCCCCCACTCCCCCCGCCTCAACCTTACCTCCTACACCTACACCTCCGTCCTGCAATTCCAGCTCGAAAAGCTGGCCGTCAACGCCTTCTGCAACCCCCTCTGCGCCCTGAACGACGCGCCCAACGGCTTCCTCTTCACGCTCCCCGATACCCGCCGTGCCATCTTAACCGAGATCTCGAGCGTCGTGCTTGCGCTGCCTGAACTGCGCGGTGTTCCGGGCGTCGAGGACCGGTTCTCCGTCGAGAGGTTGGAGAACACGGTGAATGGCATTCTGCAGAAGACGTATAATACGACGTGCTCGATGGTGTGGGATCTAAGGACAGGGAGAGAGACGGAGGTGAGGTTTATTAATGGGTCGTGGTCGAGGATGGGGAGGAGGGTTGGGGTGCCTACGCCGGTGAATGATCGGTTGGTGGAGGAGGTGGAGGAGAGGGGGAGATTATAGAGTATCGTATCTATATTGTTTGTAGATTTCAAATAGACTTAATGGTTTGATCTGTATAGTACCCTCCCTTACCCTACACAACCCCTTCCGTGCCCTAAGCAAAAAGCCCAATCCACTCACCACTCCTGCACCCCATCCCTCGAAACAACCCTCCCAACCTCCCCATCCCACTCCCCCTCCACCACACTCCTCACAAAAGGCCCCGCAACCTGCGTATCGCCCGCGCCCATCGTCTTCAACACCTCGGGATCCCCCACCCCCAACCCCGTGGCCAGAAACCCCGGCGCAATCGCCCAAACCTTCACGCCGTCCTCCTTGAGCACGCGATGCCACTCCCGCACCAGCATGTTCAGCCCCGTCTTGGAGCTCCGGTACGCCGTCGCGCTGAACCCCGTCTTGGGCCAGCCTTTCGCGGGGCTGCGGTTCGCTGGGACGTCGAGGTTGCTGGTCCGCGTTAAGCTAGAGAGGCCGGAGGTCAGAAAGAGGATGCGCGGGTCGCTGCTCTGCAGGAGGAGAGGGACGAGGCTTGAGGTTAGGACTTGCGTGCCGGAGACGTTGACGTTCCATGTTTGATTCCACATTTCGCGTTCGCTGAGCTGGCCGGATGTGAATTGGGGGTCGAATTGTGCTGCTGTTCTGTGTTAGGTTAGGTACTAGGTACAACTTGTGTTTGTGTTGTAGGTTTCCCAAGAAGGTATAGCCCAGCTCAATGGTGATTCCAACCCCAGCCCCCCCCCCCCCCCCCCCCCCCAAAGCAGTAGAAATCAAGATAGAAAGTAGTTGTAAGCTTCTCAAACATCATCTCGCTCGTCGAAACTCACCTATCAAGCTGGTCTAAAAGCGACTCCAACAATGGCACCTCCCAAGCCAATCACTGCCAAAGAGGCCATCAAATCTGCGGTCCCGGACCTTAAAGTCGGGCCTTATCATACCACCTCAAACGCTTTCCATCGTGTCGATTTCGTTGGGGATCTTGCCCCATGGGCAAACTTCAACGAAGATGCATGGCAGTATAGCAACGCAACGAACTGGGCGGGCCACAAGTCGGTCCTGGGCTTCGAGCCCAAAGGGACGATGAAGTTTTACACCGCGCACGAGCACGTGGCAGTTGGGGACGAGACGGGAGTTCAAGGCCGATTCAATCAGAATGTTGGACAAACTCTCACGGCGGCGTGCGGGGCCTTCGGACTGGATCTATCTTTCGCCGACTATAAGGCCTGCGCAGATGGATCTCTTCTGGGGCGCGTGCCTGATTCCATCTGCATGACCAGCCAGGGGGCCCTGCGCGCCGTCGGAGAAATCAAGACGCCGTGGGTAGCTGCGCATCACATCCAAAACATGGATATTGGATACTCAGACAAGCAGCGGCGTCGAGCCTTGGGTGAGTTCTGGAAAACCAAAGCTGCGCTTCGCATGAAGTTAGGACGCTAAACAGACCTCGATTTAGGCCAGATTTCCCTCTATATGCGCTCCGCGCATATCCGGTATGGCTTTTTATCGACTTATGATAGCACGGTCTTTTTGCGCCAGGTGGAAAAGGCCGGGGGGCAGTGGGGGTTGGAGTACAGCGAGCCTGTCTCGAATGATCAGGCCGCTGGGGGGAATGCCGGGGAGATAACCCTTCGAGAGGGCTTTTGGTTCTTGCTCGGAGAAGCGTCGGGGGCCAATTACATGGCCAATAACAATACCCCCGTCGGAAACTGGACCAAGTAGATAGGTTACGTTGAAGTATTTGGAGAAGACACGGTAAATTTGCAATAAAAAGACCAAGATCACCCAAGGATCTAGATTATCATCAATTTCCTAAGCGCATGAGCAGGTATTCCGGACGCTCCACGCAATCTGACAATGTAGACCCCCAAATTACACCCACGCTCACCATTCCCAGCTTTTCATAATCGTATGGCCTTCAGTATCGTCTCTTGGGAGCCTGCTTCCACGGGGCTTCTTCACTAGCTCCCAACAAAACCAAACGTACTCACTCCAGGGCATTTCTTCATCAGGATTAAGTTTACCGCCAGTCCAGAAGTCATAAAAGGAGCTATTGCGGTTAGCTCGAAAAGAGGGAGGTGAGGGTAACTGGAGTATTGAAAAAGAGACATACAGCCTATGTGTACTGTCGTCCCAGAACATCTTTGTCAATGCTGCAGTGGGGTTATATCTGGTGATACTAAGACACTCACTGAAAGCGAGTCAGTATCATTCTCAACACAGGGGTGTCAAGTATCCACACGGCGAGAGAGGTAGGGTACTAACATCCAGGACCGTTTCAAGCATTCTCTGATTTCATCACGCTTCGGACGATCCAGGTCCCAAAACCATGGGCCCAATTGTCGACCCGGCAGCTTTTCAAGAAGCAGGCAAAGAAAGAACCCCCCAGGCACAAAGTCCGTATCAAGTTGAGTCGGATATGTAAAGCTCAAGAGCCGCGGGCCAGTTTTTGAGTTCCTTCTGTTGAGTAAGATATGGGCATCGAGCATATCCTTGACATCTTCGGGAGGAGTTGAAACGGCCTGGCGGGCTCTGTCCTGTGGTCCTGCAAACTCAGAGCCTGCAAATGGAAGCCTAGACAGACACTAGTTAGCTTCATATGAGAGAGCAAAGCTCAAATGTGAAATTACTGCATAATAACACGCATTACAGCCTTCTGGCTCTCATCTTCGCAGTTGGTGCAGAGGAAGGTTCCGTATACTTCACCAGTTGCGTCTGGCCATGTGAGTGTGTCGTCATGAGTGAGCTGGCAATTTTTTTCGCGCAGTTTCTGGGTGAGCTTCCACTGAGAGTCAGGTTGAGTGAAAGTGATGACCCTGCCAATAAAGCTGGGTGGGAAGAAATCTCTCTCCGCCATACTGGATGAGTAACAGAGCGCGCGAGAGAGGAGGGAAGAGAGGTGTATGAAAGAGAGAGAGGAAGCAAGAACTAACTAAGGTCTCGAAGGAACATGGGGAGGGGAGTTGGGGAGGAGGGGTGGGGAAAAGGAAATCCGAGTGAATCTTCGGATCTTTCACTGGAACCGTATGTCATATTTACACCGGGTCCAGCCACTAAGCTTGCTCCCCTCTCCTTTAGTTACCGCAAACCCAAACAGTAATTAATTGTATACATTATCGAATTTATGTGGATTGATTTCTTATTTCTTCTGGAACCACGATTGAGCAGAAAAGCCAACAAATGAAAGCCTATCACGCCTCGACAAGACACCTATGTCCCTTCGGCGAGAGCAAAAAAAAGCTCACCATCTTCATATCATCGTCAGACATTCCTTCACCCCGCGACATCCTCACCGAAGGGAAAGCACGGAAAAACAAAGCCGTAGCAAGCCGTAGTTCCATCCGAGCCAGATGAATCCCAAGGCAAACTGCATCGCCAGTTTCAGTTTCATTCGTGTCAAGACTAGGAAGGGGGATGGGATGGGATACTCACTGCGAGATCCACCCCCAAAGGGCAACGACGCGTCGTTCATCTCCTTGGTAGGCGAGTTCCACCGTTCCGGCTTGAAAATGAGCGGATCAGGAAAGATGTTCCCGTCTCGATGCATGCTGTATGCTTGCGTGGACACGGTTGTCCCTCCAGGGAAGCTGAATCCGGCCAGGTGAGCTCCCTCCCCGGGGACGGTTCTCAGTAATGCGCCCGGAACCGCCGTGTACAGTCTCAGTGTCTCCTTGATAACTTGGTCCAGATACGGTAGGTTACGGGTATCTCGGTCCGTGAAGGGTTCCGGGAGGCTGCTTAGCTCGGAAACGAGCTTATCTCGGACGCGACTGTCGCTGCACACTGCGTAAACGAGGTAGGTGAGTGTTACGGCGGTCGTATCGCTGCCGGCGACGATATACGCCCGCGCCTCGCTGCAGGTCTCCTGTTCTGAGAGGCCCTTTTCGCCTGCTTTGGTCAATCTTGTGAAGAGCGTGGTTTTGGCGGTCGATGGATCCTTGGCAAGGTATGAGTTGTGGCGTTCAATGGACTGTCGTGCATACTCCTGGAGTCTATTTCCTGCTTCCACCGTTTGACGAAATATAGGTAGGGGGAGAACGGCGCCGATCTTCATGAGGAAGGGAAAGGTTGTCCGTATAGGCGCCAATGAGCCGAGATGCTCTAGATCATGGCTATACTGGTTTTTCTAGACAATGACGTCAGGCATGCAGTACTCCTAGCTTTGGAGCTTGGGTCTCACCTCTCCTTTCTCCAACATGCGAAAAGATTCACCGAAGCTCAACTCGCCAATGATGTCTGTGGTCATGAATAACCACCATTTGAACACATCCGCCGAGCTTTTCGTTTTTAACTCGCGAGACATTTGCCGAATCGTGAGATCGATCAATGCCCGGACTTGAGCCTCGAATTTGGCTAAAGATGAATCCGAAAGGGGCGAGGCGAGCAGACGTCGACGAAAGGAATGAAGGTGAGGGTCAGGCGTTGAGAAAACCGACTCGAAGGCGCGTGGGATGAGGAGTCTGTACCATTCGGATTTCAAAAAGCGACCGCCTGTCTTGTGGATTTCTCTTGCTGCGCTGATATCACAGATATCGACTTCGTTGGGGGCAATGCGAACCACGGGACCTAGAAATGCGTTAGACGCATCGACAGCATCCATAATCTAAGAGCACGCACCATATTGCTTGTGTAGTTCATCGACGTAAATCACCTTTTTGCCCTTCAACCAGTAGTAGTTCATAACCAAGGCGGTCCATCGCGATAAAAGTGGGCCAGGGATATGCGACAGGGGATTTACGAGCCCATTATAGAGGAATCTCTATGATGTATTAGCATTAACCACGGTACTGAAAAAGCCGTAGCCAACGCACAAGCAGTATAGTAAGAACGACGACTCCGACCAGAACCAATGCCATGATTGCGAATATTTCGAAGACAATAAACGGAGCGAGCGACAACAATCATGTAATATTCATTCACTTTCCCCCTCACCATCAGACATCGAAAGAAAGAGGGGGTTTTATAATGGAAAGTCGCGTCCCACTAAGGATGCATGCAACCTGCAGGGAGTCGAGCTGGGTAGGGTTGACTTACCCACCTCGAGTGATGTCACTTTTCACATACACCGCCTGGACTTAAGAAGATGCCTCAATACAGGGTATTGCCCGGCCGCCCGGTATCCTGAAGCCCCGATACCGAGTCTGAGCTATACAAAAACCCCGGACTTTGCGGGTTTTGCGGGTTTTGGAGACTCCGAGCGGAGCGAGCAAGCGCCGCTTTGACCGAGCGTGGGGACGATCGACTGTTCTGCAGCGGAGTGTTCGGACCAGTAGGATTGGCACTGAATAATCAAATGGCTGTCGTCGTGGGTGATGTTGTCTAGCACTCGGCACTTTGGTCAAGGTCTAAGGAAGCCTGCCACCCAGCAGGTTTTCTTCATTCCAATCAATAAGCAAAAGCCAAAATGCTATTCGCTCGCTACCTTCGGGTCTTTCCGGGCTCCCCGAAGAACGTTCTTTATCGAGTGATACAACTCCGGCTTAGGCCTTTTCCACCTCTCGCCATTCGGAAACACCTCCCTTCGTAGTCGATTGACCCAGGGGATCAATGGTTGAAAGTATGGCGTGAAGTATTCCTCTGATGTCTTGAGAAAATAATCTTCATCGGAAATAAATCGAACACAATTCTTTCCCAGACTGTCAGGTCTTGGTTATGCGCTGACGACTAACGATGTATGCCACGCACTCGCGGGGACAATGAGGACGAAATAACTAATCTGATATCAGTGGCGAGCTTCCACTTTATTGGATAAGATGAGACTGCTGCCAACATTGACGATCGATTGTTAGATCCGTTCCTGCATATGGCATGTTTCCAGGGGCTTGCAGGAGAAAGCAGTGATTTCGTCGCTGTTTCTAGCAGGGAATTTGGAATGTCAAGAAAAGAGGTTTATTCTAGCTCTTGGAATGCATTCTACTATGCATGCGTATAAACGCAACCTGACCAAAATCTTGAGGTATCTCAGTCATGTCAGAAGTGAGGCCTCTCCTGCATGCCTCCGAAAGTTTCATCAGTTTGTCCCATTGTAGAACTGGCAGTCCATCAATAACATCTGTCCTGCAAAAGATGTGATGGTTTTCCACCTCAGGTTTGACGGGCAATTCCATCTACTTTTGGCCGATGTGTACTTATTCGCCTTCTATGTTCGAAATACAATGTTGCTTTTGCAAATCCTAACCACCAGAGAAAGCTTGGTTCAGACAACGCGTAAATAACCTTTTGTGTACATATGAGGTAGTGTGTCTCGATAGATAAGACGCATGCATGAAGCCGCAAGGATCTAGAAGTGGATGTCTAGGACACTGGCAGAATTCTGATGAAAGAATTTGAAACCTTTACTAGCAGGTGGGCTCAGCGAACTTTCTTCACCGTCTCCTGCAAGAGAGAAATAGTCTTCCCGGAAAGATGTGCGCAGTTTACCAAGACAGGTAGCCATAATATATGCTGTATGAATCTGCTGCTAATTTCCTCGAAATCGCTGTGACGGTGAACATACCCCATCAACAGCACCAGGGAAGCCGAACTATGTCAGAGAGCGCATCCTACGCCCCTGTCCCCTCACCCCTCGCATAAACCTTTCTCCCTTTGAAGACCCAGAGCCCTCCACTGAACACAAGCACAGCTCCAAAGACCACGCAAGCATAGTTCATGTTTTCGACCGTCACCGGTTGATACGGAGGAAAAAACAAGAAAATAACAACAACCGTGCTATACACCACACTTAGTATGTTCAGAAGAGCTCCAACCTTTTCCAGCACAAACGGACCATACTGCAGGGGCGGACCCGTAATCCGGCGCAATATGTGTAGGAAAATGGGCGTTAGATAGGAGATGTACAGGCTGACGACGGAGAGGGAGACAATGGCGTTGAATGCGGTCGTGCTGCCGATGTTAATGAATCCAAGGAGCGCCATGAATGCGGTGCTAGATGTTATCGCGCGGAGGGGCAGAACCGTTGACTCGTTTACCTGGGTTTTAATATCAGTTCTGTGCCCGTGCATGGTCGATTACGAAACGAAAGACTTACGCAAGCAAGGTAATTCGAGAATGGCAGACCCTTGTCTCTGGCAAAGGCCCACGTGGTCCTTGATGTAGATGCGAGCAGGCCGAATGTCGAGGCAATAGCCACACAGATGAAGGGGGACATAAGAGCCGCGGTGGCTCCGTGCGAGCCCGTCGTGTTGTAGAAGATCTGGATGATTGGAAATCCGGTCGTGGAGTGGAGGACACTTTGTGTATCCCCGAGGCAGAACAGGAGAGCAAACAAAAAGCCGAGGCCTAACATGCTGTTCAGGGCGATCGTTCCAATCATGACGCGCGGGAGAGTAACGGATGCATTGTGGATTTCTTCGCCTTCTCAGATAATTATGTTAGTTCTAGGTCATGGCAACTGAGCACGGAATTCATACTTAGGTGACAAGCCCCATCATATCCAACAAGCACGTAGGCGGCACTTAGCAGGCCGATAAGCCACGCTACACCATCGTTCTGCCATCCTGAATTGTTCTCGAATGTGGTGAAAACATACTCGGCATTTTTGTGCGGAGCAAGAATGACCAGTGCAACAAGGACGGCTAAGAAACTTATGACGTGGATTATCAAGATTACACCCTCAATCAGCGGCAGAAATCTGATACCAACTGTGTTGACCATGAAAGCAAGCAGCAGAATCGCCCAGTAGATCATTGTCCCATGCCACCTTTCAGGGCGATAGCTCTCGTATCGGAGGGTTACACACCCTTGTACCATTGTAGCCCCGAGGAAGGCCGCGCTGGCTGTAAATGCCTGCCACCCGAGCATCGTGATCCAACCCGTCAGCCAGCTGCAAAGGCCGGCGTACCGCGGAGGAGCCAGTATAGCAGCCCAGTGGATCTGTCCAGCGCTTGTCGGGCAGCTGCAAGGTTGAGTTTGGGATACTTGCGGGCGAGAATTTGGCCAGGTTACTCACAGAGAGGCAAGCTCAGCAAGAGATAGGCACATTGCCACTGTTCCCACCAGAGCGAGAACATAACCATACAGCAGAGCCACTAGTCCGCCAGCAACCAATCCTCCAGAAAAAGACCCTCCCATGGCTTCCCATGTCGCCATGAGTGTCACGCACACAGCAAATATGCTGGCAGAGGAGAACCGTTTCTGATTGTGGTAGTCAAGAGTCAGATTTTCAGCCCGATTCACTGGGTCATGGCTTGGCGGACTCACTTACCTGAAGCTCAGCTGCTGTTCCAACGGAGACGGAACTATTCCGTTCCAGATTGTCCAAGTCATTCTTCTTCTGATCTGTCATTGTGGCTTAAGGTGATGTTTCGCCCTCAGAGAGTCCAGCACGGCGAGTTAAAGAGCGTTGGAAAAAGTGAAGATTGATGGCGCGCCATCTTTGTCACATTTGGGCGAAACCTGAGCCGTATTTGAGGACCAGTGCTGCTTTGGTCAAATAAAGCATGCTATCCCCGCATATTCCGGCTTATCACCTCCACCTCGCGGGGGTCATTTGCCGGCATAGGGTAGCTAACGCGATTTAGATAAACGGTGCGACCTTCAGTGAGATAAGGAAGCAGTCACTAGCCTTTTTCGAGCATTAAGCACGAACTCAAGTCTTATCTACCGTTCATTCTGCTAGCGCCTATACATTGTGGCGTCCAAAGCAATATCCGCGTGCATCTAGGCTACTCCTACGATTGATTTGCGTGGTCCACTAATCCAAGACCGACGCAGCCATACCGGCAAGTAATCACTCTCATGACAAGCCGTCTCTAGCAAATGGTGATTGTGTTGTTGCCAGATGGTGACATGACTTGACTCGGATCTTGAAAATAAATCGAAGGGCTGAGCTTGTAGCAAAAGAAGATCCAAAGCTAGGTATAGAGTGCTTTGAGCTTATTCAAAATGGCGCGGAGGGATGTGGCATTGTGAGAGAACATGGTCACAAATTTGTTGAGACAGGATTTATAATTAGACTTACACTGACTGATAAGATTGTGACTCTATTGGATGTCCAAGGCAGATGAGATAAAAATCATGTTTTGCAACCTGGGAACCGCTGTAATTAATGCTTTCAAGATATCTCTCGGTTTGATTGGGTGCAAGCGCCCTGCATTGCCTTCAACAGAAAGCTCTTTATTGCTGCTGGGCAGGACGAAATGTTGAATGACTGGCACACTCAGATGAGCAGCTTTAGTCAGATCACTGATGCCAATGGTCTCTACTGACTAGACAGAACATTTCTATCAGCGACAAAGTCAGGTATGTTTAGCCTATGCCAGGTCTTGAGTCTTGATGACCATGGCAGCTTTTCAATGCCCACAGTAAACTAAAAAGATTAGACATATGCTTACTTACGTCAAGATCACCACCTACTGTCAAAAAGCCATCTATCGCCCAGACGCCCAGAAAACACACATCAGTTGAAGAAGGAAACTTTCTCTACTCGCTTGAACATCATTTAAAGAGCTCTACCATTCCCTCGAAATTCAGACTTGATCAGATGATGAAGGGTCGCTATCTTTCAATGCACTAAGCCGCATCATTGGCCTAAGACAAAGCTAGTACACTTGGATTCGAAATCTGGTTTTGAAAATTTAGCAACGTATAAAGTGGTCCACCTGGCCGTGCAATTCGGTCAGCCGTGCAACACGCTCTCTAAGTAAACTAAAGGTCATCTATGCTATCCGGCACCATCAAATGCGAGACCCTCTAGTAACCGCCTCAGCAGCATTTGTTTCTGCCAAAACAGTAGCGTACGAACCAAACGACATCTGAACCAACTTTGCCGGCTTCGGGTCCCAGCAGAAGAATCGACCTGTCGAGCGCATCTGCTGGAGATCCACCACCACAACCGATTCCACCGGCATGATCTTCTCGCTCCAGTACAGAAGATACAGTTCCTCGTCCAGTTTCAGCATCTTGCATGGCTCAGTGTCTGCGAGTCCCTTTTCCGTCCCGCTTAGACAATGCCAGGTAAATGTGCCTTGGTTCAGATATATGTGCTCATAGGAATCTCGGGGTGTGTATTGGTAGAGAATGTGTTTTCCGATGAGATCCGCCGATGGTGCAAAGGGTGCGACGTTGCTGAAACCGGCAATGGAGGTGTTGGAGAATCGCGTCCAGGTTCTCTTCTGTCCTTCTTTGATGTGAAAGCCTGATAGTGCCACGATTGCCTGGCCGGTGCGCATGTTCATGACTAGACTGACTTGCTCTTCATAATCTGGCTTATAAAAATCGACGAAAAAGATGTTCGGGCGCACTTCGAATGCCTTGTACTGCGCAGTGCCTGTCTGGTTGGTCCCCTGGACCTCCCAGTCCAAAGTGCTGTCGTCGACGAAGTGATGCACGATGCATGCGGAATCGGCGTCGGTGAAGAGCAGGGCTAAGCGCTTTCCGGTGAGCTTGTGTGACTCGGCCATCAGGTGCTCGCTGTAGCCGACTGCGAGGGCTTCAAGGTTTGGCCACTCGGAGACTGGGATGTAGCCTGGAGTTGCGCTTGGTGTAGTCATTTTGAGGACCAATTACTCATAAACTGTACGTTCAGGATGAACTCAAAGGTGAGAGAGCAAAGAGTGACTTGCAGGGGTTTTGCTTAACTCGAAAGCCGTAGAAAAAGATCTCCCTGGGTGTCACGCCACTCTTTATACCCTGGGTCTTTCCGAGGTCCTCAGACAAAACTTCTGTTCCGCCTTCGTGATGTGATTCTCAGCGACAGTCTGTGGTTCCATGCGATTCGTACTTTATGCCTGTAACAGGCTTAGTGCATGTGCCCTCAACGCGAGTCTTTAAAAATGGGTTAAAACGGTTATATGCCGGGTTTTAGGGGCTCTTCAACCCTCATGGATGCGAAAAGGATAAGGGAAATCTGGATTGCAGCCGCCACGCCAAAGGTTTTGCGACTGAGTGGGGTGAATGGACTAGGAGCACGTGCATGTACATACATATCTCTACCTAGTCACTAGCATGTATAATAACTCTTATAAATAATACCAACATTGAAGGATCACGTATTAGTCAACAGAGCTCAATGGCCACGAATGAAAAGAGTTAGAGCTTAGAGAAGGATAAGCACCTGGAGCAGATAATGGGTTCTTTGCGGAATTTATTCCGCACAATATCAGATTGATTTTCAATCAATCCACCGTTTATCATGGATGTATAGATAAGAATTATTATTGATATGATTACTATACGATTAGGCCAAATCGTAACTTGTTATCGCTGAACTCAAGCCCACAGGATTCTCCTGACAGGCGTAGGCTCAGATGCAACCTATTTTATTTTATTTTATTTTTCCCCTTTTGCGAATATTGAATCACATCTTGCCGAATTCAAGCCAGTCATGTCGTCATTGGTACAGAAAGAGCTCCTAAATTTAGTGACTTTCCGGGAACTTTCCACTGGACTGCACAGCTTAGTTAGATCAAGATCTGGTGCCTCTCTACTTCTTGAATGTTTTGGTCGGTCGACTTGAAGATTTGAAACCTGCTTTGAAATCAAAGCGCACAGTAGTATCCATATTCATTTGTGCTCTGTTAATCTCCATGTATCCATGTTGAAAAAAAGGTCTTGACTCAATCATTATCAAGCCTGGAATCAGCTCCACCTGTGGCGTCGGGGCCAGCTTCCGATGGCGGAAAACTTGTGCAAGTTCAATCACCCAGGAGCTTCAGCGTCTACAACAACCCCGATTGGATATGAAAAGGCCACTTGAAGGTGGCTGAGGATGAATCCCTCACAGGCTGAAAATTCCTCGGTAGGTGAGTGCTCCACAGACCCCACAATAACTCGGATGCCAATCGCGTTTCCGCGTGCTTTTTCTCCCAGTTAGGTTAAGCATGTACATCTAGTTGCATTCAACCCCCCCTAAACTAGCCCTATCGGGGAATGTGACTCTAAAACAAGCTCAACAACTCAATCATGTACTCTGTATTAATTTGGAGCGTCATAGAGTTGGAATCGAAATCAGCTTCACCACCTACACACAGAGATTCTCACTGCAGTCTTCTAACTGCCATGTTCAGGGGCACACTGGGGTCAGATATCCTCATCCATCGTAATCAGTTCTTCTACAGAAATCCAGTTATTATGTTGCTAAAGGCACAAGAATCTCACCTGTAGGTGGAAATCGGGTGGAGGTGGCGGCTCGATAGCTTGGAATAGGTTGGTAGATAAATGAAAGCTTAAAGAGAGCCATTAAGAGCTCTCTGCCATGTTCGAAATGTAACTGAGGTGAAACATCTTATGTCTAACATAGAAATACACAGCTAAGTTCATAGACTAACCAAAGATTGATTCTAGTCGCTCTTCAACCATGACATCCAACCAATGGACAAATACCAGGGCAGAATCATTCGCTCTGTTTGAAAAGGATAAGTCCGATCGGAGCCAAACTGCTTCGAGGAGCTGCAAAGCTCGGCGTACTGGATCAAGGCCAACAGAATCGTGTAGGACTTTCAATTTGTGACGCACAACAGACCGCCAGTGAAGAATCATGAAATCCGAGCAGTGCAAAGAATGAATTTCTTTCTCGATTCTGGAAGTGCTTGTTTCAAGGGGAATACCAATGCCTTGTTCATGGCTTTCGATCTTCTGTAGTGCACTCCCCGAAATTATAAGTGGCACTGTTAAGAGATATTTGATACCAGATGATTCAGGAACTGATGATATGAGACTCAGGATGTTGACAGCCAGCCATAACATAGTCTCTTTAGGGGATCGTTGGATCGCGCCACTTGCACTCGAAGTGATGGTATCGAAGGCTGACACTGTTGCACTTGACATTCGTAAAAGATCCGGAAACGTGAGATACAATTGGAGCAGAATAGAGAATCGGTATATTTGTGCCAGGTGTTGAAAGTGCGACACGGGTGTAAATCGATCGTCTGGGTCTCTGATGCGATCAAGCATGGGAGGAGAATATTGTAAGACCTTTGCCTCCAGCTCGGCGGCCTTCTTGAACTGCTCACTGAAGATACCTTCACAGATCTCGGCAGAGGGCATCGAGGTATTCAGCACCTTTGTAACACGATTTTGGCGACAAAGAGTGCTAGCTTGGGCAGCATAAATGAACAAGGTAGTCGAGGCCCCGGTCCATGGATTCGGGTAAACGAGCACATCATGACTTTCTTGCTCGCAGAATGGAGTCAGGTAGTCAAGAGAACTCGGGCTCTGGATGATGATAATTGACACCATAGCTTCCCAATAAGCCATGATCCCAACCAAGAAAGAGGTGGACAGAGAATCGCTCGACTTCTCGGGCCCGGTTATGGACGCTTGAAGAAGCGCACGAGCAGTGTGAATATGTGATATCCCTAGTGTCCTTGAATCCTGCCAAGCAGATGTCATGCCCAATAGAGCACTGCCCAGCACAGCTTCGAATCTCTTTTTTCCGGTTACATTTCTCTCCTCTTTCAGAACTGAGATCGCATATCGTCGGTGCTGCTGTGCCACCGAAGACATCTCGTTATTCTGGTGACAGAGGTGAGAGGCCGAGGTCATCATGACAAGATGGAAGACCAGCTGGGAGGATTTCAAGTCTGCCATGACAGAGCGAAGGGGGTTCAGCTGTGAATCGAAGCAGGAATTGATTGGACAAACGTTGGAAAAGTAATGGGTTGATAGAACCACATCGTTGTCACTAATTGGCTTGAACAGAGGATACAGAAACTCCGTATTCAGTTCATTGTTGTCTAGCAATGAATCCATGACGTCGTTGCCCATGTTCCAGATGTTTTCTGTTGCCAGATCATTGGAGAAGCTGAGGGGGAAAAGGTCGCTGGAGCTGCCGCAACCATCGCCGATCATGCGATCACGATCCCATGACTCCGTAGTGATATCCTGCCGGTTGTGTCTTTGTTGTTCACTGGTATTTGCAGAGGCCCCAAAGGTGGTGAGGTTGTCATTTACTGCTGATTCGCGCGGATTTCGAATACCCACCGAGGTAGCAGGTTGGGTGAATGTATCAGCATCGCCCTCTGAAAGAAGATTGCGGTCTGCCTCGACCTCAGGCCGGCGCAGGGATTGCCCAGATGCATCCAAGTAACGCCATTTCATCGGCTGTCGGTATCCCGGGCAGCTGAACCCCCTTTTCAAACACGGACCACAGAAGGGTACGCGCTCATCGCATTTGATGTGCTATGGTTCGTTAGAAGGGACAATTGGTGGGCTTCTCATGAGAGCAGGACCATACTCGCTGCTTGCAACGCTGACAACCCGCTTTAGCCGGTTAGCTTTGAACCGAGATTCCTCAGGGGAACAACTTACACCGCGACTTGGACCGCCTTTTCGGCGGCAAGGGACCTTTCTCCATAGCCTGTGCGGATGCTTCCATGTCGTGCTGATGGGTTTGACTCCTACGTTCCGTAAGTGTCGTGTCACTGGAAGATCGGAATTCCCCAATCCTGGGTGCATGCGCTGGCTTATCTTGCGTGCGGGGAAGACAACAGACAACAGGCGTCAATGTGGCTGGTGTTATCTAAGTGCGTATAAGTGGATACGGCAGAGATTCATCATAAAGGCCGGCCCCAGTTGGCCTTTCTTGCCCTGAAAGGTTGTTGTTCAGTGTTAGCCGAGTCTCGGAGCCATTCCGCTGTCACAGTGCTCGCTCGGCAAGACTTCCTCTTTCACTCCCCTGCGCCTGGCGGCCAAATAACCAAGTCAAGTAGCCTCACTGGGGAGTCAAAAGCAATGCGCATGTTACGTCAACAGGTGCTCTTCATTTCTCTGGTGTTCCTTTTTTGTTCTTTCTGTCAACATCTCTTAGGCCCTCGCGGAGCAGATCTAACACTCTACGGGGTCCTTGCATGTTACTATCTCGGCAATACACCAGATGCATATTCTAGTAAGCCGCAATCGCATGCTCAACTGGACATTTCACAGAATATCAAGGTCTGACTAGGGAATAGGTTGTTAACGACGACGGACCCCCGTCGCCGGACACATCGCCCTTCGTTCATTCCCTCGTTCACGAACTCGAGGTCCAGGGACACCTCGTAACGGTCGTCCTCCCCAACCAGCAACGGTCCTGGATCGGAAAAGCCCACTTTGTCGGCGAGGTTATCCAGCCGACATATTTCCACCCTGGTCGGCTGTTTCAGTTTGACGGAACCGAACACAATCATTGCTCGTCGCTCAGTGGCGACTCCAACAGTCATAATGGACGGACCAGACCATGGATGCTCGTGAACTCGACTCCTGCTGGCTGCGTCCAGGTGGGATTATATCACAGTCATCACGACCATCAAAACCTAGGCGAGAGCCCCATACCTGTCGATTTAGTCATCTCAGGCCCGAACGTAGCCTGAATCTTCGTTGCAAATGTTACTCGTCCCAGTGGCGAGATTTATACATCCACTCCCTCGGCCGCTAGCGTTTATGAACCGAAGACATCAAGTGTGACCACCGCCAGCCGGGATGGGCCCGAAATTGGGTCTTTGCGATCCACTCGATGATATGATGTGGACAGTCATTCCTGGCAGCGTACAAGAAGCAGGCGGTGGAAAACTGCAAGTCCTTTAAAGGTCTCAATCAGTGTGTGATTCATCTTTTGAAAGTTATCCCACGCAGACTCCGCAATGCAACAACCAAAGATTCTCATTGTTGGCGCTGGCGCCTTCGGCCTCTCCACCGCTTATCACCTTTCCCTGCGAGGCTACAAATCCGTGACTGTTGTGAATCGCTTTGAAACACCATCAAAGGACTCGGCGGCGACAGATCTAAACAAAGTCCTGAGAACAGACTATGCGGATCCGGCATTCACTAAGCTGGCCGTGGAAGCGATGGCCGCATGGAAAGACCCGAATTCTATTTTCGCCGGCATGTATCACGAGAGCGGGTGGATTATGGCGGCAAATACCATGTCAACAGAGGCTATCTCTGACGCTTATCAACGCGCAGAGAAAGCAGGACTGGCAGGAGCAGTGGACTACGTGACGCCTCAGACAATGCGAAAGAGATGGCCGGCGGGCGCTCACTGGGGCTTTTCCCGGCTGGAAGAATCTGTATAACCCGTTTTCTGGATGGGTGAGTAACTTCTTGACGAGCTAGCACTTGTCACGAGGGATTTATACCTGGAATATCAAGCTTACATTTGTGGTTATAGGTACCCTCTGGAAAAGCTTTAATGCGCATGAACGAAGAAGCAACAGCCAATGGCGTAATATCTGTTTCTGGACCTGCTGGCCATATTGTAAAGCTTGTTTACGGCGAGAATGGCGTGTGTCGAGATGCTATTGCGGCGGATGGCACGTTCCACCAAGCCAATATTGTGATTCTCGCGAGCGGTGCAAACACAGCGACATTAGTCGACGTCGGCGAGGAGGTAACAGCAGCATGCTCTGCGGTTGTGGTGATTAAGCTTGAGCCGCACGAGATTGAGAAATACAGAATCCCGATAATCGATAACATGGAGCAAGGTAGGTTAACTGCTTCTGTGACAATGTTTGATGCTAACCATGTTGTCAAGGAATTATTTTCCCTCCAGACGAGGATGGTTTCGTCGAAATCTGCAGTTGCCGAGGAATTACAAACTACCAGAATAGTATTCTTCCAAGGCAGTCCATTCTTCATTCAGTGGGGAATTACCCTGAAGATGGGTGTCCTAAGGAGATTGAGAGCGAGCTAAGGACCTTTGTTCGTGAGATGATGCCGGAACTAGCACATCGACCCTTCGTATCAACAGAACTTTGCTGGTCAGTGCTAGATGTCCGGTTCAATTCAAATCCCCACGACTAACACTCTCAATCAGGGATGCATTTGCCCCAGATTCGAGTTTCCGGATTTGCCCCTACCCTCAGGCGAAGAACCTGTTCGTTGCAACAGTTGGCTCGGGTCATGCATTCAAGTTTCTACCTACTATCCGAAAGAATGTGGTTGATATGGTGGAGGGAAATCTTGACCCCGAATTAGAAAGGCTGTGGGCATGGAAGTATGGCGAATCTGCGAGGCCCAAGGCACATCCGTATCCGAGTCGAGATCTGGGGGTCCTGACAGGATGGAAAGGGAGAAATGCACCTGCTAGTGGAAAGCTGCCTTGGACGTGGAGTCGGTTGTAATTAAACAAAGTATCTTGGCTGATCATAAATGGACCGAAATTATGAAACACGAGCATAGACGCCAACTTAAAAAGACATCTCCCTGATTGTCTGGAAATCTCGGCCAATCAATGTCTCAAAGCCATTGCCCATCACCAGGGCCTCCAGACCAAGTGCCATGGCTGTTCTCCTTATCACGACTCAAGATGTGGGGGTGCCGAAGCCTGATAGGAACATTCTCCAACTCTACCGTATCCTCGGCCACCTTCGGCTGTATAATGCGGGGCGACTAACATTTTCATGCCTGCGAGTTAGGACCCTGGTATATGGGAGTGTTTCTTTTCTACTTCACATTCCCATCGGATCATCTGCCACTGCCAAACCTGTCTTTCAACGACCCCTTTTGATTGGAATTAAGCCGCTCCGAGCACTCCACCGACACCATGAGCAGGTACGAGTTTCACTAGGTTGTCACGCAGTCGCAAATCCACAATACTGACACGAAATCCCACCCCCAAACAGCCCAGAGGAACAAGCCCAGCAGCTGATGAAAATCCCGGGCCACATCGAGGAAGCAACTCTAGAGTCTGTCTACAACAGCCTCAGCCCTGTGGCGAGCGAGTCACTGCTCGGACAATGGAAAGGCGGCAGCTTCGACACCGGCCACCCATCGCACCAAACGCTCGCCGATTTCAAGTGGGCAGGCAAGGATTTTAAGTCGCTCGACGACGTGAACCCCATCATGGTTTATGATAAGGATGGAAACCGTACTTGGCTGGAGGAGTATGGTCATGCGAGGGTTTGTCATACCCTCCCTCCTGTTTCTTTGTTTGCGCTCTCTAGTTTGCGTCTGCGACTGCTTCTTGGGGCCAAGTTGACTAACGTTGATGGTTCTCGCAGCTCAGGGAGGTTAAATTCAGAGGAACCGTGACTGCGGCGATGATCTACGACAAGTTTCCGATCATTGATTACTTTCGAGCAGTGACGCCGGATATCGTGTTGGGGGCTATGGATAACAAAATGGTTCCGAATGATGGGACGTATTACTTTTACCTTATGCGGATGTAGATATTGAGTTCGAGGTTGGGGTTTGGCTGCTGGATTTGATTTTTCTTCATGTGCATTCTATCGTCATATGTACTGCCATTCAAGCACTGGGGTCACAGCTTTGCTCTTGCAGGTCAATAGAACATCAACTGATAGAGAGATTTAATAAACTCATGATGAAAGTTTAGTAATAAATAGAAAAATAGCAGAACGAGAAGATAAGATTAATGCATAATTAATCCCTAAATATATAACCAGAAGCTGACGATTGCAGAGATTAAGAGATTCTTGACTATTGAATTGGCTTCTTAGTCTGACAGTGACATATAGGCATTGCATTATGGAACTGCATTATGGAATAAAATGGGACATCATCCATTGAAATCGTGAAATATCCACTAAGATTCACAACTCTACACCGTACATCTACTTGCTCTCGTTAACTGGCGACTGCGTCTTGATCCCAGAAAATTAAATATCTCATACCAGGAAAATCCAGAGGGATTCATTCCCGGAACATGGAAGTAATACTATTAATACATGCAATGATCCTGATTCGTCAAAAATGAGTCCTGTCCTGCAAAAGAACTCTCACGACCCCTTAACTTCATCGGCACTGTCTGTGTTGAAATCACTAGCGCTCCCTCGTCGAAGCGACAGGATGCTCTTACTCGCCATCTCATCCGAAGTGCGCTCAGCCTGACGCCAACCCGTGACAGCTTTCTCGACATCCTCGAACATCTCGTGGGTCGCTTTGATGATGCCACCCTCGTCGGGTTCGGGTACGATCGTGCTTTCGCGAGATTCGCCGTCGGGGATCATGGGGAACGCGGGGCCGAATCCACGCTGCGGGATGGGGTTGAACATCGTCGCGTTGGAGAACATGCGGATGAGCTCTTTCTCGAGCTGGGCGGAGTTGACGATGCCCTTGGGCGGGATGACGTCCTCGCTTTTCTGCAGCATGAGCACGGAGTTCTTCGACGGGGTGCCGGACGTGGGGATCGGGGATTCGCCATCGGCCACGGGCGTGCTGACGGCTTCGGTCGCGGCAGCCAGAGCTTTGCTACCCTGCGTGATGGAAGACTTGATGCTTTTCAAATCTTGGGGCCGATAGATGAGATCTCGGTATCCGGGGGCATCGCGTTCTGTCAACGGTTTGCTGAAGACTGACGCATGCTTGTGGGTCGTCACGTTGTTCATGATGGCTTGGCCGGTCTTTGGGAAACTGCGGGCGCAAAGAACATAAGACGTCGACTGATTAGGATCAATGCGACTGAGTTGGCTGATTTCCGGCTGCGGGGGCTCGCTCTCAAACGCCTCGCTCGGGGCGCGTTTCCGCTTCGGTCTGCCCCTGCCCGGACGTTGTTCTTCTGGAGCAGCAGCAACGCTTTTACGAATTCCCGAGGTACGGTGTTCGGCTTCAGCCACATCCGGCACGCCCGACGGAGTACTGGGCATTTCGCGCTTGATTCTTCCCGGGGGATCGGCCGCCGCTTCGTCCTCGCGCGACAACACAGACCGTCCGCGACTCCTTGAGGAAGCCGTACTCTGATCGCGTCTCTTGTTCACGGAGAACGATGATTTTTCGGATTTGCTTCTCGGTCCGCTTTTGCTATCGGCATCACTGGCGGGTGGGCTAGGTTCTCGGCCGCGAGAGGACCCCTTTGCTTCATAACGACGCTTACGCCGTGGGGGCTCAGGTTCTTCTGGCGTGGCCTCCCGGGAGCCCATCAAAGATGGAGCTTTCTCACTGATAGGACTCACATCTTCCGGTCGTGGTCGATCCGGTGATCGAGGAGAATGTGGAAGGGTTAGACGAGGAGCTTTCTTCCACGGTGTAACAGACCCTGAAGTGTCGATGGATAGTCGAGGAAGCGATGACCGTGGCTGTGACTGCAATAGAGCATGAGCTGCTGCGACCGGGGTTTCATAGCCCCCGTAACCACCGGGTGCTGGCGGTTTGACGGCTGCAGATACAGGCAAGGGAGTCGATGGAACGCTGGCGGATGGCGTAGCGTTAGAAAGCTTTTTAGGCTGAGGTTTCGGCGTTTGCTGCGATGAAGGGGGTGGGAGGGGCTTTCCAGCAGGAGCCTGACCCAAAAGCTCGGCTTTCTGGTGCGAAGGAGGATGCGGGGTTTGAGGAGGTTGATTCAATGACCATTGTTGGATGGTTGGTTGCAAAGTAGGAGGCTGGGTCGTCTTGGGCGCCGGAGTCGAAGAGGTTTCCTTTCCAGCAGCCTTGGCCGGCTGTGGTGTCTTTTTCGGAGTCGGTGACGGAAGCGGGGGCTTCGCAATAGGTGGCGGCTGCACGGCTGTCGATGCAGGGGTGGGCACAGCACCAGCAGGAGGCCCCGGTGGAGAATGTGACGGAACTTGTGGTGGAAGGGGTGGTTTGGTCGTCGGTGCCTGGGGCGTAGGTATATCGCGAGGGGCCAGAATAGGCGGTTGAGATGCTGGAGAGGGTTGCCCATTGGGTGGCTGCACCTGGAATGTTTGCGCTGAATGGTTTGGTGGAGTAGGCTGAGGGAAAAGAGGCGGTTGTTGCTGATGTGGTTTCAAGGGTGACGGCTGCGTGGGTGTCTTTTTAGGTTGCTCCGTCGGGGACTGTTTGACTGGCGGCGCTGGTGACGGCGGCGGGATTATTGGCTGCAATTGCTTCTGCGGCTTTTGCTGTGCCGCTGGTCGCGGAGTGATCGGTGTCGGCTGCTTGGGAGTCTCTACCTCCTTGCGATGGGGTTCCTGTGTTGGTTGCTTAAGCTCTGGACTCGGCTTCGGTGCACTAGAGTTCTGGGCGACGTCCGGACGCGGTTGGTGAGTGGATTTCTCGTCCTGGGTATCTACATCCATCGGATCGGGAGCAGGATGGTGCTTCGCCGCGGGAATCTCGGGCGTGGGTTTCGGAACGGCGACAGGCGTCGGCATCGGCTCCGGGACCGTTTCGCGCTCTTGCTTGAGACGCTCCAGTTCATCTCGAATTTCATTGTATTTCTTCTCCTCGTTTTTAATCTCTTTCGTGACAAGCTCCCGATATCGCGCGTATAAATGAGAGACGATTTCGGGAAGGATACCGGCATGGCCTATCACTCCCTTATCCACCAACCCGTCCGGTTTGGGACTGGAGATCTTGCGCTTCTTCGCATTGTGAGCGCTCGGGCTTTCTTCATGGCGTCCGTTCGGCTGATTGGACGAGACGTTCGCCACGCCATCGATGCCATCTCGGGTCAAGGTCGTGTACAGATCCTCCAAAGCTTCGGGGGCGAGTCGGCCCGCATCGAAGGCGACATTTTCGCGCACGAATCGGTTGTTGCGGAGGCCGTCGGAGATCGAAGCGAAATTGGCCGGCCGGGCGTCTAGGGCGGCAAGCGACTGGAAAAAGAGGAGGGATTCAAAAGGAGTGTAAGCCGACAGAGGAGGCATCCCCCATTGCCCGGTTACTCGGCCACTGGGGGGGGAAGGTCTGGGGATGGGGGCCACGGTGATAGGTGGTACAGTGGTCGGCCCGCCAAGGTCGGTCAATCGATGAACCGGGGCGATCGCGAGCGGTGGCCAGTCCCGGGGAGTACGTGGCACCACTTAGACCATAAGCGCAGGAAAAAAAGGCAGGGAAAAAAAGTCAGGAGTAGGAACGCGACCGTGTCACGAGAGCGACAGGGAAAAAAAATTGGAGAGGAAGACTGGGGAAGGCGAGCGAAAAATTCGAGAAAAATCCGAGGGAAACGCTAGGAGAGGGCAGCGACCGAGGAACGGATGAAACCGATAAAAGGAGGGATGGAAAGAGGGCAGGCCGATGGTGAGGCAGCAGCAACTGGGATGGGTGGATGGATGGATGGATGAGCGCGACCTGGCAATATTCACAGTCTGTCCTTTTGCGCTGCCCAAGGCATGCAAAATTGCGGCTGACTAAGGCCGCCGCGTGCCTCTAACTGGCCCAGCCCCGGTCACGTGAGCCAGCGGCGGGCGGCGCGGGTGACCGTACCATACGGCGTATTGTCCCACCGGTACCTCGTCGCCCCGCCCTTTCATGCACAATGACGACAGGGCGTTGCCGGGCAACCTTCCTGTAGACCACCCTGAGTCGCTGGAAGTGTTGGTGTCTGCGTATCCCATATACCAAGAACGCTGATCATGACCATGGTTGCACCCTTCTATGTGTTAATAGCACCCATCCTAATTTAGCTTCTAGGCTTTGATGAGGGGTTGGCATAGGCTACACTATATCCCATCATAACAGGGTCATGCTCATGTCAAGACATGGTCTTTAACCCTCATAACTGGTCCAGCTTCCCTTAATACAAAGTGGGTTAACCGACTATACAGGTAATAAAAGGATACAATATCATTGCATTGACAGTTGCGAAACCAAAAACTCCCAATTTCAATGTTTGACGCTGCGTGGGTGGCGGTAATAGCGATTCTCTTCGTAATGATTGTCAAACAGAGGTAGAGGGTCCTGGCCATGACAATTATGCAGGTCCCGAAGAGCCTTTGCAATTGTTTCATCCAGTTCTCGCTTTCTGAAAATTGTGGGTTGTCGTTTTGATAGGCGAAGAACATAAACAGGAATTAATGTGTTGCATTTATGAGCAGTTTCATAGTTATAATCAGTATTAAGGTCGATTATAAAGTAGGAGTGGTTCCCACGGTAGATTATGGCAGCAATAAAACAAGTTTTATTATCTGGGTGATAATTCTGGAGGCATTTCTCAGTCTCTAAAATAAATGGACGTATAAATTCTAAATAATCTTCAGGGTCAAGGATACTATTTAGAGTATCACCAAGTATTCGTATTGTGCCTGAACCGATATCTTGCGAAAATTTAGAAAAGATCACTCAGATTTGGCGAATAATATGCTCGCGAATCTCTTGGGTTGAGCCGGTCATGGTGGAGGTGAGATGTGATAAGAGAAAAAGTGTATGTGTAGACATTGCTGATGAAGGGAGGCATTTAAGGGATGCTTCGGCAGAAGGATTAATAATTGTCCGTGTTCAATTCAACCCAGGCAACCCAGGGTGCGATGCGTAAGCCCGGTCGGTCACAACAGTTTGGAACAATAATGTCCCTTTATTCGTGTCTATCCCCGGAATCAAAAGATGATATTGTCTCGGTCTACTAGGATCACAACCTATATCATTTTGACTCTATATGTTATACCGCTCCTCTGGCCACTGTTGAGGACCTGAGTGATGGTCTTACAGAGTAGTTAGGTCTTTTTTTGCGGATAATCTTCTTGGTTAGAATTCCGAGGAATGGCTAACATATTCAACCTGGTTATCCATTACGTAGGTGTTGGTGATAGGTGTCATGCTAGCCACGAAAAAATGCCTTAATAGAATATCTAAGAAAGTGGGGGCTGGTAACATCTGGGATTGGAGTTCTTCTTCTAGTGCATGATCAGACCGGATCATTTCCGCCTGTCCATGATATGCACCGGCAGCAGAAGGGAAATGGGACAGCTATTCGTAGTAGCCCTCGGTTTCATTTTTCAGGAGCTAAAAAACTGACTGCAGGCCCTAGGCCCTATGCGGCCGTCCAATGGCCTACCGCTTACAATTTAATGAAATGATGATTGCCCATGCGATGAATCAACTGCATTCATTTAATTGCCTTACGAGCTGGTTACGGGGTAAAGTATCGTTAGCTTGTTGTCCCTCAAGCCCCTGCTGCGTACAAACCTCCATGAGTTTGTAGTTGGGGTGTCATCTGAACTACCATCTTCTTGCAGTAGTCACTGCGCGATGACGGTTTCCGATTCAACCTCCTGTAAGAAGCTTCTTCCTTCGTAGCCCACCTCTCTCTGCCTTTTTTTTTTTTTTTTTTTTTTTTTTTTTTTTTTTGCCTCAAATAGCTACCACCAGCCATCATTTCAACGTTGTCGATCTGTCTGAAATGATGGCTCATATTAGTAGCGTGTGCGGAGATTAAATTAAACAAAATGCGCCAGATGGCACCGCGACCCCTTTTGCCCACTGCCTATCATAGAATAAGCATATTAGAATTATTCCAATCCTAATTTTGCGACAGTTTACCGGCAATTAGCCCGGGAGACTTGGTATACTCCGTGGTAGCCTGGGAGGCAAGGCTGCTGTCAGAATGCAGACAGGCACCGATGACCATACTTCTCGACAACGTAGGAATGCGCACCGGTCGGTGTCAAGGCAAGTATTTGCATTCCAAGGCACGAGAGCATTTGCATATGTACCTGGCCGAATGGACGAGGGCTTTGTTGCGACTGTGATTGGCGGCAATCCCTATCCCAAAGCATGAACTCCTTTCCACGGCGGCAAACTAGTGGCGAGGTAAAATGAAGGCCGGGATTTTAATGGAATTAATATTAATATTAATAGATTACCGCTGGGGTTCCTCCTTCTCCACAGCGTCAGGGGCAGCCCCTTTCTTTGCTCCAAGCTCGCGCTTTTTCTCGCGCTCCCGCCAATTCCGTGGTCGGGCTTTCTTCAGCCTCCGTACGCAGTAGGTTATAGGAGGGTCGATTCAGAAACATCATCGTCATCGGTCTTGCCCCCCTCATTTAATATGCTTTTAGCCTGGAATGTATGACCACTCCGATGGCAATGCACGTCATCGACTTTTTCCTTTCTTTTTTTGTTTGTTTTTGCATTAGGAGTATTCTATTTGGCATCCTCGCCTAGTCATCCTATTTAATCCGACTCCTGAGGTGGACATTGTTTATGATCCTTCTGATTGATTTGGATTTTCCTACTGGTTATGGAGTCGCCGACTGGGTGGGGAGAAAAGCGTGACTATTGAATCGCCCACGGAAGTTTAGGAGCTACACTCACTTCACATTTCACATCTTCTTCTACGCAGTATTTGTCTACACTTATTATTATCATCTATCTTTAGTCCAGCGCATCATTCCCAACCATCACCTCCTGAGCCCCCTCCGGCCGTGCCCCTGTCATCCCCGTCTGGGCTTGAATCCCTCCTCCGTAATTCTTAAAAGGACCAGCTCCAGCGCTGCTGCCACTAAAAAAGTGGTCCCTCTCCTCGCGGCCCATACCCAAGTCACTAGTGCGACAAGCGTTTCGATCATTCCGACTCCCAGTCCTGCGATCGCTCCCATCCATCCCAAAACCCCCTTCTTCTTCTTTGCCTTTCCCTTTATACATCGTCATCTCTTCTCAGCTGGTCCTGGTCTTCCCCTCATCAATATACTCTAATCTCTTCATCGTCGGCACTTTGTCCCTCTGATCGCACCTCTCACGGAATACATTCCAATCCGTCAGCTCCACCTCGTCAAATCTATCTATACCCACCCGTTGTGTCCCTGACGCGCGCGCTTCTCTCCTATCTTCCATCCCCAGAGCGTCTTCTCCCGTTCTTCTTTTCCCGTTCCATATCCTTCTGCCCTTCTGCCCTGTCACCCCTTACCAGCCTTATCGCATTATCCATTCCCACTAGCGTTGAAATCGTCAAGATGTCGGATGCGGAGCAAGGTTGGAAACCCAGTGGTCGGCCTCAGTCGTTCGTACTCCCGTGATGCGTCCCCCCAACCCGTCGGATGTTGTTGACCAAGACATGGCAGGACCATGGCGCAGGCTTTCTCCTCGGTACTAGACAGTGCCTTTTCTCTCGATTCGGATGTCGATAACCTTTCATCAAGTCTCGATCACAAGTGAGTAATTCTCGCTCCGGCTTCCCCGCGTTTTATCCCCCGACCGGGCTTCATCCACGCATACCACCCCGACATGATCGCTAACGCGATTCACTCCCCAGGAGACAGCAAATGTTGGTCCAGAACCGGGAGTTGGAAGAACTTCAGGCCAAAATCCGGGCCGCTGAAGAGCGCCTGAAAGCGCGAGAGACCACTACCTACGATGGAAGCGGCTCTGGCAACAACGCGACCCACAAGAACCAAGGATACCATTCAGGTAAGACCCCTCGATATGGGATGCAGGAACCCCTCTCTGACGTCTCTTTCGCTTCAGGATCCACGTCGGCAGCGACATCCCCGACGGATACGGCAGGCCAGTATTCCAGCGGCGATGAACGGCTACGAGGCTACCGAGGCAATTCGTGACTTGGTGGCACCGGCCGGGGCTGGCAGCAACTATCACGGAAATCAGTACATTTGGGTCAAGACCGGGGTTTGGGTGGGTTTGACTTCTCTCTTCTTATAAGGCGGGGACGTCTGGAGCATTTGGTCGTGTTTTTCTGTTCCTTTCTCATCGTTCCTCAGCGCCGCGTCGATCACAAGTCGGGCAATGCTGGGTTTCTCTTCAGAATGAGACTCGCTGTCTTGCATTCCTGGCGCCCGTCGCATTGGTTAGTGCACCTGGCCGAATCTATCTATCTATGTGCCATGCAACGATTCCACGGGCCCAGAGATATTTTGCCGTATTCTAGCATAATATATTCTGGCTATTTTCACGAGACGGACATTGGATCGGTTCTTTGGCTCTGTTAATTTTTGGTTTTAACGGAGGCGTCAGATTAGAGTGTCTATTGTCGGCACTTCGTAGGGCGCCAGTGGATGTCCCGCATTGCCTCTATTTTTAGTCCGCCACTCGGTCGCAATTCTTTGCATTGGGGCTAGAAATAAATTGGCAGATTTGATCTGATATCTTTACCATCTCTGTACATATCTACACTACCTTTGTCAACACTGCACGGCTATTATTTAGTAACAATCCAGCCAGCCCCTGGTCTGACATGTCACATTAATCCCGCTCGACCTTGAATCCACCCGGCATCAGATCCGTGAACACTCTGCTAGGATCGTACTTGGCCCGAATCTTCTTCAACCGCTGGACATTATCCGGGTGGAACGTGTCGAAGATACTCTGCGACGGATTGGCATCATTCAAGTAAATGAACTTCGCCATCTCGATGCCCTCGGCGTCCAGATTCTTCTTGATCTCCCCATTTACCTTCCCATAGAACGCGTCCACATCCTCATCCTTCACCGTCGCCAACGACGTAATACTCTCCTCGACCCAGATATACGGCGCCCCGTCGAGATCCAGACTTTGCGGATCGCCCCCATTCACCCGCGACGCGGTGATATACTTCTCCGTGACGGCGGGGAAGGCCAGCGCCGCGACGAGCACTCCATTGGGCAGACTCTTCTTCGCGACGGCCATGAACGTATCATGCACGATGGAAATGGCCTTCTTGTTCGCCGCGTGGATGTTCAGCACGTAGAAGCGCTGCTTATTGCCCTTCAGCAACCCCATCGCCGGATCCAGCTCCTCCGACCACTTGCTCATCGACCGGTACTTGAAGCTGTTCGACGACGGCTTCATGTTCGGCTCCAGGAAGCTGCTCAGCGCCGCAGGCGTCTCGTTCTTCCCGTTGTAGAACAGCATCGCGTTGTAGCTCGGCTTGCCCAGTAGCGGGATGTACTCGGCCAGGGGGATCGCGGCCGCCTTGGGGTCTTTGTGCGCGGACATGGTGAACGAGTGCACCGCGTCGATGAACTTTGTGGCCACGTCGGAGTCGGAGCCGTAGGAGGCTTGTCCGATCATCACGCCGGGGGCTTTGATCGTCTTCAGCTCGAAGTTGGTGACCAGTGCGAATGAGCTGGAGCCGCCTCGCAGCGCCCAGAATAGGTCCGAGTATTCGTTGTCGGGGGTTGCTTTGATGATTTTGCCGTTGGCAAGGACGCACTGCTCCTATTAGTCTGTGGCTTCAGTTACAGGTTGGGGACTGCACGTACCGTGAAACTAGCCACGTTCGCCGACGCCCATCCATACTCATTACTGAAGAACGACACTCCGCCGCCCAGAATATACCCCGGGACACCGACATGGCCCAGTCGACCCCCAACGACCGTTAGGCCGTACGGCTCGAGATAGTCATAGATGTTGGTCCACCGATTACCCGGTCCCACATTGACCGTGGACTGGTCCTCGGACAGCTTGAGCTGATTCAACCCGAAGCTGGAGATCAGGACTCCAGACGAGTTGACATTCGCGGCATCCGCAATCGGCATGTGTCCGCCGCCTCGAATCGCGAACGGCGTGCTGAGATTCTTCAGGATCTGCACCGCGTCGCTCAGCTGGGCGGTGGTCGTTGGTTCGAAGACGCATGCGGGTCCGAGCCATGCGCTGGACGTGTAGTATTCTGCAAGACGAAGGATGTCAGTCAGTCAGGCACTTCGAGATCTGATCTCTAGTGTTGAAGGGAGCTCGTACCGGTATTCGCATTGATGTATTTCTGATGCAGACTGCCGTACGTGATGTCAGAGTGCTTGTCGTTCAGTTGACTGCAGGCTTCTTTGGCGCTTTGTCCTTCCTTTGCGCCCAGGGTTGTTGGCAGCGCAGCCAGTGCGAATACCAAGTAATCACGCCACATATTCGAGTGCACGGGAAAGAACTCGTGGATTAAAAATTACGACGAAGCTCAAGAGCACGGTACTATATTATAGACACAAAGCACAAAAGAAAAAGCCCACCCCAGGGTATATATACAGCGGCAGCAGAACCGTGAGTTACATGTCTTTCCCATCGACTCAATTAACTTCACATGAGAAACACCGTCACTGCAGATCATCCTCGGATGACCGCAAAGACCAAAGTTCAGCACACAACGCACCCAATCATTACCCTAAGCAGGTGTTAGCGCAGTAGAATTCAAAACCGGACAGCGTTCCTGACTGACCTACTCCGTAGTTAATCCGGGGTGATTTACTCTAAACGGAGAGCGAGGCGACGATCAATACCCTACTGGCGGAAAATTTGCGACGTCCAAAACCTCGAGGATGTGAACTCAGTCGGGAATTTGTTCATTTCGTGGCGTGTGGTCCCGCTCTGCTCTGCTCTGCCCCTGTTGTTCTCAAAAACAGGGCTGCTTGGGTGATGATGATCTTCCCGTACCCGAGGCCCTAGGACCATGGAACCGTTTCAAACCAGGAACGGCGGCGATGTTGAATCATGAGGAAGATAAGCTAGCTGATTGGCAATGAATAAGGGGGTGAGGGCTTTTTAAATCGCCATTTTTGGCAGCATACTACTGCATCTTTTATTTCTTCACTCAAGTTATAAGTTATGAAGTAACACTCTATCTATATTAACACCCTTGGAACAGCACCCAGTAAGTCTTTCTATCTACTCCATAACAAATGCAGCCTCAGCACCGCGCGTCCCCAACCCACGCACCGTGCCGGCCGCTCTAGTTACAACCTAGGAAGTCTGGTGGTGCAAGGCAGAGAACGGGATACATGGGTAAAAGATAGAAAGTCAAGGGGGGCTGGGCAAATTCCAGATATGCTGGGGTACAAGCTAACATCATGTGTATGTGTAAATGTACGGGCTTATAGTGTAAGGGGTAGGGCACGGTGCCAGCCGTGGTACCATGGAGCTTTGGCTCTACCAATTTCTTGCCACACCTGTTCTTCCTGAGGTTTATATATGCGAACGCAGTGCGAAGCCTTCAGCTTTGCATACTAGTCTTTTGCCAATAGTGCAGGGGATAAACACTGAATGTGCCTAGTAACCATGTTCTGTGACAGTGTTCTTGTTAAGAAGGTAAGTATGGAAAGAATAGAATAAATACAATATTTAAATGAGTATATATATTAATAAATATTTAATCAGTATAAAAATAATAATATTTGTACTCTGCTGGGCTTTTACCATCTGGGTTATCATTTACATCTACCCAGTGAGCAAAAAGCAGCAAGGGGTGAGAACAAAAACAGAAAGGGAAAGCTGCCGCCCTCGCTAGAAAACCAAATATATACGTCTAATTGATTCATAAAACTTTTATTCCCCACGTCCAATCCGAGACTCTCGAAACGCCTATGCAGTTCCCGGGATCGCCTGGCTGGGTTTCGTCCTCCCCAGCCCCTCCTTCGCATAGAAGTCCATCGGGTAGATGCCCTTATTGGAAGTCTCCCAGCTCTCCTTCACGCCCAGCGCAATCAGCGCCTCGTACGGCGTCAGCAATGGTCGCGGGAACGCATACCCCCAATCGATACTCAGTCGCGGACAGGCGATCTGCACCCAGCATTCGACGTCCGCCATGGAGGCCAACTTGCCGGGGAAAATCTCGCTCAGCAGCAAGTTGACGAAGGGGATGCCCCGCGCGTTCAGCTCGTTCTCAATCATGGCCATGGTATTCGGGTTCCCCTGTCGGCCGAGCGAGCCGAGGATGAGGCCCCATTTCTTCGCGGACTTGGCGGTGCCGATGGCGTCGCGGCGGAGGGTGTGCATTTCGTCGTGGTAGTAGGTTTCGCGCGACAGGGTGCGCGAGTACGGGTCGTAGCGGTACGCAGGGATAGTGGGGTTGTGGATCATGGCGGATTCGAGGTGGAAGCGGCCGTCGCCGAGGTAGAGGAGGATGTCGATGGCGGCGTCAAGCTGGGGGGAGGTGCAGCCGAGGATTTCGCCTTTGGAGAGCGGGGTGATCTGCGGGATGACGACTTTGAAGTCGGCACGCTCGAGGACGGGCTTGAGGCCGTGCAGCGTGGCGTTGAACTGGATCGTGCCGACCGTGGCGATCGTCTTGCCGCGGGGGAAGTTGCGCTCGAGCGTCGCGATCAGGTGCCCCGTGTCGATGCTGATGTCGACGAAGATGTACAGCGTCTTGATCTTCGTCACGTCGACGGGGATCAGGCAGCTGTGGGCGTAGTGGACGAGGAGGTCGCAGCCGAGGGCGCGCGCCGTGTAGTCGTCAATGCAGCAGGCGCCGTAGGTGACGTCGCCCATGATGAGGGTCTCGATGCCTGGGCAGAATTGCGTGAGAATGTCGGAGATGGTGGTCGCGAAGATGAGGAGGCCTTCGGGGAACTGGAGGGCGACTCGCGTGGCGCCTGATGAGCGGATGCGGTGGATGGTCTTAGGGATTTCGAAGGAGTAGTTCTTGGGGAGAAGTTCGATGGCGGCTTGGATTTCGGGGTCTTCGAGGATTTCAGGCGGGACTTGGTTCAAGGTTCTGGGCGTTCGTCGCGGTGCAGCTATTGGGTTTTGATCAGTATTGGCTGTTGGACAATGTAGATATATTGAGCGGCGTTAATCAACCTTTTTGAACACTAGTGGACTCGACATCTTTTTGACTCGAAGTGTCTTTCTGGGCTTGAGCATCTGCCGTTCGTCTGCCAACGAATCTCTTCTTGGGCTGGCGCAGTTGGCCATTGGGCGCATTGTTGGCAGTCTGGTCCTCCATTTTGACGTGGGGTCAGCGCAAAGTGGGATGATGCCGCAACAATCCGTTATCGCGGAAATTCATGAAAATGTTCGGCTGACTCAGCCGGGTCAGGTGGGGAGGCGCCGAGGCGAGTCCGGGCGGTGTCTTCTCCGCATCGCATGTTCCCTCATCCTCCAGCTGGTCGCTGGCCTGCATCCTTGTTATGTAACTCCCCGCAGGTGTTTGGGCTGACTTGTCTTCTTTCCGTGGATGTCTGATCCCTCCCTCATTTCAAAATGATGAATCTTCGTCCTCGATTGGGTTTATTCTCTGCCTTCCGAGCTGCTCCAGCGACTCGGCGGTTTGCGACTGAGGCGCGGTTAACCTCGGACCATGTTCGCATTGTCGAAGTTGGACCCCGAGATGGTCTCCAGAACGAGAAGAAGTCCATATCGCTGGAGACAAAGCTCAAGCTCATCGAGAAATTGGCAAAAACGGGAGTGACAACGATTGAGGCGGGTTCTTTTGTCCCTGCGAAATGGGTACCCCAGGTATGAGCACGTCGCCCCTTGAAAGGGAGCTAGCTTGTGTGTTATGGCATCTTTGCAGATTGCCTGAGTCATTAGTTGGGTGTTCATCTTTCTGATTGACTGTACTTCTGTTAGATGGCAAGTACTGCGGAGATCTGTGAACGTCTTCTTCGGTCGCCGCCGCAATCGCAAAATGCCATCGCCTACAACTATCTAGTCCCGAATGTCAAAGGACTTGAGGGACTAATCAAGGTGTTGGATGCTACGGGAGTTTCTGAAGAGGCTACCGAATCGTCCGGGAAACCCACAACCTCCACCGAGATCTCTCTCTTCGCGGCCGCAACCGAAGCGTTCTCCAAGGCCAATACGAATTGCACCATCGAGGAATCCCTGGAGCGGGTTCGTCCCATCGTGTCGCTCGCCAAAACCAAGAACATTCGGGTTCGAGGCTACGTCTCCGTAGCACTGGGCTGTCCATATGAAGGACCCGACGTGGACCCCATAAAGGTGGCAGAAATCACGAGGAGCCTGCTTGAAATGGGAGCGGACGAGGTCTCGGTCGCTGACACTACCGGCATGGGAACGGCCCCGCGAACAATGCGGCTCCTGCAGGCCCTCCGAGCAGCTGGCATTGCCAACAGTGACCTGGCTCTCCACTTTCATGATACGTACGGGCAGGCCCTGGTGAATACCATCGTGGGCTTGGAGCACGGTATCCGGATATTCGACAGCAGTGTTGGTGGCCTCGGCGGTTGCCCGTACTCCAAGGGTGCCACGGGTAATGTCCCGACAGAGGACCTCATTCATACGATTCATGGACTTGGAATGCACACGGGCATCAACCTGGAGGAGATGGCGAAGATCGGATCCTGGGTCAGTGGGGAATTGGGACGGTTCAATGAAAGTCGGGCTGGGAAAGCTATTCTTGCAAGAATCCAGGAGTGAGTGTTTAAATAGGCATTTCGGTCTTTGCAGGTAATTTAAATCTGAACACAGTCACAAATTCTACTGAACATGCTTTCTGAAGTATACACTGCTATTTCCACCAAAACCGAAGATCATGCCAGTCGTAAATCATATACTACCGTAGGCAACCAAAAACTCTCTCTTCAACTAACAGAAGCCATACACACCATCGTAGGTTCATCAAAACCATCACACATGAACATAAAAACACAACAAATAAACCCTCCCGCACCATCACGGCAAATAATGACGTTTAAAACTCCTCCACCGATCACCCCACGACAACCGCCTCTTGGTCTCCGCAGTCGGAGCTTCGAACTCGGATATCATGGGTGTCTTCTCCTGTACCTCTTCCACCGTATTCTCTTTAGTAGAATCATACCCCTCTAAAAGCTTGTCACTTGGGGATGAATTCTTCCACTCGGTCTCCTCGAGACTCTTTGACTCGCGGTGGCGACGCACAGCTGCCTCGATGGGCGTCTCGCCTGGGAGGATGGACCCGGTGGAGCGAGTCACTTGGATGGAGGGGTCGATGTATAGGGGTGCGCACATTTGGGTTGATTTTTGTTCTTGTAGGGGTTTGTGGTATTATTCAGGGGCGAAGTTGGGGTATAGGTAGGTGTGATGGTTAGTAGGGTATGCATTGGTATATAGCGTAATGTTTCACTATATAAAGCAATGACTGATGCAATCCTGACTGATAGAGTTGATGACCAAAGACCTTCGCCCCACGTGGATACCAAGGACTATGGATCGCCACGCGTCGACAATCGACAGCGAGTGGTTCGAGTTGAAGAGACTATGTCATTGTTCCTTCTTTGATCATGTCTAGTGACCTGGGCGTCAAGGAAATCGCCTCAGTCAGAGTTTCGGCCAGTATCGGATCGGATGTCGACTGTCTGTGTATAGATTGCCCCAAGACAGTGTGATGCGGTGGTTGAGAAGGGGAGAGATTAAGAAAATAGCATGTATGGGCACATATATACACGTTAGGACTCGGAGGGAAGAGCCAAAGGGCCTAGCAGGCGCGACTGAATTCCTCCAGCGCAACAAGTCTAGCCGCAGCACGCAGCAGAGCAACAAACGCCAACCAATGCAAGGATTATACACCAAGGGCGCAAGCCCAGTCGTCTCACGCAAACCCCATCAACTCATAGCGGTACACTCGAATTCAAGGTCAAGATCACGATAATTTAGAAATCAGTGACCCGTCCCCCATAGCTCCAATCTCCCTCGGCACCCCATCGCAGGGGCTCATTCTTCGGTCCACCGACCTCCCCCGTCTGAGGATTCTTCTCGCCCTCGAACTCAGGTTGAACGCCGTATCGCACATCGGGATGGAGCTCTTCTCCCTTGCCCGTGGCCTTGATCTCGGCCGACTCGTTCGCGGCGGGTTCGGAATCGGGAGATTGGTTGATCTTGGGCGTCGATCGTGGGGTGCTAAACGCTCCGGTGGACTTTCTCTGTAGTTCCTCGAAGATTTCTTGCTCTTCTTTGGGAAGACGTGGGGGAGCTGGGCCGCGCGAGAATGCGAAGGGAGGTTTGCCGTCGGAGGAATTGCGGAGAGCGGGCTGGCTGGAGAAGGTCCGCGTGGAGAGGCGAAGGGTTTTGTTTGCGGAGGCGAGAGCCCGACGAGAAGCGACAGAGAATGGCATTATGGATTGTTGATTGAAATAGTTGGGTTGTGTTTGACGGTTCTTGGGAGAGAAGAGGAGAATTGCGGAGTGGCGGAGACGGAATCCAATGACTGCAGGCAAAAGTTCCGATAAGCGATCGTCCCCGATATCGCGGCATTTTTCTTGACCGATGGCTTTCCTTTCCCTTGTCACTCCACTTGCGCGTCTTTTTATTTAGATCCCCTTCTCCCTTGGAATTTGGTTAATTCCTCCTTCTCTTTTCTTCTACTTGTTTTATTTATACCCAGTGAATCTTAATCTCTCCGAATGTCGTTTGTTCGCATAGCTTCGCGGCGATTGCCGCTCGCCAGGAAGCTCGTTCCTTCAATTGAGTCACCGCTGCAGCGCCGATTTGCGTCGGCCTCGGCCACGCAGACGTCGAACGTTTCTCAGGATGTGAAGGCCCAGGCGAAGGTATTATCATCGGATCTGCTTTGGTATGCTAAAATAATAACGCTTATGACAGAAGGAGGCGTCGCTGCCCAATCCCGACCCCGCTGCCGATTCGGCGACGATGGCTTTCATCCAAGACCGTGCTCCGTATATGGTTCCGACCTATGTTCGACCGGCCCCGATGATGGTGAAGGGACAGGGATGTTATCTGTGGGATATGGAGAATCGGCGATACCTGGATCTTACGGCAGGTATTGCTGTTAACTCTCTTGGTCATTGTGACCCTGAGATTTCTAAGATCATTGCCGAGCAGGTGTGTATTCTTCAAGTCAACTATGCAAGGGATTGTTTGGTGGCTAATGGAACGCCAATCGACAGGCCGAGACTCTCGTCCATGCCTCCAACCTGTACCACAACGCCTGGACTGGCGCCCTCAGCAAACTGCTGATCAACACCACCCGCGAGTCGGGTGCCATGCGCGATGCCTCCCAAGTGTTCATCTCCAACTCCGGCACGGAGGCCAACGAGGCCGCCATTAAATTCGCCCGCAAAGTCGGCCGCTCCCTTGACCCTTCGGGCGCAAAGCACGAAGTCGTTTCCTTCCACAACTCCTTCCACGGCCGCACGATGGGTGCTCTGTCCGCCACGCCCAACCCCAAGTACCAGACTCCCTTCTCCCCCATGCTGCCGGGATTCAAGTACGGAAACTACAACGATGTCGAACAGCTGCAGAGCCTCATCACCGACAAGACGTGCGGTGTGATTGTGGAGCCCATCCAGGGTGAGGGTGGTGTGAATGTTGCCACCCCGGAGTTCCTCGTGGCTCTGCGCAAGCGCTGCGACGAGGTCGGAGCAGTTCTGGTCTTCGACGAGATCCAGTGCGGTCTGTCCCGTACCGGCACCTTCTGGGCCCATGCTCACCCCTCTCTGGCTCCTGCCTCAGGCGAAGCTGCGCACCCTGATATCTTGACTTCCGCCAAGGCCCTCGGCAACGGTATTCCTATCGGCGCCACGATCGTCTCAGGAAAGACGGTGGCAGAGCATATCAAGGCCGGTGACCACGGAACCACCTTCGGCGGTAACCCTCTGGTGTGCCGTGTCGCACATCACATCGTTGAGCGTCTGGGCTCGTCGGAGCTGCAGAACTCCGTTGAAGTGAAGTCGGCCCAGCTTGTGTCCGGTCTGGAAGCCCTCCAGAAGAAATTCCCCGGCGTCATCTCTCAGATCCGCGGCCGCGGTCTGATTCTCGGCGTTCAACTTTCCTCGGATTACACAGCCAAGGCGTCCGAACTGATCACTGCCGCGCGGGAACGGAGCATGTTGATCATCACCGCTGGCGATGGCTGCCTTCGATTCGTCCCTCCCTTGACCATCACCGAGGACCAGATTAAGACGTCCTTGAAGATCTTGGAACAGGCCTTCGATGTTGTCACCAAGGCTTAGGCGATATATAGATAAAATATCCTGGATAGATAAAAAGACATTTGCTTTATTTTGCTATCTAGTTCCGATAGATGACAACTGCCAATTGCTTATAGTTATCCAATCCCTGTATAGCATCGTGTGACGGAGTATCTTAAAAGATTGATAAGATAGGCAATGATCGGCAGTGTCAGGCAACAAATTCAGGCATGAAGGCACCGCTGACGGCAGCTGGTCACGCGCAGACCGACAGTCTCCCCAACTCCCTTTTCCTGTCCTTTGCACCCTCGACAACTACGACAACACCCCAGCGACAGTGGCCCATTAGCAGCAATGACCTTTACATTCTTATCTTAAGACAAATAACATGAACACCGGTGCTTGCTCTTTGAATTTGTAGCGTACTAACCAAAGAATTCTCCTTTACCTGTCCTGATGCCTAGAACACCCGACCCAGACGAGACACCTATGTTACCTCTTCCTGGATCCCCATCTTCCTCGTGGGCTCGATTCCGAGAGCGACTTGGAGCCCTATTTAGCGGCGCTGACCCCAGAGTCTGCGTCGCGTTCTGGCTGTTCGGTAAGCTGCCTGCCCAGAATACAGCCCAGAACGGCCACTAACGTATTCCGACACAGGGTTGATCAACAATGTTCTCTACGTCATCATCCTTTCGGCGGCCCTAGATCTTGTCGGTCCCAATGTGCCCAAAGGCGTCGTCCTCCTCGCAGATGTCATTCCCTCGTTCGGAACCAAGCTCGTCGCCCCGTACTTCATCCATGTCGTTCCATATTCCGTACGAGTCGTAATCTTTGTTGCCATCTCCGCGATTGGCATGCTCTTGGTCGCACTGAGTCCGGAATATACAGACGGTGGCTCAGTCGGAACCAAATTGGCGGGGATCGTGCTGGCAAGCTTGTCCAGTGGAGCTGGAGAGCTGAGCTTCCTGGGTCTCACCCATTTCTACGGCCCTTTCAGTCTGGCCGCCTGGGGAAGTGGCACTGGGGCGGCCGGACTGGTCGGAGCTGGTGCGTACGCGCTGGCAACTACTTCGCTCGGCCTCGGTGTCAAAGCTACCCTGTTGACATCCGCGTGCTTGCCGGCGGTGATGCTCGTGAGCTTTTTCACTATCCTACCACGGTCTCATATGCACATGTCGCGCACGTCGGCAGGATATCGTGCAGTTGAGGACCCGGATGTGGTAGAAAATGGAAGTGGATTGGGCGACGACCATGAGGTTGCTTCCGACGAAAGGGAGACGCTACTCAGTTCGTCTTTCCACGGTGACGACAGTCAAAAAGCGAAACCATCGGGCCGTGGTAGCATCGGGTGGCATAGTGTCAAGGCGAATCTACAGCGTGCCAAGGGGCTGTTTTTCCCATTGTAAGTGTGGTATGAGACCAATTTAGCCGGATCCCAGCTGACAGTTGCACTCAGCATGCTCCCCCTACTGCTGGTCTACGTTGCGGAGTATACGATCAACCAAGGCGTGGCTCCAACCCTCTTGTTCCCTCTCCAGGAATCTCCGTTCGCCCATTTCCGTGCTTTCTACCCAGCATATAATGCGATTTATCAAGTTGGAGTATTTATCTCTCGGTCATCTACCCCGTTCTTTCGCATCCATAACCTGTATTTCCCTTCATTCTTGCAGGTCATCAACCTGGCCATCTTGTCTCTCCACGCCTTGTTCAACATCATTCCCAGCGTGTACCTTGTCTTCGCAATCATCTTCTGGGAAGGACTCTTGGGCGGACTGGTATACGTCAACACATTTGCCGAGATCGGCGACCGTGTACCCAAGGAGGATCGCGAGTTCTCGCTGGGAGCAACCACGGTTAGTGACTCTGGTGGCATATGCATTGCCGGCTTTGTGAGCATGGTGTTTGAAGTGTGGCTTTGTGACTGGCAAGTGGCACGAGGGCGGGATTATTGTCGCCGATTATAGACTCCTTTTTTGGAGTGAATCAAAGAATCATATTATAATTGTTTCCTTGTATTTTTCGGACTGTAGTACAGAGATAAGAGGGTCTCGACAAGCGCAGAATTCGAACTGCGACGTCAGATGACGCCAGTCACGGGATGCGGGCGGACAGCATGTGACAGGGACTCGAGCGACTCGAGATGAATCATTCACCATTAAGCATTCGCATTCATCGCCGCCGAGCGATCGTCCATTACCCTTCTTGCAACCCAAAGATGCCCCGGATCCCACGATGACTGGCTTACCCCGTCCACTTCCCCACATATCTCCAGTCAGCCCGACAGTGGGGACTTTCACATGCAATTCCCGTCCGCCAGCTTATCCATGGATGCCCTCATGGCGCTTTGGAGGGATTCTCCTGGATTCATTGTCCTTTGTTCTTTGGAACCCATCCGCCATCTCCTTGATTGACTGACGACCACTTGCCGGGTTGTCCGTTCTTCAGCAACCAGAAAGTCTTGCTTACCTACTTCGCATTGTCTAGGCTTCGTACAAATGGCGGACATTTCATAATTGGCTTGGTCTGACTTTTGCTTACTGGTCCGGTGTGCATTTTTACCTGGTTCCGCCTCCAGGGCCTCATTTTTAACTGCGACATTCTTTGTGTTATTTGAGGGGCTCATTCCTGCACTCGAGACAACTCCAGCTATAATTTAGCCGGGATGATAGGTTAGTTTCACGACTCAAACGCGGAATTCAACGTTGACAAAGGTGTAGACCACGTTCTGGGACGGCCGTCCACCAAGTTTCGTAAGATCCAGGTCTTCGCCGTTTTCCTGTTCTGGTCTTCTTATCTCCTTCGGTACGACATGATCCCTGCCACCCACGCTCTCCACGAGGTAACTGACAAATCATTCAATAGAGGAAACAAGCATGGTCCTCCGATTATCCGAAAGCTTTCGTCTCGTCTCTCCCAGAAACTGAGTGTCTGGCAAACTACGGTCTTCGTTTTCCTATGGCTTTACATTTGTCGAAATTTCGCGAAGATCGTTGGCTTGGAGTGCCCGGAGCCTTTGTCGAATCTGTATTCGCGTTCCTTCTTCCGGGCAACATGGATCACCACGGCTCTGGATGCAGGCTTCTGGACGGCGATGAATGTTAAGCCAAAATGGCTACGTGATATCTCGTCCTTAGTCTTCACGGGATATTATCTATTTGCGGCAGAACAGGCCGATGAGAAGGTCCGTCGGGTTCGGGCTACCCTCACGGTAGAACACCTGCGAGTCTCGTGGAACAAGGCCACAACGCCGTACCTGTGGACACTGGCGAGTATAGTCCGGCCCCGACTTACCAGATATCCTCCCCGTGCAATTCGAATCCCTCGTCCGGGACAGTCTTCATACACAGAGCCGACCAATGCATGGCTCTACTTTGATGGGCCTTTGAGTACGCTCCGGGACCAGACGTGCATTATTCTGGATATCCCCGGGGGTGGGTATGTTGCTATGAGTCCTCGGTCTTCGGAGGATCGGTTGCTTGCATGGGCAGGAAAGACCAAGGTGCCGATTCTCAGTCTTGACTACAAGAAAGCGCCAGAGTATCCCTACCCTTACGCTCTGAACGAATGTTACGATGTCTACCACATGATTGTCTCTACTCGCGGCCGCTGCGTGGGGCTTAGCGGACAAACACGACCTCGAATTGTTCTTACCGGAGACAGTGCGGGCGCGAACCTCGCCGTAGGAACGGCATTGGTGACTCTCCAGTCTGGTGGTGCAAACGCGCCACGATGGCAGGGCGAGAACATCCTGCCGCGCCCAGATGGGCTGGTTTTGGCGTATCCGACGCTAAGCATGAAAGTGGAAAGCTGGATGACGGAAGAGCAGATGGCCTTGATCCAAGAGAAAAGCACGCGTCGGACAAATCAGAGTGTCTTGCAGCGGAAGAACATGGACTATCAGCGATTAACGCCGTTCACATCACCAGGTCCCTCTGTCAGCGACTTGCAAGCTACACCTTCACCTGATCCTGACGCCGAACCGGATGGGATAGTGAAAGAAGCTTCAAAGATCATCGAGGAGGAGCTTGCACAAGATAGCATAGCAGCCCAAGCTGTTGAGATGACTGAGCACCAGCCAAAGCAAATCCGAACTCGGTTGGCCGTTTCCTCGATGATTTCATACGTCCACGATCGCATGTTGACCCCCGAGATTATGAGAGCTTTGATTATCTTATATATCGGTCCTCACAATCGCCCTGATTTCAGTACAGACTTTCTCCTGTCGCCTGTTCTTGCGCCGGACGCACTACTCTCACGCTTCCCAAAGACATACATCATCACGGGGGAACGCGACCCCCTAGTTGACGATACTGTGATCTTTGCCGGCAGGCTACGACAGGCGAAGTTGCACCAATTCAGAGAGCGCCAGGAGTTAGGCCTAGAGAAGTCATGGCGCAGCTTCAAGGAAAAGGACCATGTTGAAGTGTCCTTACTACCAGGGGTGTCTCATGGCTTTCTCCAGATGGCAGGATTCTTCCCCGAGAGCTGGAAGCACATCAATCGATGCGCTTCGTGGATTCAGGATCTGTTCGAGATGGCCGAGAGGAAGAAGGCATCTCCCAGCTTCCCGCAGTCCTTAGTCGACACCGCCAGTCTTCATAAGACGCCCAAAAAAGAAACGACCAACAAAGAGCGTACCCGCAATCACAAGCGAAGCCTAACTGGCGAGTCCTCGGCCGACGAGGATAAACCGTTGGAGATGGGCATCGGCAAGATGACGCCTCTGAATACGGATGACGGCCATGTTGGCCACGCACGAATCCATCGGTCCTTTAGCAGTGGCGTCCAGCTGGTCAGCCAAGAAATCCACTCCGACAACGAGGTTCCCCGGTCCAGAAGCGTGTCAAGGGGGCGCACACCTCGAGCCAGCGGGCTCGCCAGAAAACGGCGATTTGCACCGACATCCCTGAAGATGCCCAGCGTGAACGGATACTCGTCCGACGGCCCGGAAAGCCCGGCGTACTTTCGTCGCAGAGAGGGCAGTTTGGATAGTCTCTCCAGCGAGGAAGATCTGCTTCACCGCCGCATGACAGGCATCGCGGGAGGATTGATGGGTATTGGAGAGAGGGCACAAACCCCGTAGTACTGAGGCGAGATGCAAGTTATGACCGGGTTATGGATATGGTATTGGACAGCGAGAATGTATCTCTCTCTTTATGCACAGTACGAACACCAGCACTCTGATAAGAATAGATTGTTTTCATTTCCTCATCTCCATCGCATCGCATCTGCCCGGGTCGACATGTGATTGAACATGTGATTGTGGACCGCCTTGATGCCTGGGACTGTCTGCCCCACTGCCTCTTTTCTTCCAGATCAAGACTTCTAGGCGACCGTTCTTTTTTATTTTTACATAACTTGGAGTCTTGGACAGACGATGGCGGTGGATGTGCACTCCGTGTCCGTCTTGACATTTTACAGATTAGTTATCACTGTTTATATGATGACGTGATCATCCCGGCCCCTGTCCCTGCACAAGTAAACAGTTCTAGAATATGTCATCCGAGGAGGATCTAAAGATGCGCCACCCGATAACACCACCCGCATTGGCATGCCATGGCCCGGTCAGGTTCCGGGCGCCTGAATAAAGTGGTATTTATGCATGACTGCGTGCATATATACTCCTGGTGGACAGAGTAGATATGAGCCCTCACGAGATGTAGAGAAATATACTGCATGTGACTGAGTACATGGAATTTGACCGATTGACTTTGATGCCTGCTTATTCTGTAGGAGCTGTGTTCCTTAAACATTAGCAAGACGGTAGCTATAGTGCATAGATTTATGCAATGCCTTGATCCCTGTGCAGCATCGCTCATCGGGTTGCCGTCGTCGGCCCGATGACTCAAGGTCGGACGGGTCGCAAGAAAATCTCCGATCGAATTATTGATTATTGAACCACATTTAAAGATTACAGCGTGAAGATCCAAGCAGAAAACCCGAAGAGTGAAGGCATTGACATGTGACAGTCACATGCGCCCAGAGCCCTCGCGGCCAGCCCTAGTCCCAATGCGGTAAGGCCAGCCCCGTGACTGCAGCCCTATCGCCCCGTCCTCGACCGAAAGCCCGACAGATCAGGATATCAGTCATCCGTCAGAAACGATGAAATCATCAAAAATCAGTCCATGTGGTTCCTTTTGCCCCAATGCACGATGAACGCCGCTGACCAAACATGCTGAGTTGTCCCCCGTGTCGAAGGTTTGACACTGCTGGATTTTTTCTGCATTGGGATTACGCTCCCGATGCTGTCAGCAACTACTATTCTTATCCGCTGTCAGCCCAGCTTTTCGTTATGCCGTGCTCTGCTGTTCGCATCCAGCCCGCTAGCGTGCTAGAGCCTCGGCATCCCGACTCCCCGATAGGCTGTGCCACCTAGTTTGGGTAGCCTGACGCAGTGACGCTAGATGTATCCATCCGCCATGCGGATATCATACCCTTCGGAGAAAACCGACATGGATGGGGTCCACCCAGTTCTTCTGGACATTTTGGTTCTGGCGGTCCTTTCTTGCGGAATCATCTCTCCGCTCGACCAATGCTAACAGATAATGGTCCGGTTTTCTGCCCTGCAACTCTTGGCGGGCGAGGAGTTTGCGAGGCTGGGTCTTTTCTCGGCCTCGTTTCATCTGGTTGATTTGTTATTGGGTGGAGATGTCGGTAAGGAAGCAGTCAGGTGGATAGGGATGGGTAGGATATGGGCGATGGTGTGAATAATGGATATGATGGCCTGTTTTTTTTTATTTTTTATTTTCTTTTCCCTCCTGGTATATGATAATGTGTTGGTCTCACTTGTGTTCGCTCTCTTTATATTTTGTTCTCTTGCCTTTTGGAATTTATTTTCTACTTTCGGAAATTATTCTCATGTCCCAATACAAGACATACCCCAAATTCATTCGTCATTCACAGTCAATCGATCATGTCAAGAGCACCAAGCGTCCCCGACTCCGCGGTGACAATGAAGACCAGGCCACATGTCGACTTTGACGGCCCTGAGGATCCATTGAACCCTCTTAACTGGCCCATGAAAAAAAGGTTTGTGCATTTGCTAGAAGGTTGATGGAATGCTGACGGTCTGTCACTTTAGGGCATACATATGCGCCATCTTGGGCCTCAGTACCATGGTTGTCGCTTTCGCCAGTAGTATCTTCTCCCCGGCTATACCTGCTTTGATGGTTGTGTACGGCATTAGCAGAGAAGTCTGCACCCTGGGCATTTCTCTCTACGTGTTCGGATTCGCCTTTGGTCCCCTGGTCTTCGGCCCTTTCTCCGAGCTCAAGGGCCGATACTACCCTCTATTGATCTCGATATTCGGCTTCACGGTCTTCTCGTTCGCAACTGCCGTCTCGAAAGATGTTCAGTCCCTTTTCATTCTCCGCTTCTTCACCGGCTTCTTCGGTTCCGGACCTCTCACCCTCGCCGGCCCAGCATTCGCAGACATGTTCTCTCCGCAGCAGCGAGGCATTCCTATCGTCATGTTCTGCCTGATGGTCTTCATCGGCCCCCTCGCAGCCCCGTTCATTGGCGGTTTCATCGTCATGAACGACTCAATGGGTTGGCGTTGGACGGCCTATATTCCCGGAATCCTGGGCGGCTTCGTTCTCGTTCTGCTCCTGCTCTTCCTCGAGGAGACCTTCCAGCCCGCCATCCTCACCCAGAAGGCTAACCGCCTCCGCCATGAAACAGGTGACTGGTCGCTGCATTCGAAACAGGAAGAACGACGCATCGACTTCCACACCATCCTTACCGAGAACCTCAGTCTACCACTGAAGATGCTCGTCCGCGACCCCATTACCCTCTGCATGTGTGGCTTCGGTGCCTTTGTTTACGGCCTGCTCTACCTCTTCCTCACGGCATACCCGTTGGTGTTCCAGGGTGTGCACGGCATGAACCTCGGCGTCGGCAGTCTGCCTTATATTGGAGTGATTGTCGGACAGCTGTTCGGGGCCGTCGCTATCGCTGCTACCCAGCCGTGGGTGCTGCGTAAGATGGAACGCAACGAGGGCGTCATGATGCCTGAGTGGCGTCTTCCTGTTGCTATTCCTGGAGCAGTTGCCTTTTCTGCTGGTTTGTTCTGGCTGGGCTGGACGGGGTATAAGTCCAGTTTCCACTGGATTGTTCCGACCTTGTCGGGTCTATTGACTGGGTTTGGACTGTTGACTATGTTCCTTCCTTCGTTGGCTTATTTGGTGGAGGCCAGTGAGGACAAGTAAATCCCCCCATCTTTATTTCCCTCACTTGACCATGTTAAGGATTAATCTAATGGATAAATAGCGCCGCGTCTGCCGTTGCTGCGCACACGTTCCTCCGATCAGCCGCTGGCGGTGCATTTCCTCTTTTCGCGAAGCAGATGGTTCGTACTCTCATATTCCCCATTGTACAATTACCATTCCTGTGCCCTTTAAACTAACAATGCGACTACAGTTCGATGGCCTAGGTGTCGAATGGGCTTGCACGTTACTAGGCTGCGTCGCGGCCCTGTTCATCCCCATTCCAGTGCTGCTGTACATCTACGGGGCTCGAATTCGGAGTAAAAGTCGGATGTCGGTTTAATTTTCTTCTGCTTTGATGAGATTTGGTATAGATGGGTAGTTCACTTACAGAGATGGTCCTGTTTTGATGTTAATTGGTTGATAGGGGACTAGATTGGGTCTGTTACCCATTCTTCATGTCTCTGGACATACTGTGTGCATTTTTAAATATAGAGGGATTTAATACTGATACGATGCAAATGAAAACTCTTTATCTGAAAAACAAGCTATAGTCTGGTGCCATGGGTCGGCGGTCGACCCGTACCAATAATCCACATGAGACTTGAATCCTTGAATAGCATCATCATGAGGACTTCTACGGAACAAACAAGCATTACGACGTTTGATGCAACACCAGAAAAAAAGCTTCTTCTTATTTCTTTGAAAGTAACCTTCACCTCTTATCCCCAGCAAACCTCACCTACCATATCTCCTTCTCTCTTCGCTTCAAAACAGGACAACACATATCTACATCCCGAAGAGATTTAAATAATCAGCAACCATCAAAATGAAGAGCCAAGATCGTCCACCGCTATATGAGCCCGTATGTTATTTTCACTTTCACCTAAAAGAATCCACCATGTTGAGAGACAGGCCATCTAGTACACATACACCGTTGCTTGGTTCCCCGCTAATCCTAGCCTCCATCATAGTTACAGGAAAGGGACATATCCCTATCAGACCTCGAGGCAGGCCAGGCTCCCACAACGCAGCATTCCACAAGCACAACCAATGCCAATTCTCCTGCGCCTCAAGCAACAGAACCAACTCCAGGAGCAGTCCAGCAGAGCAACCAGAGCTCTTCCGCGCACGAGGAGTTGGGTGTATTCGGTTGTGTCATGGGAACATGCGGGCTGGTGCTTCTTCTCGGAGGTTTTGTTTTAATCGGAGGGACGCTTATTTGGGCGATACTCGCGGTGTTTCAACTGATCGCGCATGTTGGGGATCAGTGAGTGAAAGAGCGGGGAGAGTTGTGTTGCCGGGGTTGCCTGGGTTGAATGGCTGGTTGAAACCTTTAATCTATACGATGGTTGGATCTACTCTTGAAGAGCGTCATTATGAGGATTTGAGGGCTTTTCACTGAGTAGGTAATTGTTATGTATTTGTGATGTAAGAGTATTAGAATTTGCTTTCTTCTTTTCTTTCTTTGATTTTACTTTCTCTTTCTTTTTTTTAAATTCCTGTTCGAAAGAAACCTTCACCTTCCATCTCAAGCAAGCACTATCGATCGTGTCTTTTTTATCTCTGCTCTTCAAAACAAACCAAAACCACCAAGCTATATCTACGCTCAGGGCTTTGAACCCAGCCAGCCGTCGAGATGACTGTCTCAGAGAACTCGACACCTCCACCTCCATACGAACCAGTATGTTGTTTCACACTATGCGCGACAAACCCGTCACGGCCTACCTGCCGCGAGAACCCCAAGTGAACCGACAAGTTTGCATTCTTGCTAACACTAGCGTGCTATCTATAGGAGATGGATATAACCCTGGCAGAGCTTGAAGCCGGACAAGCTCCGAAAAATAATGCTGTTTCATCAGTAACCTCCGGGACTTCAGTGACCTCGACTACTCCAAGACGAAGATGCTGCGGTACGGGCACCATGATAATATTGCCTATTATTATAGGACTTCTTCTTGTGTGCGGGCTCATTGTTGGGCTGGTGGTATGGACACATATAAATGAGAAAACTTCTTATGTTTGGACCCAGGATCGGGGGTGGGTGGCGGTGGTGGGTTAGAGGAGCTTTGGTGGTAGAGCAAGGGGTCTTCGCTGATACCTGATTAATAGTGATAGAACGAATAGAGAAGTTAGTTGTTCGCTGTGGAGATGGAATGGAATTTGCTGGTGGTGAATAGAAAAGCTCACACTTCAAAGCAACCATGACTTTTGAGATAAGAATGATTATATACTATGAGGTCGGCCGGATCTGGGTTAGCCTATCCTGTGACCCACATGCGCCGAAAGGGCTGAGTTCTCGTCAGGGCTTGGCCATTTGCAACTATCTAACAGCTCGAGGGAGTCCATCGACTCCATCATATTTCTGCATAATTCATCCACAGGCGTTATCTGGTCTTTGTGGGAACAAACGGACCATGTGAATTCAAGTATTCTATCAACTCGATCCATCCGGGTTCCGGAAATGCAGCATTATGTGATCTTCCCCTCCAGAGCTGCCTTTACAAAGTCTAGCGTGACCTGCATCACGACTTCTGATCCTTTGGCCGTCAGAATGGACAAATGACCCATACCTCCGGCCACATACACCCGTTTTGGCGTGCCTTTTATGAGGTCGAACGCAGCCTGCTGCTCGTCGGGGCTGGAAATATCATCACATTCGGGAATCACCATTAACACGGGCACACCCTCAATACCAGCCATGATCTCCTTGGGCCGAAACAAGGCTAGTTTGTGGTAGGCCTGCAGGGTGATGCGGCTTCGAAACGCCGGATAGCCGCGCTCCTCGGCCGTCTGCATGAGCTGCGCGGCCTCCAACCCCCCCGGACCCCCAGCGCCGGCCATTCCGATGAGATTGTCGCCTCGGGCGTTGAACGGCTGCAGTGACATTGGCGGATTGCCCTGAAGCTGGGAACTGCGGTCACGCATGAGCTGGGCAAAGGCGCGCTCGCGCCGGTCGCCTCGGACGTAGCTGAACACCGGGCATATCATGACGAGGGCTTTGGGGCGGCGGTCTACGGCTGCAGCGCAGGCGCTGACGGACGCACCGTAGGACATGCCCCAGAGAATGATTTGGTCGGTGGACACGGAGGGCAGAGAGGAGACATAGCTGACAGCGTCTAGAGCCGGTTTTGTATACTCAAATATCAGATGGATGACGGGGACGAGGGAGCAATAACGGGAGCAAACGCACCGGAGATATCTTCGGCCATCTGGTATGGACTGGGTTGATTTCGGGGCTCACCATCGCTGGCTCCGACGGTTCGTGCATCGTAGAGGAGAACGTTGTATCCTAGATATTGGAACCTCTCGGCGACATCCGGTAAGAGCATGTTCTTTACGCAATTCCACTAGAAATTGTGCCTTAATCATCTCGGTCTTCATGGCAGAGATATGTGATACAGACATACTCCATGTGTCATCACAATGGCTGGGGACGGACCGGGTACGGTATACCACCACCCTCGAAGGGTGATGCCGTCGATGGTCTTGAACTCGACCGACTGGTATCTCTCTGAGGACATTAAGGGTGATAGAGAGGTGGTGAGCGTGGAGAAAGATCGAATCAAGATTCGAGAATATAGAGGGCAAGGGCATCCCAGGTGATTGCGCCTTTCCGCCACCAAGGCCTATTCCAAACCATGATGCTGACGATTAGAAACGTTGTCAAAGATTAACGTTGCGCAAATGTTTGGTTCAAACCCACCATTCTTAATCAATGACGCGGAATCCACTGAATTAGGTTTGTATGGAGTGATTTCAATAGTTCATACCTGCCGAAGCCGGTAGCAGACGCAGATCCATGACATCCTTGGCGAGGCGAGGCGAGGCATGAGATGATGGAAAGAAGCTCATCTGCCATAAAGGGTCAAACCTCTGGACTGTTGCCTCAAATGATCTATGTGAAGTACCTACTACCGTTGGTATTGCTATGAGAATGGCACCTCGCCAAGCTCAAGAACCGATTGCGATTGTTGGTCTTGCCTGCCGATTGCCCGGCGGGATCAACAACACTAACCAGCTCTGGGAGTTCCTAGAGAAAGGTGACATTGCCTCGCGAGAAGTGCCGGATTCGCGCTTTACGTGCGAGACACACTATGACGGGTCTCTCAAGCCAGGCACGATGCGGCCTCCGGGGGGCATGTTCCTGCGCGACGTCGACCCGGCCGACTTTGATGCTTCGTTCTTTGAAATTTCCGGGGCAGACGCGGTGTCCATGGACCCGAATCAGAGACAGATGATGGAGGTTGTTTATGAAGGGCTGGAGAATTCGGGCCTTACGCTGGAAAGGCTCGACGGAGCATCGGTGGCTTGCTTTGTGGCCTCGTTCGCGACTGGTAAGTTGGCTATATGCTTCTGTTTACTACTACTCCTGGTCCAGTCCTACCATTAACTGCCACTGAGCCATGGCCCCGCAGACTATGCGGAAATCCAGAACCGAGACCCCCTTGATCGCGCTAGCAACCATATCCTCGGCATTGGTAGGGCCAGTATGGCCAATCGTCTCAGTTATTTCCTAAACGTAAAAGGGCCGAGTGTGACAATAGACACTGCCTGCTCCAGCAGCATGGTTGGCCTCCACCTGGCAGTGCGAGCCTTACACAACGGCGAGGCCGAAACGGCGGTCGTGGCCACCAGCAATCTGTATCTCAACCCGGAGCATGTCCAGGACATGGGAAGTTTGGGCCAAGCCCATTCACCGACCGGCCTCTGCCACACATTTGATGCTACTGCCGACGGCTACATCAAGTCGGAGGCGGTTAGCGCTATCATTATCAAGCGACTTACGGATGCAATGCGCGATGGAGACCCTATACGGGCCGTGGTTCGGGGCACGGCGTCGACCAGGTATGTTCTCTAGGATAGTCGTCTGTAACTCTTCTGAAATTCTCTGACACATTGCCTGGTACCTAGTAATGGACGAACCAACGGGTTGGCTAGTCCCAGTTCCGAAGCACAAGCAAGTGCTATCCGAAAAGCCTACGACAGCGCGGGTATCGCCAACTTCAACGACACGGCCTATCTCGAGTGCCACGGCACCGGGACTCCTGCGGGAGACCCTACAGAGGTGAACGGAGTGGGTTCGGTCTTTGCAGCCACTCGCGATCCCGAGACGCCGCTCATTCTTGGATCCATCAAGGCCAACCTGGGCCACTCAGAGCCGGCGGCTGGCAGCTCTGGCGTCCTCAAAGCTGTCCTGTCGATTGAACGCGGCTTCCTTCCCGGCACTCCGAGTTTGATGAGCCCCAACCCTAAAAGTCAGTCTATCGGTCCCATCTAGGACTTGAATACCTCCACCCTGTTACTGGGTCACTGACCGGTCATTAGTCGATTTTATGCGCAACAGAGTCCGCGCCTCGCGAACCGCTATTCCCTGGCCCGATCAGCCAGGCGTCCTGCGGCGGGCCAGTGTCAACTCCTTCGGGTACGGTGGCTCCAATGCAGTGATCGAGCAAGCCCCAAAGCACGATGGACCAACTGCCCACGTCTCCTCAAGGCTCGCGAATGATGATTATGACTTCGATGCTGATCTCATCAATGCTGAAGATTCGGTCACTGCCCGCCCGTATACCCTAGTATTGTCTGCCAACGACACCGTATCGCTACAGGCCAGTATTGATGCCCTTTGCACCCATCTGCTGGACCCTCGGACTCAAGTGAGCTTACCAGACCTCGCGTATACCCTGTCGGAGCGCCGCTCGCGCTTTTGGCACCGCGCCTACATAACGGCCCACTCGACGACGGGGCTTCGGGCGACTGATTTTGTCATTGGCAAACGCGCCCCCAAGGCGCCACGATTGGCATTTGTCTTCACCGGCCAGGGGGCGCAGTGGCCCGAGATGGGTGCGGCTCTTCTCCAGCATTTCCCGTGCGCACTGGCTATTGTGGAGGAGCTGGACCAGGTTTTGCAGAGTCTATCGCATCCGCCAGCTTGGTCCTTGCGGGCGGAGCTTACAGAGTCACGCAACGCAGAGCACCTTCGCCAGCCGGCCTTCTCTCAGCCAATCGTGACGGCCCTGCAACTGGCCTTGCTGGAGGTCTTCGATTCCTGGGGAATTGTCCCGACTAGTGTCGTCGGTCACTCCTCCGGTGAAATCGCTGCCGCATACGTCGCCGGGCTCATGTCGCGTGCGGATGCCATCAAGGCCGCCTTCTACCGAGGCAAGGCGGCTGTAAATCGAGAGACTCAGGAAGAGGCGGAAATGTTGGCCGTCGGGCTAGGCCCTGACACGGTGCAGGCCTTCCTGGACAAATACTCCGGCGAAGTATGGATTGCCTGTTTTAACAGCCCGACGAGTGTCACCATCTCTGGGCATCGGAAAGCCCTAGAACCCTTGGCCGACGAGATTAGAGTGGTCGGTCACTTCGCTCGTCTTCTGCAGGTTGATCTGGCCTATCATTCTGGTCTGATGTCAGACATAGCAGCAAAATACAATGAGCTGCTGGATGAAGAGCCGTCGTTCCACCCTGCTGCAACTCCAGCTGCCTCTCCAGCCGTGCCCATGTTCTCCTCAGTCACTGGCGCTGCGATGACCACCGCCGCGGATGGTTTATACTGGAAAACAAATATGACCTCCCCGGTGCGCTTCAGCGAGGCCCTCACAGCGCTAGTATCAGACACCCGCAAACCAGACATTTTGATTGAGATTGGGCCAGCGGGTGCCCTTGCGGGTCCCGTCTCCCAGGTGCTCAAGACACTTCCCGGCGCTACGGATATCACGTACACGTCTGCGTGGGCTCGTGGAGCTGATCCTATAATCGCTATCTTCGACGTCGCCGGCCGCTTGTTCAATTTCGGCGTGCCCATTGATTTCACCACAGTGAATGCCTACACGGACAGTCCGGTGCGTACCGTCATCGACCTGCCCAATTACCGTTGGAACCACTCAATCAAATACTGGTATGAGAACGCCTCCAGCCTCGACTGGCGCTTCAAGTCCTACAAGACGCACGACCTGATCGGTAGCAAAGTCCTCGGAAGCCCCTGGCAGGCTCCTTCGTGGCGCAAGCGTCTGGATTTGGCGGACGTGCCATGGCTGCGCGATCACGCCATGGGAGCCGACATTCTGATGCCAGCGGCGGGCTTCATTGCCATGGGTCTCGAGGCGATGTACCAGAAGCACGCCTCCGATCAGCAGCCGGCTGTGACCTCTCCGAGCCAGCTGGGCTTTCAGTTCCGCAGTGTGCGATTCCAGCGCGCCCTGATCCTCCGGCCCGACCGGCCATCTTCAGTGCTCCTGTCGCTGATCCCTGTGCCAGGGAGCCATGTCTGGCACGAGTTCTGCGTTGCTAGCGAAGTTGACGGTACGCAAATGCAGCATTGCGTCGGCCGTGTGCGCGTCCAAGATCCCGTGGTCGAGATGGCCAATGCGGCTGAGCTTGGCCCATTGCAACATCCCTCCTCCGCGCAACTGTGGTACAAGGCACAGCGGGAAATCGGCATGACCTTTGGCCCGGCATTCCAGAACATTCAGTCTGTCGAGGCGACCAGTGGACAGCGGGTCAGTCGTGCGCGGCTGTCTCTGGCCCCCCCTCCGTCTCGATGGGATCCTCAGTCCTATTATCCTCTTCATCCGGCGGTGCTAGATGCATGCTTCCAGAGCGCTACCCCTGCTCTGGTTGCTGGCGAGCGCAGCAAGATCCGTAACATGGTGGTTCCCTCTCTGCTGGACGAGGTCGTAATCAACCCGATATCTGCGACCCTGAATGAGGGATTGGTCGTAGCTGAAGCTGTCTTCAACGAGCGCGGCCGTAGGGATCAACTACAAAGCTACTTTGCGAATGTTCGACTGCATGACCCGCAAACCGGAGCCCTGTTTATGCGCACCCATGGCCTTCACATCGCAAAGCTGGATGCAGGCCCACAACCCGGTCCCCATACCCTGCACCAGGTTGTTTGGCAGCCGGACATCTCTTTGCTGACGCAAGAGCAGTTGAGGTGTCTCAGTCACTCAGGACACAGGATTGCCACTATCCTGAACCTGGCCTCTCACCGCAGCCCGACACTTCGAGTGCTGGAGGTGAATTTGGAGGTAGAGGATACTTCGAGTGTCTGGTTCGAGTCCGGCGGAGATCTCGCGGCCACCCACGCCGCGTATACGGGGTATGATCTCCTATTCGTGGATACCAAGACGCTGGTTACCGCGCAGACCCAGTATGAGAATCGACGGCAGACCTCGTTTCACTTGGTCATGCTAGACCGCGAGGGTCTGGGATTGGACACGGATGCCCTATATGGCCTCGCTATTATAAAGGGGGCGCGCACCACGGAGACGGTAGAACAGGTTGTGAAGAGCCTAATGCCGCTGCTGGTCGAGGATGCGTGCACACTGCTGATGGCAGGCAGTCCACCTATGACAGGGAGCCCCTTTACAACCATCCCCGAGCAGCCGCGTATCGATGGCTCCCCCTCTGAGAAACCGACTCTCTCAAGCAGCTCCAGCTCGGAGGCGGCCGGCTCAGCATCGGGGGTGACCCCAGCTAGCTCCGTGATCTCTCTAGACCCCAGGATCAAGCTGCGCCCATTCTCGAACGACCAGACCCTTCGTAGACTCGGCCCGGCGGGAGCTGGACTCTTCCAGTCCCTCATCGAGGTGGATTGGGCGGTCGACGGCGACGTTTTGTCATTTTTGGGCCGGGGGTTGACAGCGGGGGCACAGAGTCCCCGTGGCTGGCATCTGGTTCTTTATAGCTTCAACGAGACCACGCCTCGCCTAGCACCTTCGTGTCAGGCTGCGCTGGAGGCGACCGGCTGGAAGATCACTTCGCGCTACAAGGCTCTATGGCCCGTCGAACTATCGACGTCCCGGACTGTGGTGATGGTTCTGGACGAACTGTCCATGCCACTCCTCCCCTACCTCAACGAAGAACAGTGGACCATATTGAAGTCTCTCGTGAGCTTCGGTTTGCCCCTTGTTTGGGTAACCAAGGGCGCGCAGCATGACCGCGTCACTGACCCGGATCGCGCCTTTGCCGTCGGGTTATTCCGAGTTGCTCGGCGTGAGGACCCAACTGCCAAGCTCACGGTGTTGGATGTCGAGTCCTCCATGTCTCCTGCGACTGATTGGGCAATCGAGCAGGTCTTGCGGCAGGTGCAGCGTGAGACGACGCACGGTGGCGAGGCGGTCGTCGAGACCGAATATGCCGAGCGAGATGGCATTCTTTACACCCAGCGACTAATGCCGGATGCACAGATCAATGCCTTCCGCCGGGCCGAGACCGAGGGGACTGACCCCGTCATTCGTGGCCTGCATGAAACGGACGTGCAGGTGCGTATTCACGGGGATCGGGTCGGTACGCTTGATCTGTCTTGGTGCGAGGAGGAGCTGGTGGAGCCCGAGCTAGACGCCGGCCTTGTTGAGGTGGAGGTGAAGACTGTGGGAGTGAACTTCAAGGTGCGTCTCCCTGTTTCAGATCTCATTACAATGAATAGTCGGCCAGTGCTGACGTTGGTTAGGATGTGGCCACCATCATGGGCATCGTGCCCGAAAACGAATTCACCATTGGTTGCGAATGTGCCGGCGTGGTTCGTCGAGTTGGCCCTTCGTCGAGCCCCATCCAGGCTGGAGATCGTGTGGCAGTCGTGACCAAAGGTACATATGCCAATCGCGTGCGTGTAGCTGTTGGTCTTGTGCATCGCATCCCAGACTGGTTGAGCTTTGAAGATGCCGCCACCATCCCGCTGGTCTGTATGACCGCATACGTCGGGTTGGTTGATCTGGCCAACTTGCGAAAGGGCCAGGTATGTTTTTCTCCCCCTATCGAAACAGAACATCATTGACAATCCATTCCAACTAGTCTGTCCTGATTCACTCCGCTACCGGTGGCGTTGGTCTCGCCGCTATTCAGCTGGCCCGGTTTCGACAGGCCGAGGTCAGTTAACCCAACCCCCCTGGTCGATCTACAGGCTGACGCCGTCAATGATCTAGATATTCGCCACGGTTGGTACAGACGAGAAGCGCGAATTCTTGTCCACTACATTCGACATCCCTCACGGTCACATTTTCTCATCGCATGACAGCCGCTTCGCCGAAGATATTCGCCTCGCTACCAACAGCCGGGGCGTCGATGTTATCCTCAATTCTCTCACCGGCGAGCTTCTCGACGCATCCTGGAGACTTTGCGCCGACGGGGGAACGATGGTAGAGATCGGCAAGCGCGATATTGTGGGGGGCAGCTCCCTGGCGATGGAGCCGTTCGATCGGAACTGCTCTTTCCGGGCCATTGACTTGTCCTACACGAACCATTCAACAAGCGAAGAGTCCGCACGAGTGCTACGTGAGATCTTCACACTGGTTGAGAACGGCCATATTGGTCCCATTCATCCCATCACCACCTTCGGCTTCGACGCCGTCCCTGCCGCCCTGGCTTACATCCGTCGCGGCCAGCACATCGGCAAGGTCGTCATTACCAACGGAGACGCACCAGATGTGCATCTGCCCATCCGACCAGCTTTACGGAAGCTGCAACTACACCCTGACCTGTCCTACCTCATCGTCGGGGGGCTCAAAGGCCTTTGTGGCAGCCTGGCCATCTATCTCGCGCGGCATGGAGCCCGGCACATGATTGTATGCAGCCGCAGTGGCCTCGCCGACGAGGCGTCGGCCCGCATTGTACACAACTGCGCCGCCTGGGGCGCTACGGTCGTGGATGCGCGAGGCGACGTGGTGGATTATGACTTTGTGCGGCAGCTATTCAAGTCGGCTGCACCCCCAATTGCCGGGCTGATCCAAGGGGCCATGGTTTTGCGTGTATGTCCCATCACGCTTTTATCTTTCCCGATTCACATTGAGCACAATAGACTGACAAAGAATCCCGTTCTATCTTCCACGACCAGGATAAACCCTACGAATCCATGACTGTCAAGGAATACCACGACGCGATTGCGGCCAAGTTCCACGGAACCTGGAACCTTCACTGCGCCTCGCAAGAAGTACAGCCACCCCATTCCCGGCCGCTCGATTTCTTTACCATGCTCTCCAGTGTATCCGGAGTAATCGGCAACAAAGGACAGGCCAACTACGCGGCCGGCAACACCTTCCTCGACTCCTTCGCCAGCTATCGCCAGGGCTTAGGTCTCGCCGCCAACACCGTGGACCTCGGCGCTATTAAAGACGTAGGCTACATGGCCGAGGTTGGGACCGAATTAGAATCCCGCTTCGACACTCGGCAATGGACGCCCATCAACGAGCGGGCATTGCGAGAGATACTGACTTACTCCATCTTGCAACAGAAACGTGGAGATCCAATCAATGCAGGGAGTGTGGCGCAACTGGTTACGGGCATTAACTATCCCTTGACTGTAGGGTCGTCAGATCTCGCCGGAGACCCGAGGTTTGGGTACCTATTCGGCGGCGGAGACGCGGGAGAAGGCCTGGAGGGTGAAGGAAGAAGCGCAGCCAGCGAAGATGATCAAGCGATCCGGGCTTTGAAAATGTCAATCCAGCATTCCCAGCCCGGGGCAGATCCGACACCCGTAATCAAGCCTGTGGTGGAATTGCTGTCGAGCCAAGTCACGAAGGTCTTGCGGCTGGAGATTGAGGTTGAACCCGGCAAAGCGTTGGTTGCGTATGGACTGGATTCCCTGTCAGCCGTGGAGATTAAGGCGTGGGCGCGCATGAAGATTGGAGTCGATTTCAGTACGCTGGAAATCACAAATGCCAGTTCCATTTACGCCCTTGGGGAGAGTATGGCTACGAAGCTGTTGGCGGCGACCGTGGCGCCTGGTGATTGATTTCGAATCACTTTAATGTGTCCACTACCCATTTTTCCTTTTTACACATAGTGTAATTTGATCACTCCATATGACTGGCAGATACGCATGATGACATGGCGCCGTTGCGCAAAGAGCCCCTTGGTAGCTCCCCAGTCGTTAAGCGCCAAGATTGACTAATGCAAGGTTGACAAAGATTCAAGTGAGCTCGGAGAACTTCCTGCAATCCTCACAGATTCTGCCTTCAATGTCGGCACTGCGGTCTCAGGCTCTTCTATCGGGCCACTTTTGCAAAGGCTCACTATATTCAAGCCCTCTTCAGCGCACATCAATCTCAGGGGCAAAACTTCTGCTTCATCGCAAAACCAGCACGGTGTCAAGGAGCTCTATGCTGTCTTCACAGCATACGGGTCTCTCTGGTCGCACTTACACCATTGACCAGGTTTTACAGGAGGAACCTTCTCCCCTGCGTCAAGTCTATCGTGCCTCGTGAGTGGACACCGAATGATCCCTATGTTTACATGCTCATCTCTTTTTCAGGGCGAACGGCCAAAGCTTCATATTAAAGTACATACACCCCATCAACTTTGAAGACCTCCAAGAAGTGAATAATCGCCTACGTGGCAATGCAAACCACGTCCGCCTTTCTGTGGACACTATTCCTCACAAGTCGATGTTTGTTTTCGAACATTTCACCGACCATCTCTCGACCCTTGCCCAGAAGGACTTGCCCCTTGCGGTAACCAAGAGAATCCTCAAGAAGGCGCTTACTGGGCTTGCTGAGCTCCATGCTCGGGATATCGTTCACACCGGTATTTTCCTGCTCCTTTCCTGGAATACTAGACAATAACTGACTCTTCGTAGATATTAAAGCCGACAACATTTTGGTTAACTGGCAGACCTGCAACTATGAGATTACTGTTGACCAAGTACAGCTCGGAGATCTAGAAGACGCAGCTCACATCCCCCCAGGGTGCGACATGGTCGGGAAACAGGCCGGCAACTGGATGTGGAGGAGCCCCGAAGCCCACGCACGAGGGCCTGTCAACAAACCATCCGATATTTTCTCATTTGCTCTTGTTGTAGGTTCCACTTCCCATAATTCTCAAACGCAGCTAGTAACTGGCTGCCTAGTGCATCTGCGCCGTCGACAAGCGCATCCTTTTCGCAGTCCGAGAAGACGAGCTGGAGGAGAGTGTCGATCCCCTCGCCGTCGTCATCGAGCGCCAGATGTCATACTTTGCAGATGAAGATGACCTCAATGGGCTCTTGAAGCATCTTGGTGATAATCCGTGGGTCCGCGTGTTTGAAGTGACTCGGGACGGATTCAACCAGGAGAATCCCCGGGAACCGTTCGCGTTCTGGAATGGTGTTGATGATGATTTTAAAGACCTTGTATGTGCCATGACACGTTTTGAGCCGGGGAAACGGATTACGGCGCGTCAGGCGTTGGAACATAAGTGGTTTGAGGGCGTTTGATGGGGAGCGGTCAAGGGTTTACTTGCTTCAATAAGACATTTCCATACGTGCTGAGGAGGATTTACAAATGCCCATTGAGAGTAATGGAGTAGTAAATCAACTATCAAATCTTACTCTGACCATCTATTTCCCCTCAACAATATGAATAAATTGACGAGGCCATTACCGACTTATAGGGCTCTCATAGTTAGACTTCCATATGCGGTTAGCTCCAGCGTGACCCTTCCGGCATAATTGGGCGTTCCCGACTCTCTCCCTTTCTCCACTTCCCATACAAAGTGAGTCCACCATCGGTGGTATCAGAACAAGCAGAACGGTGTGTGGAGAACCGTCCAGTTCGATAGATAATGCTGAAGTCGCCGCTCTTTCGTTTGTTCCATCGCCCTACCCGCGCAGGGTCGACTGGTGGGCGGTGTTCCTTCGTGAATTTAACGCGTACCCTCCGAACGACAGTACATAGCAATGAGCCGATAATGAAGAATCACGGTCTGTCTATCCATTCTCAGGATTGGCTTTAGTTCTACCTGTTTCATAATTGATAAATTACAGAGCTTGTCACACTCAATTAGAACGACCTGTTTAGATACACCTCTGGCCGATGGCTGATAAACGACAAACATGAACAGCAGCAGCGTTTTATGAATTTTAACATTGACAATCTTTGTTCTCAAGCAGCCTCTCTCTTTAGTCCCGAAACAAAATGTGTGCACATTGCCAAGTTCGAAGGAAATTTCAACAAGGCTTTCCTCCTCACAATGAATGATGGCAATAAAGTGGTCGCGAAAATCCCCTGTCCCAATGCCGGAATGCTGTTTCTGACCACGGCGTCTGAAGTCGCGACTTTAAAATTCTGTATGCTCTCTACCAGCTTTGCCTTACCAAAATACTTATGGCATTGTTTGTAGTGCGATCTCATATATCGATTCCGGTCCCAGAAGTATATGTTTGGAGCTCAGATCCGGAAAACCTAGTGGGCGCGGAGTATATAATCATGGAAAAAGTCCGCGGAGTCGCACTTGCTGAAAGATGGGAGACGATGAACACCCTGCAGCGCTATAAAGTAATCGACGGAATTGTGGAGATGGAGAAGGAGCTCGAGGGGATGAAATTACCAGCATACGGAAGCCTTTTTCTGCGGGATTTTCTGCCATCTGAATACAATCATTATCCTCTTCCGTCAGACTTGGACCCTACTGGCTTATTTTGCATCGGACCCTCGTGCAGTCGAGCTGTGCCGCAGAAGACTTCTTCATCTAAATCAAATGCTGGACCGTGTGAGTCTCATGGGCTCGCTTCACTTAATTTTCTGATTTCTGACAATGCTCAGGGTCTTCAATCTTGGACTTTGCGCTCTCTAAATCAAACCGAGAATTAGCCCTGATCGCTGATAATAGGGATGGAGTGCAGAGCCATCTCAATCATTTTAGCGAGATTCAGCCTGTCAATGAGTACTATGGTCTTCTACAGAAAGTGCTATTAATTCTACCTGTTCTTTCGCATGATCCACGCATTCTAGATGGGGCGGCTTCAAGCATATGGCATACTGACTTGCACCTGGGGAATATTTACGTGTCCTCAGACGATCCAACCATAATTGAAGGCGTGATTGATTGGCAGTCAGTCCAAGCCGCTCCATTATTTATACACGCACAGTTTCCTGAATTCATTCGGCCACCGAAAGGCTACAGCCCAGGAACCGAGCTCCCCGCTTTACCAGACAATTACGACAAGCTAGATCCCGACCAAAAGGAAAAGGCTAACAAGGAGCACACATCAGCAACACAATCCAAGTACTATGAGATGTCCTGTCTTGCATACAACAAGCCTGTCTACGACGCGATGAAGCTGGATCGACGACTGTGGGAGCCCTTTACCTGTTGTCAGCTTTTCTCAAACGGTTCCCTGGTTCCGCTAAGAAGCTCTCTGGTGCGAATCTTCCAAGACTGGGAGCTCCTGGGGCTTCCAGGCAGCTGTCCGTTCGAATTCACAGAAGAGGATCTTAAAAGGCACGATGAACAGGTTCAATATTACCAGGACAGCGTGTATCTGCGGGATATTGTCAAGGCCCAGCTTTGTACGGATGACAGTGGTTGGATTCCAAATGCGCAATGGGAATCCGCGAGAGAGATGAACGAGCATCTGTATGGTATATATATGGAGACTCTGAGCGAAGAACTGTTACCAGAAGCAGCCTCAAGGCGGTGGCCCTTTCCTCCAAAAAGTGCCTGAACTCGGTACATTAACTGTGGAAACTCATACTTGAGCTCGATCTTCTCCGCGCGTGCAACGTGAACCATGATTTTCAGTCTGGATACGAGTTATCTCCTGTTCATTTCTATTGACCCCTGCTGGTGAAGATATCGTGAAGTACTCCGCGCACAGGTCTGCCGAGATAGAGCTAGCAAGGCATCGTGTTAAGGATTCTACATGCCAGGGCAACACCTTTCTCCCTCGTTCATTTTCTACCCCTTAATATGAGAAAAGGAAAAAGCAATCATGGTGACGCAGCATGGATTTACTGGTTGCTTTACACAACAGTTCAATGACGGCGTTCTGCCGCGGATAGCAGATGAACAGCATCCAGCAGCGCCCGTCTGGATCGAAATCGCCCTCGAAGGGTTCGCAGTGTAACGCGTTAACAGATAGTCGGCAGCAACAAGGATAGAGAAGTTCAAGAAAACCAATCCCTTGATGGTTGATACGGGTTGGGAGCATAGTTGACATTTCAATTGCAACCAGGATGCGTCAGGTGGCCACGCGCTTGCGAACTGCGTTTGCCAACTATTGAGTCCAGGTTGGTGATGCCTGGCGTTGATATCTTCAGCAGAGTGCATCCTGGTCGACTGGTTTACGACGGTCCTATGTCCAAGGAACTGTGTTCTCGGCGCTATACAAACATGAACTACACGAACACCCGCCCAGTCGTCGGCCATGCGCCCCGACAAATCTAATACCTGCCCAGCCACTTCCCCAGCTTGTACTACAGTCAGCACGACCGATATGGCTGACGTCTGGTGATCAACAGATGTCGATGCCTGGTCGATGTATGGGAAGCCTAGGATGAGAAGCAAATGCATTTGTATAGCATCAATCGTGTTATTCGGTCGCTCCAGACCCAGCACACAGTCGTTCAGTTCCTGCACTTGACACGAAAAGTGCGGCAGCTGAAGCAGAGTTCGTTCTGCTCGTTCTTTTGACAGGCCAGCTGCTATCCGAAGTTGAAACTATCGCAGAAAGAAAGCCTCGATGGCTGGGATATCCCAGCTCGTGTCCGAGCTCCAGTGTTCGAAACCACGCGGCAAGCCGGATTAGCGAAACGAGTGGAGTCAGCGTTCGTCTTTGCGGGCATCACCTGCTCGTTTTTCCGCGGACCAGCTGGGATCTGGCTCGAGCAGACCTTTTCGCAGGTGCATGAAGAGCGTTCGGATGGAGATGCAGATCCAGATATAAAAAGCCCGAACCAGGTCGGTCTTCACAGGTGAGGAACCACACTCCATCTGACTGATTGACTTGTCACAATGCACCGAATTCTCATTCTGCTGTGTTTTGCCTTCTTCATCCTGGTCACTGGTGCGCAGCCCGACTGCGTCGGCCAGACCAGGGCATGCATGAACCACATCACCAACGGGAATGATCCTCCGCTCAGCAGTCGCCTGTCCGACTGTTCGAGCTTCCAGCTCGCCACCGTGACCCCTGCCACCACGTAAGACCTCTTCCACTCCCCAGACAGACATTCTAACCCCAACCCTTCCCATAGCACCGTAACCACCACCGTCGAAACCGTCACCGTAACCATCACCACCACCGAAGGCCAACCGCTCGCCGCCCAAATCACCCCCCGCCAGGTGACCGTCGTCCCCAGCGCCGTGCCAACCTACCTGTCCCAGCAATGCACGCAACCCGGCGTCTACGGCGCCGCCTGCTCCTGTCTCGGCATCCCACCCACCACCACCACCGCGCCCAGCCCGATCTCGACGGTGCCCGTCACCGCGACGACCACCACCACCGTCACCGTGACGCCTGGGCCCTGCGTTGGCGGCAGCTGCGGAAACTACAACCCCGTCCCCTGCTTCGAGGAGCAGACTTGCGCCTGCGGGCTCGACCCGGACGGCAACTCGTTCTGCTTCGTCGGCGGAGACTGTTTCGGGGCGACTGTTTGCACGACCAACGCGGACTGTCCGGCCGGGCAGAAGTGTCTGGCGCAGGGCTGCTGCCTGCTGAATGTTTGTGCCACTGACGCTGGCGAGGGGGTTTGTCCTCCTGGCGATGCTATTTCGGCCAATGACGCGAGTCTTGCGAACAATAACGGCACGCTGCCTGGGATGCTTGCTGCGTAGGGCATAAGCGAGAGAGGGTCAGCTTGAGCTTGACCGAGCTGCGCTGGTGCTGGGTCGAGACGGGCGGTTGCTGACGCTCGATTCTCTGTGTTTCCTGCTCTGGTTTCTTCGTACCAGCTTCGGGGTGTCTGTAGTAGTTCGCGAGAGTGGACTAAATTGACTGTGATTCGCCCTGTGTCGGGCCTTGATTGACTCGATCGTAGAAGATTGCCTGTCGGTGGCGATGAGCAGAGCGGCGCTGAGTCGGCCCAATTCCTCCCCTGCGCCATCATGATCGCCGTGGACAGCATGATGATGATGATGATGATTATGGGAAAAGTCGACAGACGGCACCATTCGCATCGCATCGCTATTATCATCTACTAGCCAGGTCTCAGCCGAACACGGGATCCACGCTGGTATGTACAATGTTTACCGATGTGATCGTGCTCTCTTAATACCCAGGCAAGTAGTACCTACCGGGTGTCAGCGGATATGTGGCTCTCCAGAACGTCGAGCCTGGTGAGCCGATGATACCGTATACTGGAGAGTGTGATCGTACGTCCGCAGATGGACCATGTCTCTCGTTTTCTCAGTGCGACCTTGTACCAGAATCTTCGACCAGTGGTTCAGAACGGCTGTTCGCAGTGGAACTCACGGAGAGCATCCAGGTTGGCGTGTTCGTGGTTCCAAGAGAGATGCAAAATAGTAACAGTGTTGCTTAGTTCAGAACAGCACTGTCCCAGCTTCATAATGGGAGAGAGACATGGCCACGCCGGAAAAAGAAAAAGGGAGAAAAGGGGGCAAGGGAAAAAAAAAAAAAAAAAAAAGAAAAGAAAAGAAAAGAAAATACAGAAACGAAGAAAGTGCCAAAAATGTAAATTCAATCTATCAAGTAAATTATCTGCTCTATTACATATCTTATTCTTACATCTTCGCCTTCTCGGACTGGGCAGCCAGATCGGGCATGAGCAGGTCCCGCAAGTCCGAGGCGGCCTCGTTCAAGTAGTAGCTCATGCGCTCGGCGCCGATGCGCTTGCAGACGATGTTGAAGTTGAGGCTATAACTGATTAGCAATTATCCTAGGAAGCAGAGGGATGGAGAGAGGGGAAGTACCTGTTCTCGTTGATCATGTAGGCAATTCCGAATCCGTCGTCAATGACCTGGCTCCATCCGTAGCCGTTGAAGAACTCCGAGCTCAGCTGGCTGGTCGACAGGTACCAGGAGGCGCTGTAGGCGAAGGCCGGGTCCTCGTAGATGGCGGGCAGCTTCTCGCCCTCGCGAAGCAGCTTCTTCAGACCGAAGAGGTGGCGGTCGACGCCGCGGCCGTCGCTGGCCTCGGCGGTGTACTTGCTGTGGGCGGCCAGCGCCGATCGGAAGAGACGCACGGTTTCCTCGCGCGACACCGCCGGGTCGGAGATGGCCTTGCAGAAGGCCACGCTGTCGTCCGACACGGTGCGGATCGTCTCGGTGCGGCCCTCCTGGAACTTACGCGTCGAGGCCGACTCGTAGGTGGGTCGGTTCTTGCCGTACATCTTGAAGTAGGCCAGCTGGATGACCATCTGCACGTAGGCGTCCGGGCTGCACTTGAACTTCTTGATGAGACCCTTGCCGTAGCCCTGGTAGGCCTGCACGCGCAGCTCGTGCGAGGAGATCTGCTGGCGGTGCTCCTTGGTAGCGGCGTCGATGGAGTCCAGCACTTCGTTGTTCAGGTGGAAGTTGACGGGGCGGGGGTCGGGCAGGTCAGAGCGAACCGACTGCTCGGACAGGTCGATGCGGTTGTTGAAAATGAGGTTGTTGAGGTGGTCGTTCAGACGGTGGGTGGGGCTGCCGTCCATCATGCTGTGCTCGCCCATGAAGCCGGCGGTGCCGTTGTCGTTGATGATGAACTGCAGGGGCTTGTCGAACCAGCGGTTGGCGCCGTCGCCGTGCCAGTACTGATGCGCCCGCTCCTCCAGGGTGACGGGGTTGGCATCGTCGAGGCAGATGACGAACCCGCTGGACTCGATGTCGCGCAAGGCCTGCTCGTTGGCCGGGTGCGCCGCCAGCAGCTTCTTCCGAGCATCGGTCCAGAGGTCCCGGTTCGCCACGGTCAGCGTGCCGACCGCCGGAGCCGGCTGCGCGACCTGGTAGATGCGCTCGAACTGCTTCTCCAGCTCCGACACGTTCAGCTTCTGGCCGTTCACCACCAGAGGCACCTTGAAGAACTGGTTCTTGCGCACCACCACGATGTGCTCGTTGTCCTTGGCGGCGTACTTCTGAGGGTAATCCGCGCCGTCGGCGGGGATACGGCAGCAGTTGAACATGTACTCGTACGAGCTCATGGCCATGGGCTGGCTGCGCATGTATTCCGGCTCCAGCGAGCCGTCGTCCACCTGGCGCTTGAACTCCAGGGCGGCGGTCGCGACAGATGCGGCGCGCTTGGCCGGGTTGCGCCGGGCGCGGTCATCCCGGTAGGAGTAGAAGTAGGAGACATAAGGAATGACGGGGTCGCGGTAGCCCAGGTAGGCGGCGTGGTTCCACCACTCGGTGAGCCAGTTCTTGGTCTTGGGGTCGGCGGCGCGGGCCAGCAGCCGTTCCTGCAGCGACTGGCCTTCACCACCGGGCTTCACGAAAGCCTCCACGGCCTTCTTGGTGCGCTCATACTCGGCGTCCGAAACCAGGGCGTGAACGGACTTCAAGTAGCGACGAGCGGTTTCTTCCAAGCTGGGGACTGGTAGACGGGGGAGAGAGTCTTCGAAACGAAGCAGGTTGCCCTTGGAGAGGTCTTCCTTGTAGCCTGACAGAAAGCGGCGTTAGAGCCAGTACATGCGGGCGGTGACATGTGAAACTCACCCTCTGGGACCGACGAGGCCTTGCGACTAGGGGCCATAATTGGAGCCTAATAATCATCAGCATTGACACCCGACTTATCCAGATCCTCAATTCCGAACGTACCGCAGCAGATCTAGCGAGAAGAGAGTTAGTCGGGGAGAGACGAGGCCGCGAGAGAGTGGAGAGACGGCTTCGGGCAGAAGCTGTGAACATCCCTCTCGAGTATAACGGAAACGATGGGAAAGAAAGAAGGAGGAGGGATAGAGGATGGATAGGAGAAGAGGAGAGTTTGAGGTTAAAAAGTTAAGAATGGGAGAGAAGAAAAGCCGGCGAGGAGCGAGCAGATGAAGGACGGGAGAAAGAAGAAGAAGCAGGAGAAGCAGAGGAACCTCGGCTGGAGGGAAACCGACCGTCGCAGCCGATCGCCGGTTCGGTATCGTCACGCGTCCCGTGGGTTGGCGGCATTTTGGGGGGTTCCCCGCATGGCGGAGGCGGTAATACCGATACGCCCGCACACTCTTGCACTCTCCAGGTTTGGGCCTCGGTTCACTGCGGTCACTCGACTCGATCCACTACGCTCGGACGATCAAAAGGAGACGGACTATGGGTGGTTTTATGAGACCATGAAATATGAATCCAGCACTAGTACTGCCATCGTGCCAGACTCTCATTTCCTGGAAGTTGGACCGGCCGACTGACTTGCCCCAATGCGGGGAGCTGCTGCGGATACCTGAGCCATGAGGCACCCACACCTCAGGCATCCGCGGCATCCACAGCATCCACAGACCACAACCCAGGATGGCCTGCAGTCCGTCCTACGTCGAAACCGTTGTCCTTGTCTTTCGCCGTTCTCGCTCATCCTTCACGCTCCCCCGAACTGACCTGCATATTCTATTGGTTCTGGACTAAATCCGACCCAACGGATGACATGGTTCCATTCACCCGTCCCGCTGATCCGGACGTCCATGTCATCTGCCGTCGTGTCATGGTCATCTGAAGCTTAAATCCACCATTAATCATTCATTGGAGGAATGGTATTGCAGGCAAAATTAATAGACATAAGAATAGCTCCACGCCTCGCTCGTAAGAAATCAAAAATCCATCGAGACACAGACTCGACTGGAAACATGCCAGAGTAGGAATTAAGACAGACATAGGGAAGACGACAAAAGAAATTAGAGAAATAGAAAAAAAATAGTAAAGAGATTAAACCTTCCAATGCAAATGTCCTCGCGCGTTCACCCCCTCATACACTGTTCAGATAGATCATGGTCAAGACACGGGCTGCACCGGGGACGGCTGCTGCTCCGTACTCTCCATGGCCTTCGACTTGCGCCGCGGAATCTCGCCATTGCGCAGTTGCTCGATCTTGATGGACCCCGGACCGGTGCAGATGCGTCCGCTCTGCATCAGACCACGCAGTCGCTTGCGCCGAGCCGCTCCGCCCCGCTCTTCGCCGCGACCCACGCCTTCGTCCACCCATTCCACCCGCAGCACTTTGAAGCTCATGCCGTCGTGCGACCCTTCCCACGTGCGAGACCGGATGCCAAACAGCACGCTGCTGTCGTAGCGCTCCAGTCGCGGTAGCACTAGCAGGGTGATGTGCAGGTCCTTCTCGGGCGGAGGCAGAGGGGGGATGCGAGGTCGATCCCCCTCCGGAAGGCCGACATCTTGCGCCGTCTTCGGCGTGTGCTGGTAGCCTTCGCGAATTTCGAGATCGAGCATGTCCTCGTCCACGTCGTCGCCCCAGGCGCCACGGAAAAATCCCGAGTGAATCGCAGCCGCAACCGGGTCCGAGTCATCCGTGTACACGCCGGTGCCCCAGAGAGCACGACGTGCGCAGATTTCTTCGCGGTGGCTGGCGTCGATGCGATAGCGCGGGACTCGCACGGTAAATGTACAGTTCTCCTTGCCATCGAAGCGTGGAAGGGGAAGAGGCGTGGTGGTATATCCGAATTTGGCGCTCTCGAGAGTAGCCTTGTCGGTAGGGGTGCCGATTCGGGTGGCATACAGGGTCGACCCGAGGTGATGCCGCGGGAGATGTGCAACGCTTGCCAGCACGGGCTCGATGTTGACCGTGGTGCGCGGTTCGCGCATCGGAGTGATGGCGGCCGTAGCTGCGGAAGCCGACGGGCGGGGAGCATGATGATGGTGGTGATGGTGATGGTGGTGGTGGTGTCCCAAAGGTGCACCAGCAGTAGGAATGCTCTCGCCTGGGGTCGAGGTGCGATGAAGGAAGTTCATCGACAAGGGACGGTGTGCGCCACCAAGAGCGGCGGCAGCAGCCTCCTCTTCGGGTTTATGGCGGTGGTGGTGGTGGCTAGATGATAAGTAATTAGCTCTGTGGAACTAAATGAAAACCAAGGAAAATGAGGAAAACATACTGATGGTGATGATGGTGGAGATGGCGACTCCGTCGACCGCGTCCAGGACCTGCTCGCAGATCCGAGCCGGCTTCGCTGTCCACCCTGCCTTCTTCATCTCTGGACCGTCTGGACCGTTTTCCGTTCGCAGATGGGGGACGAGCAAGTTTAGGATCCACCGTAGGAGCCTCGCTATTGACCGATCGCCCAGTAAGACTGTCACGCTTGAAAGGACTGGCAGCCATCGGGATGGATGGCCCACTGCCGCTAGTAGTGGCAGTGACACCGCCAACACCACTTCCAATACCGGAGAAAACACGACCGAGCTCGCTCTTGATGCCTGCCTCCCCTGCAGGTCCAAGGATCTGCGCCTGAGCACCCTGCACAGCTTGCGGCAAGGGTGAGGCGCGGCCGCCGCGTTTGGCATCTAGACCGACTCCAAGCAGAGATCGGTGCTGGAGCAACTCGTCACTTCCTTTCCGCCGCTGCTCATCGGATGAGGCTGAGTGGATCAGTGACGACGGTCCTGCCGAAGGCGCGGACGTGAAGACGCGATGTTCGGTTTGAAGTTTACTCAAGTATGGCTGTTGCTGCTGCTGAGACTGGTGCTGTTGCTGATGTTGGTGTTGCTCATGAGGGGGCGGCGTGGGCTGGCTCTGGCGAGACTGCATCGACAAAGGAGGTCGCGGGCCTCCCATCTGAGAGCCCAAGGACTTGGTGTAATTCTGGATGGCGCCAAACCCAAACCCAGACCCGGTTTCGGCAGCCGAAAACCGCTTGCTTTCCGGCGACGGGGGTTGAGACCGACCGAGATCCCACGCGGACAGACCTTGCTGACGGGTGGCTGCAGGATCCCGCTCTCCGTAATGCGCGTTGTATCGTGCCGACGGTGGAGGAGGACCTCCTTTGGAGTCGGCTTCGTGTGCCATGGCTCGTTCGCGATCCCGATGGGCTTGTTCCTCCAAATGACGATCCCCGTACAGGCCGCCATAACGGCCGTGTGGTTGTTCATGGCCCACATACGAGCTTGACCGCTGGTGTGCCGTGGTGAACGAGCTTTCTCCGGGCGCTGCGCTGGATCGCGCCAGGGGACTATAGCCGGCAGGGCGAGCGGGAGGGTCGAGGTGCTGGGGCTGGCTATTTGGGCGAGGGGCGGGCGCGCTGAAACTCAACCGACGCGTCTCTCCGTAGGCAGGGTCGGCGGAGGATATCTGGGGGGACGGATGCGTAGAATGCGGCTTGTCCGGGAATTGGGATGCGGGCGGCGGTACGCGCGACAGTCCTCCAAACTTGGACTGTTCAGGAGCGGAGGATTGAGACAGCCCACCGGAGCTGGAGCGATACGGTCGCCCCGACTGCGTTTTCGAAAAAGGCTTCTCCGGAGTCTGGGACCGCCGGAAGGGTGCGTATTCAAATGGGGAGGGTCTAGCGGGGGCAGAGGGAGGCGACATGGCGCTGGGGGCCGACGGCGGAGGCGCGCTTCCGAAGGGAGCGGAGGACACTGGAAGCCGGGAAAATATGGACGATGATGAGCCTACATCCCGAGCAGGTCGGTCAGCGTCCGAGCCTAGCATGGAGGATATCGACATGCTGCTCCCAGGACGATGATGACCCGGGTTGCTGGGAGGCTCACGCGACATGAAGGGGTTGGAAAGGGATGAGGTAGATCCCGATTGACCTCGTGACGGGTAATGTTGTGGCGGCGACGGCGGCGGCATTCGACGATTGCCCATAGACTGTGTGGAGGATTGATCTTGAGGACCTGTTCACGAGAGATTTTCGTTGAGGTTAGCGGGATTTCTTGAAGGCGAGGCAGAAAAACAGAAAAAATAATTGCGACGGAAGACCAAAACAAAACGGAAAAATTCAACGGCCAGCGAACAAAGAAAGCCAGGTAGCGGGGAAAAGAAATCAGCGTAGGGCACAAAAGGCAGACTGCTGTGTTGATGTGGGCCATCCATCCGGATCACGCTGGGAAGCGCGCCAGGAGCCGACGACGAACGCCTGGCAACTCACCAGGAAACACGGGACTGCCGCTGCTGCCCAAGGATCTCCGACGACCCTGGTCATGCGACTGGGGAGGGTTCATGTCGCATGTATAAGAGGACGAAAAGACAAGACGGCGACCACAGAAATGACCACGGCGGGGCCAGAAGGGGGATGGGGAGAGGAGGAAAGCAGGAAAGGGGAGAAGGTGATATGATGCTACTGCTGATGCGAAGAAGTCCGCGCCTGACCGGGGCAGAACCCGTGACTCTGGGCCTGGAAGAGCTCGGCCGGCGCTAGGCCCGTCTAGGCAAAGACGCCCTGAGACAGCGCGCTAGGCCAGGACAGGCCTAGCGCTCCCGAGGTCGCCTGGGCTGGAAGTCGATCAGGCGCCACAAACGCGGCCGGCGGAAGACCCGTGATTGGCCGGCGATCCCTGGGCAACAAAGTTCGGGTACCTTGATGTAATGGAGGCAGCTCAGACAATGCCCGAGAGACCGGCCTTCGCAGGGTCTCATTTCATCTATCGTCGATGCGCGACAACGATGATCGACCGCAGGATCTCCAAGATGATGGGGATATAGGACAAGGGAAAGAAAACAGGCAGTAAATCACACGGATGCAGGGATATGACAGTCCAGACGAAACGACAACAGGCGCGAGAACAGAAAGCAGGGATGCCAGGGAAAAGAAAATCCAGTCAGTCCTACCTTCGCGGTACACCATACGACGCTCCTGGCCATTGTGCGGATTAAAATTATGACTATGGTTATAGCTCTGACGATTATTAGGCTGCTTTATTTCCGCCTCCATACTGGGCCGCTTCGCCGTACCACGACCGGTCTGTGATACGTGATACCCGCTGCTCTCCGGTCGAAATGGCGCATACACGGTCTGGGGGGCGTAGGACATCGAAGTGGCGGGCATCGACGAGGGCTGGGGGTAGTGGTAAGCGGCCGACGGTCGCGGCATCTTAATTTCACCGCGACTGTATGGATCCAGGTAGCTTCGAGCCGGAGGGGGAGGAGCAGCCCCGTACGGACGCGGCGGCGGCGGAGCAATACGAGGGTCGTGCGATGTGCCCAGCAGAGAGGGATGAGGATGATACACAGGATGAGGTGGGTATTTGTGGTAATTCATCATCATCTTGGGTGGGCGGATTTCGGTTGCTGAATATTGGATCGAGCATAAAAAAATCTGGCGATTTCGTTCGGGCGTCAGAGGGGGGGAGAAAAAAAAAATATCACGAAATGGCGGTGGAAGTTCAGGTCGCAAGTGGGCGGCAGCAGCAGCTAGTTTTGACAACAATCACCCGGCGACAAACACGACTCCGACTGACGGGAATCCCAGGCGACGGTCCAGGATGTGGAGTGGGAGACGGATTTTGGCGGAAGAGGGCGAGATTGGAGAAGATGAAGATGCGACAATCCCCAAGAGAGCAGGGAGGAGAGATGTGGAGAGAAAGAGGAAGAGAAGGCAGAGGGAAAAGAACGGAAAAGAAAAAAGCAAAATCCAGAAAAACAAGCGCCAGAGGAACGGTGAGCGATGGAGAAAACGAGAGGGACATGCGACAGTCTGTCGGAAGCAGACGGGCCAATCAGGGGACTGCAGCGCTGCTAGTTCGCTGGATTCGCGACGACGGGGCCGCCGGGGCAGCGGGGAAAGTGGTGGATCCCTGGCATTTGATGGATTCATTCATTCATTCATCATGCATCCTGGTTCGCTCTGGTTACCACCACGGCAAGATGGCCTGGATCCGGGCCACTCCCCTTGTCTGCGGCCTCAAAGAAAAAGTCCTAGTCGGTAGAAACCCTGAAAACCGGCCCCCGTCGACTGCCGATGCCCAATGGAACACCAATTGGCATGTCTCGACCTGATATCACCTTTGGCGTTGGGCGCAGAACCATCGACATGCCGCCCGGCTGGCATGCATCGGCGACGTGTCATGCGGTCATCACTCGTCCTGCACCAGGCTTTCTTTAACTTCTTTAACTTCCTGGCCCTTCCTCACTACCGCTGACCCTCTGAATTAAGGTACACGGCCGGTTGGCCTTGTTACAGTTTAGAGTCTACACAATCTCCCGTGCCAGTGGTCATCCAGACCCATGATTTCTTTCCCTTTCACGAACAAACCTGGAATGAAGATCTCGACCCGACGGAATCCCCACCTTCCAGCGCAGATTGCCGATCGTGCCAGGCACCGCCGTCTGTACCACCGTCGCACCGCTCGGGCAGGATCGTTATTTCCTGTTGGTCGAATATCCCATAGTAATACAGAGTAGATTAACAACTTGAAGAAAAGAAGGAGAGATAGACTCCAAAAGAACGAAGGAAAAAAGAAAAAAATAAAACAACTTCAAGAGGTAATTCAAAAAAAAAAAAAAATAAAAATAAAAATAAGAAATAAAATAAAATAATCAATAAAGCTGCGAATTCTACTGCCAAACATGCTTTATGTGCAATGCAACCATGGCGCATTCGTCCATTCCGATCGAATCACCCTTACGTCGTGGCGAAGGTGGCGCGCCGCGTACATGCTTGACTTCGTCCTCCCGATTCTGGAGCTCCATCGACTCTCTGGGATTCCGTGTCACCTCTTCCGGCGGCGTGTAACCATCAGTGCCCGGCGGCGGGTTCCAGGCCTCGCGATGAAACACACCGGACATTTGTCCATACTTATGGCCGGGTTATCGTCCTTAATGCGGGTGAATAATATGATTTCTTATAGATGCTTGCTCGGTTGGGTTTATTTATTTCCATGGCTCCTCCCGTCCCTGCGTCCGATCGTAAATAGCGACCGCCACCATCCCCCTTCGCATTGCGTCCAATCCACCTCGATACAATCGGCTCCCTCGTGAACCAAAATGCGCCAGACGATTCGACGTAGCATCCTGGGGAGGCAGGGAATCGCCTCGTATCGGATGCGAAGCCCTCGCTGATGTGCGTTATGGACTTGAGTCTTGATCCGCTCGATCTGCTGGATTGAAAAGCGACCTCCACGGGGAGAACCAATTGAGTCGCGGAAATTGATCGTGACGCTGAACATTTGGAATGGAAGTCCGGAGGATGGTTCCTGCAAACTGCCTGACGGGTTCTCGGACTCCCGGGAGTTGTCATTCTCGGGATTGTTGCCAGTCGCATCTAAATCAGGTGACTTCTCAAAGAGAATGCTTCCATTGATACCATCATGACCAATGTCCTTCACAAAATCGACCTCCGACGAGGTCAATCCCGTGACCACGATCGTGACAGGCCTGGGAATCACCTGGACCCCATCGGTATACGAAAGATAGCCCTTCTGGCTTAGTGAGGCCATTCGCAGGACAAGATGCGGCCATACAGTCGACATCTGGGATTGAAGCCGCAGGAATAGCATGAAAGGCTGTGTTGAGTCATGATCAAACAGTCCCACGGGTTTAGGGCTGTTATCCGAAACTGAGGACACCACTGCAGGGTTCCTAGCATCCAGCTTAGCCATCAAGGGCTCGAGATAAACATGGTCGAGCGTATCGTTTGGACCGGGAACTGAGGAAGAGTCTCCCACAAAGACTTCATCGCCCTGTACCCAGACATCGGCTTTGATTCCAGCGCAACCCGCATTGAGTGCGCGGTCAACGGCATCCCAGTGCACTCGTGGTTCATAGGAAATGCAGGCACTCGGACGACCGCCGAACTCTGCAGGCCATTGGGCGAGGCCCACTTGGTCGCTCAAGTCTGTTGCGAGCAGATAGGATACTCCATATGGTAGATGTGCAAGAAACTGAATGACCATCCTATCCATCCGAGTCAGTAGGTTTTCATGGTGTATTCATTGACACATTGACAAGACATATTCCACCGCATGAAGAATAGGATGGACTTACAGAAACATCACGAATAGACACACCAACGACAAGCCACGCTCGGACCACCATCCTCTCACCGTGGCGTACCACCTCCGGAGGAAATTAAACAGTCCCGGCGGGTACTTCGTAGGGTAGGACCGAAGCGGGTGATCCTCCAGCAGCACCCACGCATACGAATCATAATCTTTGACATCGACGCGGTGGGTGTCACCAACGGGGGTCAATTTCGCGGAAGCGGCCATTTGCGTAGGAAAGGAGCTCCGTCGCGAGCTTGGACGCATCTAGGGCGGGCTTCCGCGGTGATCGACAGAGCCGTGAGGGAGGCGTGTTGGAAGCGGTGAAGCTGGTGGAAAGTCACGAGCTCAGCTCAGACGGTGCCTGTGGAAGGTAATACAGAATATTGGAGGGAGAGCTTGGCCCGGGGTGTGCAACATGGCGATGAAATAAATAGGAGAGCTGGAGGAAGCAAGCTTTGCGGGATGATGGCTCCGGAGCACGCAATTCTGGGTTGTGATGGTTCACAGGCTAACGCTTGCAGAGCTCATCAAGCTGTCACAGTAGGAGGGGTGGCTATCCTCTGATCTTTTTATTTTTCGTCTAATCCAAACATCAGAGAATATCATCATCTCCAATTCCTGCTCCTAGCATATCGCCACGATTGGAGCGGATGGAATGGATTTTGTACGGAGGTCAAGTAGAAGGAAGCTATCCATTCGGTGCCGTGGATTGGCCTCGCGGTGGAGCGGCGGGCGGCGGCGCCAAGACCTGCTAGTCCGGCTGGCCCCACCCACTTACGTACGTGCTCTAGTATAGAATGTAGGGTATAGAGTAGAGAAACATCCTGTCACTGAAAGTAATCATAGGAGTTATCGAAAATGGACGGTCCTTTTTGGACACTGTGGTACAGTTAAATATGCTCCCTTTGATAACCTTTCTTTTAGAGAACTAGCGTGCCATCGAGGGGCCATTGTGCAATATATATCTCGATTATATATCTCGGAAGGAGTACTGTCTAGTTTTATGGTTGTTCTCGTGGTCTTGTGTTATCCATTTGATTTAACACCTAATCATAAAAGATTCTGCTTGTAATAGAGACGTAGTTCAATGCATCATGCTTGGGACAGAATATACCGATTGTCGGCCCCGTTGACTAATGGCTATCTTTAACCAACTCCCAAAACGACCCTACAGGCCCTGACTGCACAATTCCAACCTCTGCCCTGAACAATAAGCTCCAATACTAGTTGTGTCACTTACACTAGCCATATGGCATCCACCGAGGATGTATCTGATCATAAATACGCTTTGCCCATCTTTCCAGCTCCTCCGTTGAAAACACAATCTCGTTTCCCCCGACAGGGGGGTCGCGAAGCATAATATCCCTGAAAGAAAGGCGAAGGTCTCGGGAAGCATGATAAGTGTTTTCGTTGTCGAGGGGTCTCAGCTTCACCTTTGATACTGCTGCGGGGTGGGTAGGATGGGCAATTCGACAGCGAGGACTGCGTTCGTCGGCTGGTCTCGGTTGCATTTTCCAAACCTCGATTTTGATCGTCCGGGGTCGCAGGTCCATGAAGATGAGGATAACGATGTTTACGGGGGGATGAATGCCTGTAAGCCACCATATAGCATCTTCTTGGAGCTCACTCTTATTTTTACTCGTCCCACATTCTATCACAAGGGTCGGGGCGTCGGATTCGTCAGATCTCTGGGGTAGGGGGCGTAAACTTGAGTTGGCCTGTTTGCATGTAAAGTCGCCCCAGATTGTGCTGGCTCCTAGCGGGTCCATTTCGTACTCGGAAACTCCAAGTGCAGATAGCTTGCGCTCGATATGTCTCATGAGTAAGCCATGACTCCTTTCGTGCCCGGTTGATGGTATGAGGCGAATGACGAGCTCTTGAGTCGCGGAGTCATAACTCAGTCGCCCCCCAAGCCTTAGTTTATCAAGCCTTGTGAAGACGGCTCCAGGCACGCGTGTGACTTTGATGAATTGGGCTCTACTGTACCCGAGCTCAAGGCTTTGTTGATGTTGCTCGGCGAACGTTCGAAGACCGTGTATGGATTCATATTCTATTGTCGGGAGTCGAGAGGCAGAATCGGTTGCCTCATGGCTTTCAAAGATTTTCTGATATTAGTACCTGTTAGTCTTAGGGAATGATACGACGGTTCTACTTACCAGTCGGTATTTATGACCATCGATAAGCGACGGGGGTAGAAGGCCCCGTTGAGCTGAAAACCATGCGAAAATGGAAGAGATAGCGAGGGAGAGATCTAAAATCTGACAAGGAGTTTGGGGCTGGGGACAAAAGAAAAGAAAGACGGTGATGGTCGAGGAGGGTGATCTCATAATTGCATCGCAACCGGAATCTCTGTCCGCAAGAGCCGCTTGGACAGCCACTCATTTCTTTCAATCCATAAATCGATCGTATAGGAACTGCGTCATCAAACCGCACATTGCCATGGGGTTTCTTGGAACTAGCGCAACACGATACCACTGCTGGGTGCAGAAAGGAGGCGACGGCTACTTCATCTCGAGCCGATTCGGCAACTTCGTTCCCAGGACATATGGTTGACAGTACGACGTCGTTGCACACTGACTGAGATGTGTAGATGAATTCGATAAGTACTGTTGTGGCGTTCACCGACGGGCTGGCATCGGTATGGGTTTTCAAATTAATTAATAACCCCAACCTGTATTCAACCTAGTACATACATTTCTCAATCATGACATGCACAAAATGCTTCTATTTGCTATACCTCTGGGGCCTTTATACTGCCGTGGAAAATGGATTTGAGCGCTATTATAAATTAGATCCTAGTCAGGTATAATACCGATGTAAACGGGGTGGGTGGCTATTACGGCACAGCAGTACAGGCAGCAGCAGCAATGGGCCGCGAACCATCGTACAACAGCTTATCGGTGCTGGAGCTAACATACACTGCCAAGGTGGCCAACCAAACATATGGGAGTCTCGAGAGGAACAAATGAAATGGCAGAAAGAATGCTCACCGGAGGATCTGCAATGGTGGGAGACACTCACGAAAAGGTTCAACCAGGTAGCCGAAAAACAGCCGGTACGAAGGCAAAGTGGCTTCCATGGCACTGCACTTCAAGCAGCTGCAGGAACTGGCAATGTGAAAAAAGTTGCGATGTTAATAGAGGCTGGTGCCGACGTGAACGATGTCGACTGGTTCGGACAAACGCCCTTGCACCGGGCCGCATACTACGGGCACAGCGCGGTAGTGAATCTTTTGCTATCCAAAGGAGCCATTACTGAGACCCTCGATCGTAAAGGCCGCAGTTCCGTACATCTCGCAGCATCAATGGGACATCGAGCGATTTTCGTGTGCCTTTTCGCCTTGGCAACCGAATCGAGTACCAGCTATACGGTCCAGGGGCAGCAACTCATCCTATCGGCGTCACGAAATGGGCATATAGATATTCTTGAACACCTGGCAGCTGAGGGATACAGTTTAGACCAGCCAGATGATGATGGTCAAACCGCTTTGTTCTTTGCTGCTGCTAATGGGCAAAGTTCCACAGTTCGATTTCTCATCGACAATGGGAGTGATATTCATCATCACGACCAATATCTGGGAACAGCCCTCCACCGAGCCGCAGAGTCGGGCCATGACCATGTAGTTCACCTTCTTTTAAAACATGGGGCCAACATGCTTGCAGTTGACGACAGCGGTCGGCTAGCGCTGCACTATGCGGCCTCAAAGGGCCACAGCAAAGCGGCGTATCTCCTCTTGGAGAAAGGTACACCACCAAATTTACAGGATTACTCGGGCACGACAGCACTGCACCTCGCGGTCTGTTCAGGAAGCAATGAAACGGTCGCCATCTTGTTCCGCAACAGGGCTAATTTCGACGCTAAGACTAACGATGGGCAGACACCCCTTGATTTCCTCCCACCCTGGTCACGCAACTATTCCCTGAGGGACTTGCTCACCAGACACATGACTAGGAGAGAAGGTGGCTCTGACCAAAAATCGGAGAGTGAAATTCGTGTTTGTACGCATAGTAGCTCTTCATCAGGGAGCTCCTCTCCACGCCATGAGAATTGCGCGGGAGCAGATGATGACAGCATTGTTGATGAGAAGAAGGAAAGCGACAAAAAGGACGGAGGTATTGTTGATGAGAACGAGGAGAATGACCGAGAGGACGAAGAAGTTATTGATGAGAACAAAGAGAACGACAAAAAGGGCGAAGATGCGGTTGATGAGAACAAGAAAACAAAAATGAAGATGTGGTTGATGAGCAGCAGTCTGAAGATATGATGAAGATGTCTAAGGAGTTACACAAGATCTTGATCACAACATTGACACTTTTGATAGTTGTGGTACTTGCCCTACTGGTGGTAACGGTGGTGGTTATAACGATGATGTGGACCATGCTGATTATGATGATGATGATGAGATGGACAATTACGATACTATCTTTGTCGGTTACAAGATAGGGAAAGCTGAGCACAAGGTAAAGAATCAGCCTGTTGGTTTCTGATCTTATGAATCTATTGCTGGACTTCCAAGTGGCTTGTAGTCAAATACAATCTCTTTGATCACTAACCTGTTCTTAGGGCTTGGTGGCTGCTAGGGTGTCCAGAAGAGTTCAATATGTAGATCTACACATCGTCATACAGTCCATAACTAAGAGACCACAAGAAATTAAAACCTATAGTGCTTTCATTTAAGATCATCTACTAAGCAGATTTATCAGTATTCAACTCCCAAGTCAAGCCCTCAACCCCGGCAAATTCCTCGCCTCCACCAACCCATCCAGACTCTCCCCCAACGGCTCCCACAAATCCACCGATCCAGTAAACACAAGCCTCCTCGCCTTATTCATACTAATCACTATATCATAGATCCTCCCCAGGACAAAGATAAAAAGGAACCGCGTCGCCTTCTACAGCGCATCCTGCTGCAGTCCCTCTGTCTTCGCCACGCGCTCCCATGACTCCTTCACATCCTCTCTGGACACCCACTTCTCCAAGTACACAGATACCTGCACCTCTCTGCGCTTCAATCGGTCCACAATTCGCATGCTCTCGGCGCGGCCCACTACCAGCAGGCTCTCGATTAGCGGGGTTACCTGGTCTTCTTCTGGGTGGGATTGTGTTGATGGGGAGAGATGTGTACAGGTAGTTAGGGCTAGGGAGTGATTGGGTGCCGGTGGCGCCGGTGACGATGGCTGTTGGCATTGTCTCGAGTCATTATTGCTTTAATAAATTATAAGCACAATTGTATTGAAGTAGGACAAAATGCTTAGTATATCTCCTGGTTGACAGAATCCATTATTAACCTAGCTGGTGTATATAAAAAGGGAAAGCTAACTATTGATTACATTTATAAATCAATACTGCTAGTAAATAAAGGAGTAAATTCGAATAAATTGATTGGTTGATTTCATGTTGAGTAACTACATGATCATTCATGGATTAATCAAACACCTTCCACATTGAAATCACAAATATCACATGCGCGGCGCTGGGAAATGAAAGGAGTCGACGAGTCCAGATCGACGCCATGTGAGGCCCATGTACTCGTACAATGCAGCCACAAATGGGCCGCGGCGGGCTGGCTGCATAATCATGCACTTATCCCTCACATTGTGTGTCAACAACGGGACGGCAGAGACAGCAGATCACTGGCCCAAAAGCTTGTTTCTGGGTTAAGAATGCGTTCTGTTCACGGTGGCTGGGAAAGGATGTTGATTGGCGAAAACGACGCGCATGGCCAATCATCCGTGTTTATTTGCTCAAGTCTTGTCCGTGGAATCCTCGGCAGATTCTGGGTCGGCGGCAGAATGAGGATCGACGACCCCTTGATTGACCGGGGCTGCGCTCGACTGAGTACCGCCAGCGGTGGAACTCATTTCGCTAACCTGACGTTCTATCATTTTATTAGCACAAGTGTCCGGATACAGAGAGAAAAAAGAAAGTGTAGACTTACCCAAGTCGCGAATTCGCTGTCGAAGAATTTGGTTTTCTCTGCTGAGCATAATTGCCTCGGCATGATAGAAAGCGCCCTCATCCCTACTTCCGCGTCGCGGACTTTCGCCTAGGCCTGTGATCCCTTCGAAGCCATCCGTGCCGCGGGGAGAATCGACCAATGGGCGGAGACTGGGCGAAGCGGCCTGGCTGGACGGTCGCGACGGTCGGCGGCTGGACAAGGACGAAGTAATCTGCGCGGACGGTCGACTGCCGCCGGCTGGCAGCAGCGGTGGAACAGAGGGGAGTTGCGAAAGCGCAGGGGCTGAATCATCAATAGCCGTGCTGTGCGACGACTGCTGCTGCTGTAGTTGTTGCAACTGAGTTTGCTGGCTGCGAATCATATGCAAAAGTCGGTTCTGTAGGATGCGCAAGAAACGACAAAAATAATTAGCAATTCTGCAACAATCTAGACTCTCGTGCAATGGCACGGTGGCACTCAAGAGATCATACCACTTGCGCCTCTTGTTCCTGTTCGAGTTCCTGATGCAGCTCCCCCAACGAAGGGGCACGTTGGTGATGCGGGTCCCCGGTGGCAATGATCGGGCTGCCGCCCAGACTCGAGGGACTGGAAGTCCGGAGCGCATGGTGGCTGAGGGAGGAAGCAATGGAATCACCCGCCGGGTCATTGCCATTGTTCGGGTTTAGATTGGTAGATCGGCGACGTTCCGGTCCCGACATTCCCGACCGGGATGGCCGACGAGGGATGTCGATGGGATGATTGCCATGATTGTGGTTGCTGGAGGTGCTCATGGTGGCGGTTGATGCAGGGGAGATGCCCGACCAGGAATGTTGCGAAGGTAGGGAGTCAGACGAAGTGGGGATGTTCCGTGGTTGACGCGGGGAGGTCGAGAGGGAGGGAGGAAGTGAGTTAATGTCAGGACACATCCCTAGATAAAGGTGAGATTGGATGAACTCTGCTATGGCCACCAGGCTGGACGCTGATGCTGATTCTAATTTAAGAATTCCCGCTGCGAACGGAGAAATGTCGAGATGAGAGAGTTGAATACTCGAAGTAAGACAAACAGTCCTGACTGGGACGAGAACCCCTCCGCTGGGCAGGCGGTCAGATATTCTGCCCGCCCTACTCTGGAGACGGCGGGCGGTTAAGGTCGGGTTGCCTCAAACGGCTAGCGTTGTTGCTGCTTGCAGCCTGAGGACGTCAAGGCTCACGTGATCAACGACTGTCCACTGTTCCGCGGGATTTCCTCTCGAGGAGAAAAGCGATGCATTCTTGAACCATCCTGGTGTCAATGCAATAATAGATCCTGGTCTACCCATCCCACCTTCCAATACATTCAATCTTGTGACACCAGTGGGGTCAAAGATCTCTCGAGGCTCAGCGAACTACACGAACCACTAGGCCTAGCCTGGGATGGATCGCAAATCCACCAGTCTAGGGACGCCTTAGGGTGCTTGTCGCTCTAGCTCATTGTGCTGGCTATTCTTGGATGACCACTTGGAACCGGTAATGTCAGTTTTTCTTTTCCCCATGGTCTTCCTGAGGCAACATTGATGCGAGTTCAATTTGTGGCTCATTATGATGTGAGTGGCACTTTTTGGCTTGTTGTTGAATAACATCTTGTCATGATGATCGCCACTTCAAGGTGAGTCTGACCTGTGGGAAGGGCCTCTTTGTCTTTCTGGTCTAATGACAGTAGAGACACGGAATACTAACATTGAGAATCAAACTAAAAATAAGAGAAAAACAGAAAAGGGATAGACCTACTTGGCACCGTTAGTGGTCAATGTCTTGTCTTAAATTTGCGCACAACTAAATCCAAAATTCACGCCGAATTCATGTCTGACTCTGACTGGCAGTAGGCCAAAAATTGAACTTTGATAAGCGTCGACTTTGATTCTAGAAAACATCCAATTACCGGGGTTGCGAGTTTCCCCCCCAATAAATCTTACATTCCCCCTGGCCACGATCATTTTGTTGCCAACGGATCGGGTCGAGGATTTGACGTCACTCCGTGTTAAATCGAGCATAAAACACGGAATCAAGTTAAGCACATCTCAACTTCTTTGTCTGACCACACCCCGGTCACTATGTAGTCATGGTCACCTAAACCATCTTTGTTTTACCCTCCCTCCGGCCTTTTAGGCTCTTCCCATGGCCTGGGGCAAACTCATGGCCACCGCGTCAACCCCTTGCGTCATGGCGTGCAACCCAGCAGCCTGCCTAGCCCTAACATCATTGACAGTCCGCACGGGATCGGCTCATTTGATCACATTTCATTTCCCCAGACATTTAAAATTATTTATTGCTTGTTTATTTACTTCCCCGAGAATCTGGCCAATCCTACCCTGCAACTCAATTCCCGCTGCAATTGTGGGCCTGGCCTCGATGGCGTCCCATACCACGCTCCCCGAAGCGGGCATTCCATCGAGGCTCTCGGCCCAGAACGGCTGATTCCCAACATCCCAGAGTGGAGATGCCGAAATCTTATGGAAGCTCTTCCTGTCGCAGTTTGCAGATGATCGACTTTGGGGTACGGTGGAGACTTTTCCCACTTCCCGCCACTCAGATGGCCGGGCGATGATGCCGGGAGATCAACCATCCCACGGTACCGGCTCTAGATGCTAGATAGATGTAGGGGAATGAAACCCTGCACCCAAAGATACTTTGACGGCGTGGCAAGTGGAATTGTCCTTCCCCTAAATGTCGTTGGTGTGATTCGCCATCCGACTGCATCCCTTCGGCCATACTACATTAGCTGCACATAGATTTCTCTAGATTTCCCAGAGGGGTTGCGCCACCGGCAGAGAGAGGGGAAAGGCGACCTGATCTTGGAACCTGATTCAAGAATGGAGCCTCTTGAATCATTACGCTGTATGCAACGCTAAACCCCACCCAAGGTCTGATTGGTGCGATCAGGTGCAGGCATATCGAAGGTGACCGGCGGAGGCGACGGAATCGCCGAACAGTCCGTGAGCCCATCCTCTTTCCCTGGCGGGGGTTCCTGCCTGCCTGGACCGGTCCAGTCATGGCTTTGCCCGTCTTTTTTCTCCCGGTTATAATCCTGGGACTCTCCCCAGACTTTATTCTCCGATTTTCCTTTTCTTCGTGCTATCCTTCCTGAGTAACTGTTTCTCTGCGCATCCCATCCTACCCTTCCCGCCTCTATCGTCAACCACTCTATTCTACCTTCTGTCCTGCCTACTCTATATACCGATCTAGAATCATCCTGTCTGTGCAGGAAGTTGACTAACCTGGGTAAGTGCTCTCGTTTCTAAACCAGGCAGCGATACGACTTCACCATTCGACTCTGCTCTCCTCCGGTCGTGCTGTTGCTTTCTTATCTTCCTCTTCAACTCCCAAATGACAAGAAAGCTTGGTCCATACTGACAAACCCCCATAGTCAGTAACGTCCAGTTCCTCCGGTAGAATCATGGACAGGGACAGATCAGACGACTCGGAAGCATCCTCTTCAACTCATACGGATGCGAAGGCTCCCCCCGGCCATGAAAAGAATGACATTCCACAGCTCCCCAAGTCCCGACTGGGCTTGGCTAATGATCCGGCAGCTGGTACCACGCTTCACCAGCTTGAGCATACCGTCTCGGAAAAGGTCGAATTGACAGAAGAGGATTGTTACGATCAACTCGGCTACGCATTCCCGGAGTGGCGAAAGTGGATGATTATCATCGTCATCTTCCTTGTCCAGACATCGATGAACTTCAACACCAGCCTGTACTCAAATGCCGCGACTGGAATCTCTGAAGAGTTTGGGGTGAGCATGCAGGCGGCTCGATGTGGTGCTATGATCTTCCTTGTCTTGTACGCCTTTGGTTGCGAGCTCTGGGCGCCCTGGAGTGAAGAGCTCGGCCGAAAACCGATCCTACAACTCAGTCTGTTTCTCGTCAACGTTTTCCAGCTGCCCGTTGCCCTTGCGCCAAACTTTGCTTCGATCATGGTTGGTCGCGCGCTTGGTGGTCTCAGTTCGGCTGGTGGTTCTGTCACTTTGGGTATGATTGCCGATCTTTGGGAGGCTGATGATCAGCAGTATGCTGTGGCTTGCGTTGTCTTTTCCTCCGTCGGCGGTTCTGCGCTAGGCCCTGTCGTCGGTGGGTTCGTGGAAGCGAACCTCAATTGGCGTTGGAACATCTGGATTCAACTTATCTTTGGAGGGTTTGTACAAGTCGCCCATTTTCTTCTAGTCCCCGAGACTCGAACGACGATCATGATGGATCGGATCGCCAAAAGCAAGAGAGAAACGGGACAGGACCCGAATGTCTACGGTCCCAACGAGCTCGTTCCCTTCCGTGAGCGCTTCTCGGCGAGAGAAATTCTCGTCACTTGGGTTCGGCCATTCAAAATGTTCCTCACAGAACCTATTGTGCTGTGTCTATCCCTACTGAGCGGATTCAGTGACGCATTGATATTCATTTTCATCCAGTCGTTCGGCCTAGTTTATGATCAGTGGAACTTCACCACTGTCACCAAAGGCTTGGCCTTCATTCCAATTCTCATTGGATATTTCATCGCATGGCTTTCGTTCATTCCTGTCATTCGAAGGAACATTGGGGAACGGCGAATGAAGCCAGACGACGAACATACGCAGTATGAATCTCGATTGTGGTGGTTGCTTTACACAGCCCCTTGCTTGCCAATTGGCTTAATTGGTTTTGCGTGGACTAGCTTGCCCCATGTACACTGGATAGGTACCATGGTATTTTCTGCGATTGTCGGTATTGCCAACTATAGCATCTACATGGCTACCATCGACTACATGATCTGTGCTTACGGACCTTATTCTGCTTCTGCCACCGGCGGAAACGGATGGTCCCGAGACTTCTTGGCCGGTGTCCTCACGATCCCTGCCACACCTTTCTACGAAAGTAAGAATTTTTTTTCGGACGTGTTTGCTTTGATTGCTAATTAAACTTTCATTAGATATCGGTGGTGAGCGTCATTTGGAATACGCGTCTACCATTCTCTGTAAGCTTTAATTCCAGGTGCCCCTTGAGTTATGAAACTAATCCGATAACTAGTTTGCATATCGTTCATTCTCGTGATTGCCGTATACGTGATCTACTGGTATGGCCCAACCCTTCGGAAAAGATCGCCATTTGCGCAGCAGCTGTCAGATGCACGGGTCGAGATCCAGTCTCATGGTCGCCGACTATCGAAAATCCCCTCTGGCTCGAGAGCCAACTCTTTCGCAAGGTCGCAACAGAACCTGCGTATCAGGAATTTCGGAAGCCGTCAGGGTAGCTATGCGGCATCCCGGCCCGCATCCCGGGGAAATTCGCGCAACAATAGTTTGTCCTATGGAGGCCTGTAAGGGTTGTTGAATTGGTAAACCTGAAGACCTTGATATGCCCGTTGAGCCTGAGGCGCCATCCTAGGTGAGAAAGATGCTACCGAAGGGCCAGGTTCTCTCTGTTGGGTGAATGGTAGCACTGTCTTTCGACTACGGAGGCGAGCCTTTATTTTGTATAAGTTGTTCAGTTGGAACATGATGGTTGAGATTCCCTTGTTCTTGGTCTTTGTATACTAGGTTTTGGGTTTGTTCCGTCAAACTTGTACTTTTCTTCTCATGTGTATGCATTAAATCAGGTTTATTGTATAAGACCACCGCTCTGGGGAAGTAATCACTCCATGTGTTTGTCCGAAGCAATCCGGGGAACATGGATCGGTCTCGGTGGGGAACCGCGTTGGAGAACGACGTCACAATCCCGAGGCGACTCCTCCAACGTCATCGGCTTAGCTCGTGGGTGTTCATTCGAGGTTAACCAAACATACTTTCAAACTTTTGATTTCTGGCTTGATTTACCCATCCGACATCACCGGCCTTCTGAAATGGTCCGAGAAAGTAAGTCCGCGATGCACGTGACATGGAAGAATTCTCGAAGCGCGTGATGTGTGATGTGTGCAGTAGCAAACACCATCCATCATTCAATAAGTCGGAGACAAGTAAATACACTAGACAGGTAGTAACCAGACGCGACAAATAGAATGAGCTGATAAAGATGAGCCCTCCTGGAATTGGATGCCCGTGACCGCTAAACACCGCAAAGTCACGTGCCCTCGAGCTGTCGCGCGCAACTGTGGAGCAACTGGAGCTTCGGCCAGTTCACACTCTGTACTGGCAACCAGCCTGGCAATTCCCACAGCATGGAACCCATCATGGCTTCTGCCCGACGCCCCAGTCGAGCGCTGCTCTCACATTTATACCAGCTGAATCGCGGTTACTCCCAAATCGCCCCTCCATTGCCGTCGATTTCCACTCGAGTCCTCCGCCCATCGTCCGCTGTTCGCGCCGCTACCACCCCCATCCCTCATCGCAAGAACTCCCCGCCTTTCGGAATCGCTGCCCGAAGCAGATCGATAATGACTTCTGAGCCCGAGCCCGAGCTTCCTGCGCCCCGGTTCGCGAACGGTATCGATACTGCGCCGTTGCTCCCCAAGCTGGAAACACTGATCAAGAACGACTGGATATTGGTTGACAGCGGGGCAAGCATCCTGAAGACGTACTTTTTCCGGAAGTATTTCAGCGCCGTGGTGGGTTTACATTCCGATGCGCTGGTCTCGGACGGACGCTGACCAGAGCAGAGCTTTGTCAATGTAGTCGCGGCGCAGAGTGCGTCTAAATCGCATCATCCTACTATCAAGTTGGTGAGTAGAATACAAATCAGTATCGCAATACACACAGGTCGACAGAGAAGATGCTGATGTTCATGGACCCCAAATAGAGACTTGGCTCCGTCGAAATCCACTGGACTTCTCACCATCCTCCCGGTCTCACCGGAAAGGACGTGGACATGGCAGAACTCTGCGACGAGGCGGCGGAGTTGATGGGCGCAGTGGAGAAAGGAAAACCCCAGAAATGTGGACCAGCAACAGCAAATCTTACGCCGGAGGAAGCGCAGTCCTCGAAGGTTCGCTATATAGTGGATTAGTATTTCGTGATGCAGGACGTTGTTATGTATATATTTTGTTTTCTATTTGGGAATTGCATTGCTGGTGTGTCGGCAGGGTGGTTAGTCACCACATAAGCTCAGCGGTGCATAAGCGTGCATAAAGCCTCGTGATTGTGTTTGTCTGTTTTGATAAGATCCTTGGATCCTCCGAGGTTCTGGAGGATCTCCTTTCCCGATCTCAATTGATGGACCTCCCTCGGTCCAGCCTCCAGAAGTGTACCGCCGTTCGCCGACTATTTGCGAGAACTCCATTTTTATGCCCGCCTAGGGAGGACTCGCCTGGCTGATCACAGTCACACTAATCCCCTTAGCGGAAAACCGTTATCCGGTGTGGATCCCCTCGAGGGGCTGATTCAGGGGGCCCTCAGCCTGCGACTCTCGTGAGGACGATCGAGTTCTCGTGGACGATGGCCTTGCCATGCTCTTGCCGATGGAGAGATCCGTCGCATACCGAGTAATTGGCCGGTCTGGATCTCGGGTCTGGACACCATCCTTCCAACTTCCTCGTTGCCTGTTGCTTCATCTATCCTCTCTCCACTCAGGGGTTCGCTTCTGACCAACCGTTTCAGATCTGCTCACCATTGCACCACGACTAACTAACATTGAGCTTTTCTTAGTCACGGACTAGTGCATGGGCAATTTCACTTTTAATTTAAGCACAAAGGAAAAACGAAAAAATCATTGCGCCGGGTTAGTGACTCGAATGGGAGGGGGGATGAGTCTGGACTTCTCGTGTCCATAACTTCTCTCGCTCTTCCTTACTCCGTACTTTTATTTTATTTTATTTTCCAAACTAACCCATTGCCACGCTCAATTCCTTACAGACGATGACGATGGTTCCGCTGCAATAGCCGGGCCGCCCCAACTGATCGACCGCAACGGGCTGAATAAGTTTCATCCCCCCCTTCCTACCGTTTTATTTCAGCCTCAAAAGTCGGTTCAGCCGTGTGCTGCAGTCCACGCGGGACCATTCCACTTCGAACCAGCCCTATCCCTTCCATTGGGGCTGCGCCTGCAGACTTCGCCCTCTCTCACCACGCAACCAATTAGTTGCTGCCTCTCCCGCCTCAAAATCAATGCGCGACGGTCCCGCCGCATTTGTTTGCCCACCTTGCAAGTGCCATGCGATTTCCCTTCGACGCTTGCGTGGACCAAGAAAACCGACACCGACAATCGCACATCCTGGCCATTCTATGCTCGAATCAATGATACACTGGTTGCATCAACCTCGCGTCACCTCTTGTTTCGGCCGCTCCCCAGTTGTCCTATATCGAGATTAGCATTCACGAGTGACGTTGCTCGCCCGGAACATCTGCGACTTTATATTATAATTTACAGCCTATTGAAAATCCCGGTCTCGTGGCCTCTAGGACGGAAGGGAAGGGCCCTGGAAATAGTGTGAGGAGAATGGCATTGGATCATGAACACTCGCAATCATCGGTCGGCGAACGAAGGGGTCAACCGCTCGCACCGTTACAAACCAATTTCAGCCGCCCAACCTCTCGACCACTCCTTGTTACTTCACCTCGCACGCAACGGCCACGACCGGAGGAATACCAGAATGATGAAGAGCATAATGAGCGGGTCCCATTGCATGCGACCCCGGTGAAGCGCCAGACGTCCAAATCGGGGCTCCGCGGGCTGTTCGGACGTGACAAGACCGCGCGCAAGGCGCCCAGCGACGCCAAGCTGTCTGGCATTGACGAAGTACAGTTCTCTGCGCCTAAAGGGGAGCCGGGGCCTGCAGCGCCCTTGTCGCCGACGTCTGCCTCAACCCCGGTTGCAGTGCCTTCGTCGGCGACAGAGCCTTATCGCGCCAAGACACCTTCCAAGTCTCGTGGGAGACAGAGTGAGGAAAAGCCGTCGGAAGACAGCGCATGGAAACCGCCGCCCCTGTTCCAGGCCTTCCCTCAATCCATCAAACATGATACTTTGCCGTGCCCCGGACTATCAATAGACTCGATCCTTCGCTTCCATGCCACCTCGGCCGCAAAGTCTGGCAATGTGCGTGACGAGGATCATGCGGCTCAGCACACGAACAAGGGAGCCGGCGCGGATGACCCTGCGGTTCGCAAGAAGAAGGAAGACAAGGAGAAGAGAAAGCACCTACGCTCTCTTTCGGAGACAATTGGGAAGACCGAGTGGTCGCAGAAGATTTACGTGTTGACCACTAGTGGCTACATCCTGCAGTACCCTAACGGCGGAAAGCACGATCGTTTACCGGAAAAGATGTTGCAACTAGGACCGAAATCTGTGGCTTTCGCCAGTGATGCCATTCCGGGGAAACACTGGGTTTTGCAGGTGTCCCAGTCTTCGGAGGATCAGCCTTCTACAAACACAGAGACGCACCGACCCTTGCTATCGCGACTAGGATTCCATAGGTCACACGCCAAGCGACTAGCACGCAGCTTTCTGCTTGTCTTCCACACCCCCGAAGACCTGAGCTCGTGGCTTTTGGCCGTTCGAGCCCAGATCGAGGCACGCGGTGGTAAGAAATATGTGACCGAACGAGTCTTCGACGATGACATGGAGCATCAGCTCCATTCCCAAACCAGTGCCCGACAATTAGTTAGGAAGGATCCGAACCGGTTTTCGCAAACCTTTCTGCAGCCTCAGCAGTCGGCGACTTCCGATGAACAGGAGTCAACCGTTACTGATCAGTCTCGTCGGAGTTCACATGTTTCGCTCAATCGCCGGTCGTTGGTCATGCCATCTGCTCCGGAATCTCGCTCCGAGTCCATTTCTACGACTCACACAGACGTGGTCTCGCCCGTCAGTGTCAGTGGCAATGGGCAAGGTCGTTTTTACTCCTCGGTTTCTCCGGGAGGTGTTCCTATGTCTCCTCCCAAGAACGAGAAAAGTGCCATTTCCACTGTCTTGTCTGCGCTGGATAATTCTGCGAGTCCGACGATGTCTACGCCCCGGAAGAGACAGTCGCTGAACCTCCAACAAGCTTCGACGGCTACAGAGACCCCCGAAATCCCCCGGTCACAGTCTGTCGCTCCGGACCCTCTACTGCGAAGTGCCTCGCCGCCTGCTCCCAACTTCAGTGTTCCATCCTTCAGCCAGCGGTTCGCGGCGAAAAATGGCCCAAACCGACTGAGTCATATGCCTGGACCATCGTCTATTCGCGGAGGTGAAATGCCTGTTGACCCGGCCGAAATCATGTCTACATTTTCTTCTCCGCCTCAGTCCCCAGGGAAACCTCCGAGTAATTTCGGGCATGAACAACCGCCCAACCATTCTACACCAAGAAAGCCATTGCGCGTTTCTAACTCGGAGGACTCTCTCGCCGATCCTCAGCGAGGCCAGGAACCTAAGCCACATCGCTATTCGCGGGTCCCAATGAACAATATGGCTGTCCCGCCGGCGACATCGCACTCCTCTCGGCCTCTCAGCGCGATCAAGAACGAAGCGGCCGAGCCGCGCATGAACGCCCCTCTCCCGCCTTTGCCTCCAGGCGCAGTTGATCCAGCTTCCCTTCGCGATCAGAAACGCAACCGGACTTCTGTCCTCCACCGTGCCGACTCTGGTGGCCGTCCCACCGGTCCTCCGATGCCGCGACGGAAAAGTATGCCCGGGCTTACCGTCGTTGGGCCACCTTCCGTGCCTCCTCCCAACTGCCCGCTGCCAAAGATTCCATCCCCGGTTGACCCTGCTGCGCATGACTGGCCGGAACCGCCGACTTCAGATCAACGTGCTGCCACCGCCGGCCGAGCGAGCCGCAAGTTCCGACTCAGCTCGATGCCTCATCCTCCTGCCAATGGCCGTACTACCCCGAGTGGCCAACGTTCTGCATCTCGACAATCAAGACTGCCGGTCAACTGAGCACTGCATGCCGAAGTGTTCAATTCACTGGTGAATCTGCTTAAAAGGCTATAAAACCGTATAGAGTACCACATCTCACCTATACATACGTTGTCTTCGATACTTGTCTTTTGGTATATCTTCAGCATTGACAACTTACTATTCATACGTCGCCACGCCTGCCGAATTTTCTTTCTCGTCGACTTTGACAGTCGACGCCTGTCTGAACAATAATTTAACTACCTCCCGTGATACCACGTATCTACGATGCCAGATTCGATTTCCTTTCCTCACATACCACCATTCATTGTTTTTTTTTTCTTTGCATTTGGCACCCTAACTACACATACTTACCGTTGTTCTTTGCTACAAAATTTCCTTCCGTTTCTTTTCTTTTACAGCGATGCATGATTCAGGATATTCGACGCTGTCAACACGTTTCTTCATACGATTGACTCCATTTTTACTTTACTTCTTGCTCGTATACAGTTCTTGTTTGTCTTATAGTTGATCACTGTTACCTTTGTACATACATATATAAAGAGCTTTTTGGTTTCCTTGTCTGAGGATGGCGATTGGTGGGTTAGCATATAGATTATTGCATAGATCCTCTGCTCGTTCAGCTTCAGTTTTGGTCTTTGAGGTGATTAGGTTGGTAGATTATCGGTAATTCTTAGATGTATAGGGAATGAGGCGGAAATACACACTCTTCCTGTCAATCATAAGCAAACCTTCCTTCTATGTTACTTATCTCTGGGAGTACTGACTCCATTCATCTGTAGGAATTCAGCGAGATTCCGGATGCCTACCGGAGCGTTCCGCTGACCTATCCCAAGATGATGTCATTCGATCATGTTTTATGGGAGGTTCCATTAGTTGAGTTGATCACCGCCTTGATCAGCATAAATAGGGCCTTTCTGCGTGTATTTAGAGCTTCATCACCAACAACCTTTCATCTATCTGTTTTCTAGTCAATTGAATTATTCTATCGTGGACCACCCCCCTCTGCCAATTTCCTACATCATCTATGTTTACTAGAATAGGTACTTAGGTGCCTTAGGATATATATCCTAGGTCCACATCTGATCTGCCGTACGGATTACTCCCAACGCAACTTTCCAATCAAAATCATCCATCCCCGTCACCCATCACAAAAATCAAAATATACCAGGCAGAGCCCCCGTCTCTTCCCTCCTCCCCTCTTCGTCTTTCTTCCAGACTAACACCCAGACTGGGTCCAACTTCCGCACAGAGTGATGCACGACCCGAACCGACCCAGTCCTACGCAGAAGGCTACCAGAGAACAGCACCGTAGTGGCTGCAGACCCGACGAGCTGAAAGAACCCCTCCCCCCGTTCACCACTGATAATCGGGCCGGTGGCTAATCACAGGGCAGCAGCAGATCGCGCTAGTCCTCGTGCCGACTGCAGAGATGCATCGCATCGGATAGATCGAGTGGATCTGTTGGGAATGGCGCAGCTTGAACAGCAGCAGGAGGGCAGGACTGGGTGTGAAGCTGAGGGTTGATACTTGATCTGCGCATTGGAGTCCGGAATGAGGAAACACTAACAGGAGGGGGTGGGTTTGACTTCGAGCTGAAGATGAGATGGAGATGAAGACAGGTGAGATGAGATGAGAGCGGGTCGATCGGCGCAGGTGTGGTGAACATCTCCACTGAGTCGGCACGCAGTAGGATGATTTATATGGGGAGAAATGAGTTCTTATTTCATTCCTGCCTCCTTTTTCTTTTCCCTTTCACTCGTTCTATTGCCTTTCTAACGCAACACCTACATCCCCATGCTTCCACCCTACATCCAACCCACCCACCATGGCCCAAAACAACCAAATCTACCAAGACCTAATGCGCAACAACAGCGAAGGCCGCTTCCTCTTCAACCCAGCGCCCTTCCGAAAGCTCCGTCCCGGCTCCCTCGGCTACTTCGACCACACCGGCACCTTCATCGAAATCACCAACATCCTCGAACCAGGCCGTCCGCAGCGCGACGGCTTCAGCGCCTTCCGCTCGCCCCTCGCCACGGAGCCGCCCCGCGCCCGGGACTGGAAAGCCAAGCACTCGGCTAGCGTGCAGAGCCAGCATGCGCGAGTCACGGGGGGCCTGTCTGCGGCAGGAGCAGGGGCGCCGATCGATGCGTCTGCGGAGGTGAAGAACAAGCGGGAGGCGAGCGGGCAGGCGGCGCTGATTACGCCGTGCGAGCTGGTGGAGGAAAGGATTGATGGGCCGTTCACGACGGTGGTGAAGGAGTGGGTGTTGGGGAATGGGAAGACGCTGATGGGGTCTGTGCATCGCGAGAAGATCAAGACGCAGGGACTGTGGATTGTGGGGGTCACGTATGTGACGGCGGAGTGTGCGATGAAGTTGACTGCTGGGTCGAGTCGCGAGATTGATGTTGGTCTGGATCTTGCGGTCACCGGGATCGGGAAGGCAGGGTTTGGGACGGGGTGGTCTGAGAAATTGGATAGTGAGAATTGGGAGGTTCATCGGGCGACCGAGGTTTGTATAACTATACAATTGCAGATGGGGCTTGTGCTAACATCACGCAGGAAGATCAAGGGTTGGTTGTTGCGTTCGCCGGAGCGAAGTATGAGGTTCGCATGTTCTCGGGGTTGAAGAGCACGGTATGTCTCTATATCAACATCTCCCTTGCTGATTCCTCTGGGTTCTAACACATAAAATGTAGCCCCTCAAAGAAACAGACATCACGCAGACCATTGCGTTCCCGGAGCCACGCGTCATTCGGGACGAGAATGGAAATGTCACGGATGTTCAGCTCGTGGATGCGCAGGACATCCCGAGCGAAGAAAGTGAGTTCGAATGCGAGTGTGACATGGCTGGGCTGAGCGAGGATCAGATTGCAGCGGAGAAGGCGTATGCAAAGCAGCAGGAAGACCGCAAGAACGTGTTGAAATGGGAGTTGATTGAGATCGCCAAGATGGAGAATGGCGAGGAGAAAAGAGCGGTTCTGAACCGGCTGTTGGGGTATGACGATGCGCAGTATTGGCTGACGATGTTTGAATAGTGCACTGGTTAGGTTCTACAACATGGACCAGTCACACAGTTAGTATGTCCGAGGCTTACCATTTAGGCCGACATCATATATGCATTTGCTTTAGGGTTGCTGTGCATGATGATGGTGTCTGGTAATGTTTATATCACCTGAAGAATGTGGCAAGTGGAATATATATCCGACGGTCTCGACCACCAATTCAAAATTATTAACCCGGTAAAGAATCTTCATTGCGACAAAGAGCTCATGATACTACTGCAAGGAATTTTGAACCCATGATACCCGAATAAACATGCCCTGAAACGCAGAAAAACAGAATCGACAACATAAAGGGAATAAGACAATAAGAAGAAAGGAAAAGAGCGCACGTGGATGATGAAGATAAATAGAATATCACCCAGTGTATGGTTCCATCAGAATGGTCTCAGCCAAAGTCCCAATTCTCTGTATATGGTTGCATCGTACTTTGCAGCATTACTCGTCAGCAGCCTCTTCGACTCGGGGTGCAAGATCGCGCTTGACGGCCCCTGACGTTTGGGGTGCAGGCGTGGCGGTTGTAGTCGCCGTAGAGTCCTGTGCTTGAGCTGCGGGAGGTGCGCTGACGGATGATTTCTTGGACTTCTTCTTCTTGTTCTGGTGATTTGTTAGTACTTAACTTCAGATGAGCTGGAGATGACTTACTTCTTGCCAGCCCCACAACGGCTTGAAACTGTCGAAGAAACCGACATCTTCGAACAGGTTGGGGAACAGCCAGAGACCGGGAGGAACGGCAAACACGGTGATGCAGAACAGAATCAGACGGAAGATAGCCATGGCGAAGAAGAGACCCAGCAGACCCATCATGCCGACACTGAGGTACCAGACGCCCTGTCTCAGCATCATCGGCCACAGGGGGAACAAGACGACGGCGAAAATTCCCGCCACCACGGCAGCGGCCATGGCCTTCTGCTTCCACTGGGGTCCTTCGTAGAGGAAGACGTAGTGCATCATGTCGCCAGTTTCCTGGTGCTGCTCGATCTTCACGGTCCACAGTCCCTTGACGCGGTTCTTGGGCTTGCCGTGGTTGTGACCGGCGTGGGGGTCAACTTTCGTAACGCGTAGGGCGAGAAGCGATAGCGGGAGGAGCTTGAAGACGTTTTCTGCGGAAGCGCGGTCCGTGACAGGGGGAAGGATGGAGTTCTTTTTGGCGGCTGCTTTGGCATAGGCGGGAGACTCGAGAGCGCGGATAGCACGTTTCACTGTAGACGGAGTGAATGAGCAACAAGGCAGAAAATAAAGGGGGAATCAACAGGGTCAAACCTTTGAACATGTCCTTTCTCTGTCCGTCCATGATGCATGTCCGCGTCTTCAGGTTCTGGGAGCGCAGGAACTGAGCGACGGCAATCGCCTTGGGATCGGGGGGATTCGACGGGTTCACGGGAACCTGATGTGTGGTCTGCTGCTGCTGGGGTTGCGGTTGGCCTTGCGCCGGCGGTCCTGGCTGTCCTGGCTGCGGCGAACCAGTTTGAGCTTGTCGTTGGGCCTCCATCTGTTTCTGGTGTGCTGCCATAGCTCGCATTCTCAGCTGCGTAACGTATTGCTCGGTGGTCATTCCGTGCTTTGCGGCTTCGGCGTTCAGTTGTTCGCGCTGCTGTTTGGCGAATTCCTCGGGGGTCATTCCTCGCTTGGCCGCCTCAGCAGCGAACTGCTGCTGCATGGCCGCGATTTGCTGGGGAGATGGCTGGCCGGGTGCCGCCATGGTGAACAGGGATGGAACGGTGGACTTGGGATGGATAGAGTTTAACAAAGAAAGACGAGAACCACAACGAGAAGAGTCGACTCGAGGGGATGTGACCAGTAAGGATGGAAGTGGGATTCTGAACAGAAGGAGAAAGACAGAGTGGGCGAGTGGAAAGTGAAGGGATCGGCGGAGCGAAGAAGTGGCCAGATGGTGTTTGCATCCTGTTTGTCTCGGTCGCACCGCCTTCTTCTCCGCACTTCGTCTTCCTCTGCTCCTCCACCACCACCACCTGCGCCAGATCAACCATCCCTATCGATCATGTCAATGTCGCGGGCTGTGCTTCCCCTAGGAATGCCCTCGCGTTGCTGGTCGCTCGCTGCGTCATGTCGTTGAAATACGACCCCGACGCCTCTCTGGTCGACGCTACTTGGATAGCGGTCTTTCTGGTGAGTTGATGCGTCACATTCATGTCGATCCTCCCTAATGCATCCTTCGCTGACATCTGCGGTCTAAATCCAGAGCGAGAGAGATGTGGCCGGTCAAATTCCCCTCAATTTCATCACCACCTCGGCCGTGTCCCTGCGCGCAGCATGCTTCGGCAAAAATGTTTACGACCGGAATTCCGCAGGAAAATGCATCTCGAATCTGCTCGAACTAGGGTACCGCCGGTTTGTTGTCGATCTATACTGGTCTGTCGAAGGGCGCAGCTGGAATTTCTGCCCAGTCACAATCCCGAATGAAGCGCCGGTCGTGACTCTTTCATCGACCACGACGTCGAGCGCAACGGCGACTCCTACCTCTTCATCGACAACCACGGTGGACGCGGCGCAAGGGACCGCGACAGTCATTTCTGACTCCTCCGGTTCACGAATATACGAGCTCGGGCCGTACCAATGCTCGGACAACCTCTACCTGTCGGATATGATCGATGTGTTCCTGGATTTCTTCAAAGCCACGACGTCGCAACTGAACGTGTATACCAGATTCATCTCGTTCAACCTTCATGCCGCCTCCAGTGCCGAAGCTCCTAGCCGACCCGCGGCAAAGGTGTCTGGAACCGACCTGCCGACTATATCAGAGCGAATTGACAACATAATAGATGATCGCCTGTATCATTATATATACACCCCTTCGCAGCTGGCGGATGAGCGCAGCAATCTCAATGAGTCGTGGTACAAGGTCGACGACGGATATAAGCCCATCACGGAGTACTTCACCATACACGAAGATGAGGACGGCATACAGAGCACCCCCGACGGGTGGCCGTGTACGAAATATATCCAGCTAGCCGAGGAGGAACGGCTTCTGCTGGAATATGGCTCAATCGACCCCCAAATGGAAGATTATACCTTGGCCAACGATAATGACATCATATTCCCTCCCGAGTACCTCACCGCTACGACCCCCCTATCCATCAGGGACGACGAAATCGAAACCGGCTGCTTCTACAATACTGAAGCCTTTAAGGTCTCCGAGGTGAATTCATCGTGGGCCGTGTCCAACAGTCTTCCTATGCCCGTGGGGTCCAACAGGACCCAATTCCTGGGCGAACTGGCCGGCATGGTCACCAACGTGACCGCCTGCGGCCTTACCCCGTTAATAAACAGCACGATACTCAACTCGACGGCCGACAACGACTACGACCCCTACCGAAATGCCACCCTTTCTGCGGCATGGGCCTGGGCCATTGGCGAACCACGCGATTCTGAAGTCACCGATAACATCAACGAGCCGTCCGGCGATCGCTGCGCCGTCATGGACCTGTCGCTGAATGGGCACTGGCGTGTCGTCGACTGCGACCAGCCGCTACGCCGCGGCGCCTGCCGAGTCGACAACGACCCCTTTACCTGGACCATTTCCGATGCTGAAAGCAGCTATCCCGACGCCTACGACCACGGCTGCCCCGAAAACACATCCCTGGGCGTCCCGCGCACCGCCCTCGAAAACACCTATCTGTACCGCTTCGCATCTGACAGGTCCAGCGCCGGAGGCGGGATGGACCCGGCGTCCGCGGATCCACAGATGCGCGAAATCTGGCTGGACTTTAACTCCCGGCATATCGCATCCTGCTGGGTTTCTGGCGGCCCAGACGCCCAATGCCCGTACGCTTCGGATCCGCATCAGTTGCAGAAACGCGCCGTCCTGGTTGCTGCCATCGCGGGAATCGTGATCTGCATCATCACAGCCTTGACCTTGTTCGTGAAATGTAATACCAATCGACGAAACTCACGACGGAGTAAGAGGGTTATTCAGGGGTGGGAATATGAAGGTGTTCCTTCTTAGCTCCTGCCTTGTGGTTTGTATATATGTACCTATATGTATCGGAATCTAACATAACTGAGGGTTTCCTCTTCTGGATGCCGCCGCTTTAGTAAGGGCACTTAGGACCTTATTTAGTAAGTAATTCATATCACAGATTACCACTTATCAAGGACTTATCTAATATTTATTAAGTATTTATTAAACTGTTAGTACGCTAGAATGTGATTATCACTAAACATTCCTAATAGCGGAGGTTGGGCACTCCATGTTGTTGTCTCATAGCAAAGTCACCCTACCTGCATTTGCATCGTCTTTTCCATTCTTCTGTGTCTCTCCCACTGGTATCATCGATAAAATAACAATTTTTACTACAACGCACAGGTCCCTCCAGCAACTGAGAGCAAACGAACTGAACTGCAAAGGCTCCACTCTCTCAAAGCAGTCTCAAAAGACTCCATAGTCAGTGCATGTTACTGTTGATTCCGGTAATATCATCGGCGATCTTTGCGGCCATGGCGTAGAACACGGTCATGACGTGCGAAGAGACCTGGGTTGGTGGAATCGAGCCGTCAACTACGCGAAGGCCTCCGACATCATACACCTTGGCTTGCTGATTGACCACACCACCGAGCTCCCGACTCATCATCGAGCAGGTGCCCACGCCATGGTAGTTGGCACGGTAGCTTTGCATCACGTACGTTTCCCATGCCTTCAAATCGGCCCCTTCAGGCACTAGGCGTTTCCCAGGAACTTTCTCAATGCCCGCATAAGGCTTCATGGCGTGGGTCTGTGATAACTGTCGTGCAAGCCTGGTCGCGGCAGCCTGGCCGGCGAGATCCAGTTCATTTTCGAAAAACCTCGGGTTGTACTCGAAGCTGCGGAGGTAGGGATCTCTGTCCAGGGCCTTTACATATCCTCGGGTAAACGGTATCAAATTCCAGAGGTCAAAGTGCATTAATTCCCCGGTGTCGAAGAAGAGCTCCGCATACGACGTATTTTTGTGTCGTAGCCAATCCCTGTAGTTTTCATACTGCTTTAATAGCACGGTCTGATTTTTGAAGAAACCTCCTCCTTCAATAGTTTTCATTGCCCACTCTTCTAGCTTACCGCTCTCATCTAGCAGTCCCTTGTATAACGGCGCTTCGGCTCCAAACACCTCGTCGAACGTGGCAAAGTAAGCCGCTTGTCCTTGGCCCTTGCCTTCTTCGATCGTGTTGTGAATCACGGTTGTGGTTGTTTGGTCCTGAAGATTATATCCCACCGGGAGATCGACCTTCTGCGTGATATTCGCATCGGCCAACCATTCCTCGGGGCCGATCCCAGACCATTGCAAGATAAGGGGCGAGATGGCCGAGCCTGCCGCAAGAATGACCTCTTTGTTGGCATTGACATCCCACTTCCATAGCTCCTTCTGGTGTACACCGAACTCCACGCCCGTGGCATGATGCGTCTCCGAGGGGTTATTCGGGTCGCTTTCGTTGAGGTGGACTTTACCCACTAGTTGGCCAGTCAGAACCGTAATACGTTTGCTGTAGTTGGGGTCTGCAAGGACTGGATCCAGCCAGGACCTCGCAGCGTCCATGCGATTCTGGCCAGCATCCAAGGTATTCAGGAACATGGAGACGCCTCTAGGATCACCACAGCAGAGGTCCTTTCGGTTCTTCACCCATGGATAGGTCGCGCTGACGGTATTCATGAGAGCCCCGATCAGCTTGGACCAGGGCTTCTCTTCCCCCCCATAGCGAGGGCCAACCTCCACATTGCCCGTCGTGCCGCTGTTGTGGCACTTCGGATCATAGGAATATAGTTCCTTAGGCCAAATCCCGGCGGGATTGCGTGGTTTCTCGATGCCGTCCATGTATGGTTTCAGGCTATCCCACGTCCAGTCGCGGTTTCCAAATACCTGACTCCAGGAGTCCAATTGTTCCCGCTGTGGGCGCGTCCATGTTCCGCCGTTGATAAGCGTGGAGCCACCAAGCCCATTGCCTGCGCGGACGATCTTTACGTCTTTGTCCAGACCAATGATATTGCCGCGGCCTTCATGTTGTGGGCTGGTTTCATACGCATGGTCGACGCTGCTGCCAAAGATCTGTCCGTAGGTGTTCAAATCGTCGATCTTGGGCCCATACTCGGAGCCGTAAAAGCCACTTTCAATGACTAAAACCGTTGCCTTGGTGTTCGTCAGAATCTTGTTGGCGATTGTGAGACCGGTCAAACCGCCACCTGCGATGATATAGTCATAGGTGCGGTTGGCCACTTTAGCTGGGTCAGCGGTCACACCAGGGATGATTTTGGGCGTTCTCGAGCTGCATTTCTTGGTCTGGTAATCAGGAAGGATCTCCTTCTCCAGGGGTATCTGAAACTCCGCAAGAGCCTCGGAGGCAATCAAGGCTAGGCCTAGCAAAGAGACTTTCATATCGGCTGCAAGGACTTGGAAATGATGGTCCCACACCTCGACACGTGAAATTTCTGTGTCGTCTATCCTGCTGCATGCGATACTAAGTGTGCATTTTTATATACGCTTTCTCTACGTGTCAGGTGTCAAAGAACTGGCCAGATCTGCGCAGAAGCGATGACCTCACGCTTTGCATTCTCCACGGAGCTCGCGATATGCCCGAATGCAGCAGAGAAAGGTTTGTAGTGCCAATGTAGCTCGACATAGCCATGACATCCTCTATGCTGTCAATGATTGACGAGTATGTCTGGCCATTGGAAGAATAACATCAGGAAGCCTGGCGGTTCTTGTGGAGTACACTCATCACGTTGGCATAGCTGACCATTAGGCCATGACCTGCAAAGACCGGATATAGATGTATATACTGGGGCAATGGGGCATATACTTTGAGCACCGCTGTCACTCTCAATCAGAAACAGCATCACGCATGCAAACCCACGGATCGCGTAGTCCTCCAGGCAAGTGCCACTGCATCATGAACCCGAGGGTAGCTATGCAATGACTGTCCAGACCCACAAGCCGAATACAATGGGTCCACCACCCACTCTACTGGTATGTGACACAAAAGGAATGTGCAATGTTTTCAGCTGCGCCGGCAAGCCCACTGGAATGGTCGCTTGCACACCCGATGACGGTTACAAACCCACTAGTTGCAGGTCAAGAAGAAGGTCAGATCACTTCCGATGGCTGGCGGTGTGCTAGCAGGGTATCGCGGTGTGCCTCCGTGGTTTGCGTCAACCAGGACAAGGCGTGGCTGGTGTCTGTCGGAAGAAAGATCCACCAGGGCCAGTAGATACTCTCCTTGACCAGCTCTGACATGCTGTGGCCGGGCGTTGGTTGTTCCATGACTGGCCGGAAATTATCTCATACAATACCACACCGCAGGCTGTCTCCGTATGCAATGTCTCAGAACCGCTGCAAGGCCTCTCTCTCTCTCTACGAGGCATACGGTGGGCCAAAGACTTCGTAATCCGTCAACGCGATAGGTCTCTGCAGTTGGTGTTCAGTGCGCAACGGTAGATATGAGCCCTTGGATCGATTAGAAGATTTTTTGTGCCATCTCGGTGAAGCCGAAGTACTTATCTGTTAGTAGACGACGTTCTCGGAGCACCACAAGATGCGAACATACTTCGTCCACAGATGGAGCCTGGCCAAACTTGAGCATGCCATCCGGAGCCAAACAATGTTTCCGCGTGGTCAAAAGGACCAGCTATACTTAGACAGTACGGGCGTTCTGAGTTCGGTGTAGGCTGCAGGCTGTATGAGTGCCTAGCGTTACATGGCTAGGGCTTCATCGAGCCTAGAGTCAAGGTTGTATTCCTGGTCGTTCATGTTTGCGGAATGACTCTTCTACGATTGACTGGTTGTGCTGGACTCATCCACGTCATTGAATGTTCTTACATGTCTATACAAGCAGGGTATTGCTGGCAGCAGGTATGCTTGAAAAGCACTCTCTCGGCAAAGCTACCAATATTGCACGAGCCACGCGTTGTACTGCCTGATTATGCCAGCAGAGCACGCTTCGCAAACCCACCGCAACAATGCGCGCGTCGAAGGTAGTCCTGATCCGCTCTTCCCCGTGCTGAGAAATCAATGGTTAGTTAATTCACAGTAACCCAGAACACTACAGCGAGGCCCGATCATGTTCGGCATGAAGGTTGGACAATCACAGCAGATCCTTTCCAGGAGAGACCTAGGTCCTAATATCCAAGAATGCAGGTGACCCTTCCCTGGGGAGTGCCGATGCAGGAAAGTTCGACTCTCTCCCATGTCACTCGCGAACGTATACCAAAAAGGTATGTTAAGGCCATCACGCATCATTGATTATGCCCTATATGAAGCAGATAACCGACTGTGCAATTGGTCCTCTCAAGATCCGTTCATGCCAAAGGCGCCGGAGCATTTGGCGTATTCGAAACCAACCCGTTCACTGCGTCGTACATTGCAGAGCTCATAGACGCAAAGTTTCTCAGGAACAACAATCTCAACGCGAATCGAATTTTTGAAACTTCTTAACCACCACCACACCGAAGGACACGCAACAATACCATCTAGGGGTCAACAACAACCAGCTCCCCATCAACAAACCGGTCTCTTACGTCTGGACGCCGACCAGGCGCGATGGAGCTCACAACATCGACAACTACGGAGGAGTGATTTTTTCCGTGATGGACTAGTAGCGTTTCTCTACCTAACAAACACGTTCGGAGGACAGAAATTCTCCAGACCAAGGATGCGAAAATGTGGTTCGACGTCCTCCAGCAGTTACTTCAACAAGAGACAAACAGTAACCAGAAACTTCAAAATAATCTCGGCGTTGTCGCGGGACGAGAGGCGTCTGCTCCCATCTACATCCCCCCTGACAGTTCTGGGCCTGTTAACAGGTCCACAGGAGATCTACAATAGACTCGGTGATAGCGAATGAGCCTGGACTGACGTACGATAAGGGGGACACCTGTGTGCAGAAGATCGAGATAACAGTAGTTAAACTGTACCTGGGTTTATCGTTGGATGGCTCACTATACTCGACGTAGTCATTTGCCTAGGCTTGTGGAATTGAGATACCGCATGTGCTTGTAGTCCCTAGTGCTGCGTTTGGGTTCAATTAGAACAGAAACATAACACTCTGAATGGACTTGGACGAGGCAACCGCTAATGGGGTCTTAACCCACACGAGGCCCTTTCCACCGTACAGGGAAAGAAAGCCAATTAACCGGTGAAGTCACCGGTCCGAGACAGCGATGCATATTTACGCTGAAGGTGTTTAGCAATCCGGTTAAGTCGAACGGTTGCGGTATGATCATTGACCGGAAACCCAGGTGTGAAGGACCCGGGGTTAGAACCATGAACCACACCCACTCCGGGGACTATGATTCTTGGTCAGTCTCAGCGGTTAAGTAGAAAAGTACATGCCTATGGCGTAAGGGCTGCCATCCCAGCTCATTCGAGTTGAGCCATAGCCGAAAACGTACGCCCGTTACCAGCAGTCGTAGAGTCATAGGAGCTTAGATGCCACATGGGCTCCTCCTCCCCATGTACAGTGCAACATGGCATCACGACATGACGGCAACCCGTCCCACAAACGACGACGTCAATAGGAGGATCAGAACGCGGGATGAAGAGTGGGAAGGTTTCGATGCAGCGGGAATCAAATCCTGCGTGAATGCCGCCGAACCGCTTGCTGCCGGATACCCATATCCATCGAAGCAGTATAAACATTGAGGCCATTAGACCCAGTGAGGCAGACAGGTTTCCCTCCCCCGTTGCTGTCTCGCACAGACTCATTGATTAGCCACTGCGCCCATGGCTTCTTCTACCGGCCGCTTTATCAATGTCGTCAATCAACCTGTGTTGTGTCCCATGAGTCCTTCGTAAGGGTCAAGTTCATTTGAGCAAGATCGTGTATGAGTCGTAGAAAGTATGTCATAGTGAATTTGTCCTGTTCTATTGCCGAGAACCCCAGTACCCAGTGTAACATAGAGAGCCCTGCAGGCTCTGAATTGGGAGACATCTGGGCCCTAGAACCATAGGATCTAATGGCCTGGCTGGCAACATGACGTTGAGTAGGACAGAGATATACTATGTAAGCCTGGCTTCTACACGTCCACGTCACCAGTGAGCTGGGGCCCATTGCCATGCGTCACCTTCAGAAGCCCCCTCTGCAAAGTCATGGCCCTGGAGCGAGGGTGTTGCCACTCGCGAGAGAGGAAGGGCTTCTCCCGCTCACACTTATATATCGTCACGGCTTCTCGGACACGCAATCGATGTCCAGATCATCTGTCCACCTTGACCCCACTCCTCAAATACTCTGTCTTACTTCCCCCCGTGGCTCTTGAGTATATCCACGATGCGAGCTCTGGCGATTTTACCATTCCTTCTCTCGGGGGCGCTCTCCGTCTGCACTAACTGTAGCGACGACGCCTACCGTTGCGAGGATGTCAACCACGAGCAGCCCATAAATGACAGTTTGACGAAAACAGTTTGTAAAGATTTTGAGTCCAAAGGTGCTAAACTTTGCAAATGCACGGCCGACCATCTGCTCTACTGCCAGTACACCGGCGATATTCCTTTCGAGTCCAAGTGCAAGAGGCCCGGTAAGCAGTAGCCGGTCAAAATTTCCCAACATGACCTAGACCGGTGAGAAGTTTTACCTATTCACACCTCTAATCGTCATTGAGCTTATGGTGGAGAGGTAGCCAGGTAGAGGCGGATACCGTGCCGAGTTGCCGTGACGTGTTTGTAAAGTATAGCAAAGTTGGATGAGGAGCGACGGCCAGCTGTGGGGATTTGTTAGATTAGAGAGGCCGATGCCTTTATTAAGTCCACAGAACTGCGGGTACTGATTGATTGAGTCTACCTGTTAGAAGCGCTTTGCAGGTTAATTACTCAATCTAACCTAGAAATATGTTATCTGCCTTGATATGAGTGTCAGAATATACTATCCAGTGTTATCCATATGCTCTACTCAAGACTCGGCTGAACCGTTATTTGATACCACAGCATCTCCTTTGAATAGAATCATGGATTCTGATGTATAGGACTAAGAGACAAATGTCAGGTGTCCAACCAACCAAGACAACCACATTTCTTCCATTATTCCACCTCATCCTGGTAGCTCGAATAATGCATTTAGGCAAGAACTGTTGACTTGACCAAAATCTGCGGCATTGCAGTTTCCCGTCCGGCCGCTGCAGATGTTTTCTTTTCGGCAGCAAGGGCTTTTCGAACGATGTCTGTCATGAAGACTCTCGCATCAGCGGGAGTTTTGCCGGCCGGGGCTTTGAGTATAATGATCTGGGTCTTTCCTGTCGGAGTATTTGCAATGATAGAGTAGCCGCTCCCGCTATTTATGATAAGGTCCCTGGTCTTCTTAGCTCCATCTTCGGCGGCCACTCGGTCGGCCCATTCAATGTTGAGGGTGACCTGCCAAACAACGCCGGTCGTGGCCGGTGTTCGATGCTGTTCAGACAGGTAGGTTGGTTCCCCTCGCCTAGCAATGTATGCCTCGCAGTCCGATCTGCTCCGTTGCACATTGACATGAAGTCCTCCGTGCCAGACAGTCTCTGGTGCACTGACACCCATAGGCACTTCGTAATACACGTGAGAAGCTTTGATAAGATTGTCCCCCCCGCGGTCTTGGATTGCTGTGGATACTGCCTCCACAGGATCAGCATCATTGCCTTGCTTCTCGGAGTTTGCCCCGTTAGGTGCATTCGCAAATAGAGATTGTGCAACCAGTTCCGCCGTGTCACAGATCTGCAGATCAGGCGTGACGATGGCAGAAGGTGCTCCAAGCACGGTGAGGAACTTCGAAAGGTCCTGGTAGGTATCGATATTCTTTGCCCCGTTCAGGCCTGCTTCCGTAACGGCAACCGGGTTGGTCCAGATCCCCGATAGCTTTCCCTCGGTGCTAACGGGGTTCTGCATCGCCACCATGCCGGGAGGGTCGGGCTGCTGCATGCAAAGTGAATGCGCCCTTTTCTCTAACACGGTCGTGGCTTTCTCATAGTCGTCAAATACTTTAAGAACGGGATCAGACTGGGCAATAACGTTGATTTCGTCTTCGTTGACGAAGAAAACGCCTGCGACCTTTGCAATGGTCCCTGCGGCTTCCGCGATGTCGCCCGTCGTATCCAAGACGAACTTGGCACCGTCTTTGATGCCTTCCCAGAGGCTGTCCCAGAAGCCCATTTTGATGAGAGCTTTTATGCCTTGGCTTGTGACGGTGCCTGCTGCACGAAGAAAATGACAATCTGTGGTAGACGGCAACTATAGCTGTGATAGAGTGGAGAATGAGATATGATTGAACAGCCACAAATGAAGTGAAGGCTCAGTGTAATAATATCGGTGATCTCTCCAGCGCAAGGATAGAAACGTGCTATCTTATATGTATTCCAACTCATCCTGTGAGGCTACATATACATCATCCACGGTGGCAAGATCGCGCGTGTTTTGAACAGCCGTTACATCCGGACTCGCCCGGCTTCCAGTCTTAATGTCACAACTAAATTATTCCTTCTATGAATGTAGGGACCGTTACCCATGTATAGTGGGGAAGGCTATCTACCCTTTCTAGGTATGATTGAAAGGTTGCAGTAGGGTAAGCTTATGGGGCTAGACATCATAGACGGTAAGCGTTACCACGGCGAGTCAAACCGAGGATCTACATCGGCTTCTTTCACAATAGATGCTTCGATAGACGTAAATGCCAGCCCAAGAATCGCACGTCACCCGTGGTAGATCCGGTAGTATATCAAAAACACGCTGATAATGAATCATCATGGAAGCTACAACGATCGAGCAATAACACCTACTAGTTAGTACCAGACTATCACCGGATCCGAGCACTGTGAGCTCCTTCGACTAATAGCTGCCAGCTGTCTTCCGGATTTTGAAGGGTGGCCAGACCCATCCCGTCTAACCATATCAACAGACATCGTTTCCATGCTGGGACATTCCACTGAGGCAGCTAAACCACTCGCAACACATGTCGCTAGACACCCTGGAACCAGCAATGACACATAGGGATGACGTATAAACCGTAACGCTTTTCACATTAAACTACGTGTCACAGTGGGGAGGTGCATACTCCGGAGTATAGTTGAATCATCGGCTTTATCATTTGCTACACAATAAAACCATATAGACACGCCTCGACCGGAGTCCATGATTTAATGTGACTGCTATTCTACTCATACATGTCGTCACAGACAGCGTACTACTATGATCCAGAACAATACACTGCATGCGGAGCCGATGTGTCTAATCGCAATCCATATCTCGGGCGCGGAAATGTCAGCATCATGCATTGCAACGGTGACCCAGCACACATGATTCCCTCCAATATGAGGATAACCACCGGTTCTAACTATAAATTGTGTGTGTCTCCAGGAACAATGGTTCGAAAAAGACGAAGGCCACTTGGTGACGCTAAGCTTATCCGACTCAATCAACTTAACCAGCAGCCACACGATGAATATAAACAATCGGAAAGTCTCTGTTGAGGTCTCCAGCCTTCCACATAAGTGTGTCCAAGTGCCTAAGGAAACATTCGCACCTGATGTGTTATTCGCTCTCGTGAACGAGGACATCCAGGAATGTCCGGACAGTGCTACTAACGTCCGGTTTGCATTCATTGCGCATAAACTTGACAGCCAAGGTGACACGGTTGTTGCGCTGGAGTCTGTCGTCCATCAATCTTTCTTAGGCCTTGACCGCAACACCAGGCGTCTTGTGTTAAAACATGCGCGCGGCCCGGAAGGTCTCTCCCAGGACTATCATTTCACACTGAGACCGGAAGCTCTGCCGATTGATGAGAGTGATCTTCTCATCAGTATAGTTCCGGCTGATGGAGGCAAAATTTGCGATGATAGCGATCCTGCTAGAGAAATATCGTTGTGCCTGCGCCTCCTCAAGCCCCGATCAGTGCCAGGAATTGAAAAAAATTGAAGCAGCATGGGTCCAGCAGCTCGCGATCATCACCGGTATGGAGGAAAACGATATGTTGTCCGACCTGGTTGATATTGCTGGGAAACGTTCCAACCTGGATGATACAAAAATCAAGGAGCGAATTCAGGCAATGGTGGATGATCGCACTATTGAGACCGCCCTACAATTCCTTGGTGAGCAGTTTAGTGAAGGTAAATCGTCAATAATCATAGATTCTCAATGAGGCGCTTGTACTAATTCTGTTAGGCAATACACCAAGACAGATTAACGCCCAAAGTTTGATGTGTATCTCGAAGCTCTTATCAATAATGTCTGACTGTGTCTACTTGCGGTTAGCATCATCCTTGAAATCTAGAACATGCAGGAGACATGCTGATAATGTGTTGTTCTAGAGACCAAGAGTATATTGATGACATACGAGAAAAAATGAATGCGTCACAAGAGGCAAAACATAACGTGGATGAGTACGAGAATATGGGAACCCTAAACGCCTCGAAGGACCTGGTGTCGACTATTAATAATATTCAAAACGAATGCGTGGATGAAGGCCTGGTAAAAATACGACATGCGGCAAGTTTCACCACACCGGGATTCCGTGGTGACAATATCGCTGATTCTATCACAGGCAGACAAGATGGGACTCAAGTATTTGTTCCTTTCCAGTACGTACGCACCAGATCGAGAAGTCTCTCATATATTAATTGAGGTTCCAGATATTGCTGGAGGAGAAAGACTAGAAACAGACGGACCAATCTGTGGTACATTCTATAATGACAGCGACAATCCTTTTATTGTTGTCGTCTTCAAGGTATTTCTCTTGTGATAATGTCCTGTTTAGCTGAGAGCTTACTATTCTTTCAGGGTACGAGTAGTAAATCTGACTGGGCAGCTAACCTCAAGTATGCTCTAACACCCGGGAAAAACGAAACTTCGTTGCAAGGTTCTTTGCATTCAGGCTTTCTTAATGGATTGTTCAAACCAATGCCAATTGGTCTGTCGACGGAGAAGCTAGCCATACGGCACAGCTTTCCATTCAGTATGGTGAAGTGCATTCCCGCTGAGAAACATAAGGTGTTGACCTGATCTAGATATGATCACAATTCAACTCAATAGGCTGGTGCAAAGCCTGAACAAGAAGTACCCTGGCAAGAAAGTTCAGATCTGGGTAACTGTACGTGAATATTCATTATAAACTACGTCAACATGCCGAATCGACTGCTAATGTATTTTCTTTAAGGGCCATTCTCTAGGAGGCGCGTATGCAACCGTTCTGTGGTCATCCTTACTAGAGATCCCGAAGATTCGAAACTCGACGCTTCGCGACCTCATAACTTTCGGAGCGCCTCGGGTTGGAAGTCTAGAATATGCTAAATGGGTCAAGGGTATCAAGGAGAGAAGGAATATATGGCGATTCGTCAATGGGAGGGACATCGTTCCTAAAGTTCCTTGGCGAGGCCGCCTGTTAGGGGACTACTACCACGTCGGTTCCCGCGTCGCAATTGCGGCAAAGGAAAGATGGCGTTTACAGAAATGGGAAACGGATTCTAATGAGGAATACCCTATACCTAACGCAGAGGAAGCCGCGGGATTTTCTACCAAAATATGGAACTCTGTGGTTGGTTATATAGCACGGAAGACTCGCCTTATTTTCACGCCTCATGCTATGTTTTTGGATCATTGTGGGTATTTCAATTCTTTCTACTCGCTGCGACTAACAGTGCAATGCAGTTCTCGAAAACTATTGGGAAGCGTTGAAGGACGCGCCCGACGAAGTTTGGCCGCCTCCTGAAGTTGCAGGTGAAGAGACCGGGGTAGATTGAAGGCATATTCTCCAGATATACTACGGTGGATTGGTCAGTGACTGATGATTCTCGTCTTTTTCCTTTTTGCGTTCTTTTATTCTTGTTGCGTGCAATACAATATTTGAAGTTATCTCTCTCATTCATTCCCGGCCCTATACCATGGCCTTATTTTACATATAATGTTTTCGTACAGAGAATGTTGATTGCAACTTATTTCAAAGACTCGACCCTAGGAATCAGACCCCTATCTAACAAACAACTTCATAAACGCCCAAAGATGATCAAATTCGTATCCCAGTGTACTGAAAGGTCCAGTCAGTACACCTCTTTTCGATGACGCGCAGAACTCGAGACATCTTCGAGCTCTTCATTGATGTACATACTTCCTACTTCAATAACATTCGCGGGTTATTTTATCAATTTCTTCCTCATTAAGGTATGATCGTGGCATCTTTGAATGCGAACCCGGGCTAGGCATTCCTCTATTGATTGGCGCAGGTGAGCGTTGAGGGATCACCTCGTTTGTATTGTTCGAGAGTACCTGCTTGTTGACCCAGAGTTAGCCATAATCGTGTATCACCTTATGTACACGTTCTGATTCATTTCGTAGTAATAGTAGTAGTAGTAGTAGTAGCCCAGATAGCAACATGGCGAGGTCTAATCAACAGCGACTTCTTGGCTACTCACCCCTGAGACCATTCTGCTACCTCGATATGCTCCCTTTCCAACAGGGTTCCACGGCCGCACTTCTGCTTAGTAAATATCATGCCACTGGTCTTGCAAGCTCGAGCCTAGATTACTGTGTACTACCGTGCTGTCAGACTCGCGGTTATTAATCTTATTCTGTTATGGACAGGTTTCATCCTCGGGCTCCCTGCCTATTTTCTAAGATCTGATGAGTTAGTGCTAGCATGGATGCATTCATGGATTAGCCGGATAGTTATTATTTATTCTGTCTTCTATGGAGCTCCTTAGTAGCTTGATCTAAGGGAATTAAGTGCCCGAAACAGAGCCTTTGTGGCTGCTCCTTACAAATAAATAAAAATAAACTAAAAATAAAGAGACAGGCAAGAGAGAGACAAGATATAGTTTTCTTCCGCCTATCCTATACTTGGTAATTACTTTAGGCTGCTCAGGTCATCCTCAGGTCTACTTACTAGATAAAAAGCAGTGAGTGGTGAGCACTAAAACAGAAAGAGACAGCTGTGGCTATGGCTAGAAATTCCGATATGTCCGTACCTATACGTATCAGAACATCTAGCACAAATCAGGATTTCCTCTTCTGGGTGCCGCCGCTTTAGTAAGGGTACTCAGGGCCTTGCTCAGTAAGTATTTCATATCACAGATCACCACTTTGGCCAACAAACTCCGGGAGTCTGTTGAACACATTGCCCCAACTTTCCTTACCATCCACAAGGCTCTTAATGGCATCCACTATATCTGACTGTGACGCTCGGACTTGCTTAGTGCTGTCTCTCTCTCGCAATGTGATTGTATCGTCTTTCAGAGTATCGAAATCGATGGTAATGCCAAGTGGAATACCCAGCTCATCATTACGAGAGTATCGCTTTCCAATGCTTGCGCTGCTGTTATCGACACGGCAAGAAATTCCGAGTTCTCGAAGACGCTGCGAAACCGTTTGTATCACTGGAATGAAACGTGGCTGGTTTGACAAAGGTACAATTAACAGCTTGGTCGCTGCGACGGAAAGGGGCAGCGACAAGACCTAGACCAGTACATTAGCATAGCGATCTGTACTGGGGTGGGACTTGGAGAATTTGCCTACCCCCCGGGCAACATCATCTGGTCGATGCCAATACACATGCTCCAACAGGCTGTAGAGAATCCGCCCAATACCAAAGGAAGGTTCAATGACATTAGGCGTATATTCGCGGGTATTCTCTACCCTGGTTCGCTTTTCAAGGGTTATAAGGTCCCGGGGCACTTTGACCGAGCCGTCGACCATGCCAGGAACTTGAAGTGTAATGAAACCTTGCTGATCCAAGCTGCCAGAGAGGTTCTCGCGTTCGGATTGACTAAGAGAGTTGAGGGCAGCTTCGACAGCTTTCGCATCCTTGCGGAATGTTGGACCAAATTTTGCCCTGTTGATATCCATCTGCCACTCCTCTACCCTCAGCGGCTCTGCTCGTGGCTCTCTGACAACCAGCGGCTCGCCCGTCCTTCGTGAATGAACGGTCAAGTCATATGCACTGCGATCGGCGCAGCCAACACATTCAATCCACCCGTAAGAGGTCAGTAATTCGGCATCCCAACAGTCGGCGGCATAATGAGCCATCTCATTGGCCATATGCTGGCGAAATCGTAGCTTCGTTTTGTCAACACCGATGCGAAGTAAAAAGAGATAGATTCTGGCAAGAAAATAGCCCAGGGTCTCATTGTCAATGATTCCTTCGGCAACGGCATCCCCGATTGTCATAGCTTGAAGGTCGGAACTGCCAGAAAGCTGCACGGAACGGTTCAAAAGGGAAAGTGAAATATGTTGAACCTCGTGAAATCTGGGGTGTTTTTTGCCGCCCTCGGGGTCCACGAAATGTTCGATTTCCGCCATCAAAAACTCTCTAACGCGCAGAAGACCGGAGCGAGGAGAGATCTCGTTGCGAAAAGATTTACCGATTGATGCGGAAGCAAACGGCATCAAGTTTTGGTTGTAATCCGAAAGCTTTTTGAAGTTCAGGAATTGTCCTTGCGCAGTTTCCGGCCGCAAGTAGGCCGGGGATGCGCTGCTAGGACCCAGTGTGGTCTTGAACATCAGGTTGAATGGGGTCGGTGGAGAAACCGGGTTATTGCCGTCTGGGTTACGGATATCGAGTCTGGAGATCAATTCACCGAGTTCTGTGCCATTGTAATTGTCAATCTGCAACCCCAGAAGAGAACCCAGGTTAGTCCTCCGTTCACATAAGGTCCAAGAGTTGGAGATATCATGCCTTTGCAAGTATTTCTTCGTACTCCGCGACTTCTTGGTCGGGCAGTTTGACCGCTTGGATGTCTTTCACTTTTCGTTTTTGTTTCTTCGCATCCACTGGTTTGCTGCTGTCATCCGAGCTAATGCCTAGGCCTCTGGCAATCCTGTCTCCCTTGAGTCTAGCTTCCAAAACATTCTCAATCAAATGATCAGCACGCAGGAAGTCGCCAGACTTGGAGTCCTTGCACATCCAATCCTCAAACTTATCCACATGCCCACTGGTCTTGAACACTGCCTCCGGAGTCATGATAGTGCAATCAAGCTCCAGCATATTTTCCTCGAGCACAAAGTGTCGTCGCCACGCATCAACGATGTTGGACTGCAATGCACATCCGGGAGGGCCATAGTCAAATAGGCCTCTGCCATCACCACCAAGAGCGCCGGACGTGCGATAGATTTCAAAAGCCTCCGTGAAGAACAAGCGACGTTTGACCAGTGACTCGAACAGTCCACGATCGAAGGGATGTCCTGCAAGGGTTTTCGTCTCGGTCGTCATATTTCAAACCGTGACAGGGGTGGCTGGAAATTCTGTAGAGACTCCGGGGGAACTTTGAGGACGATGGCCAAAGGCGTTTGAACATGGCCAAAGGACAGCAGTGGGAGGTGACTCAAGTCGCTGTGCCCCGCCTCTTCGATCTACTCAGTGAGCAAAAAGCGGCAAGGGGTGAGCACTAAAACGGAAAGGGAAAACTGTCGACCTGACTAGATCCAGGGCAGATACTACGATCTCTATAATACAACTCGAACGTTACATTTATTAAAATTGATTCATCGATTCATTTATCAACCTGGTAGAGATTCTTACCCCGTAAGCATATCCAGATTTGGAAAGTCAGCCCTAAACCTGCCCCGTAGAGATTGAGTCTGCATTTGCGGTCCGAATGCCAACTCACGGCCTTCACACCACCTCTGATATGGGTGAGAAGGATGGGTGGCCATTGATTTCGATTCCTCGGCATAGAAGGGCTGGCTCGTCCCGGACGGAATTCGAAAGTGCTATTCTAATTGGTCATGTTAACGGACAGCATCGCTGATGGTAACCATCCAACATGAAGTATTTCAATCAATTCTGGCGACGACACAACGTCTACACTTACGAACCCTCAATATATGGTAGTTCGAAATACCCCAAGAGGCGAGCGAGCTTAAAGCAGCTATATCGTATGACACAAAGTCTAGGCAGGTGGCTGTTGAAGCACCAAAAAACTAACAAACCACACATCTCCAATCCTACACAGGTCTACAGAGCCACATCATATGAAACCGGCCTTAATAGTTGAATATCAAGGCCTGGAGCTCCAGAACAATGACCCATTTTCCACAGCAATCCTCCCAAGTACTAAGCCGGACAGCCCGGTTGGATCACGTGGAAATCTCTCGACTCAGCATAGATAGTAAGCGGATCGCCACACTTCGAGGCCCAAACACGATAAGTACTATAAGAAGACAAATCAGTGGTTAGCGTAAGAAGCGGGAGAAAGAAAAATGAAAAAAGGAAAAAGCCACAAGAAGGGAGAAAAAAGACTGCACGACGCATACCTTCTTTCGCGTAATCCCGGATAACATCTCCCTTGGATCACAACGGTATCCGGATCCCTGGAGGCGGAGCTGAGGAAGAACTCCTGTGGCGGGTATTCTTTGTAGTTGGTGAGGTAGAGGCAGAAAGAAATAGGGTCGGTGCTGGATGGCGAGTATTAGTGGGAATTCGATTGAATTCATAGTTCAAAGGTTGATTCGGCATACTCGACATGAGTCCAGGTTACAGTCCAGTTTTTGGACACATCCACAGGATCGGGGGGTGGGGGTGACGTGATGTAAATGGCCCTGGTAGTTGCGATGAGGGCGGGGAGGAGGGAGATTGTGAACTTCATAGTTTAAGAGGTGTTGGATTAGAAGTGTGAAAGAGAAAAGAGAAGAACGTCAATGCTACTAATCTAGATAAAGCGGGAGATGTGCAGTCAAAGGATGAAGGGCTTGGAGAGAATACGATCGTTCTTATATACTATATATCGTGCACGGAACAAGGAAGCAAGGGATTCCATCAGGGATTCCTTCTCGCTATACGAAAAATGCTCACTTCCATGCCAGGTTAACCCATGTCACCAGGGCAACAAGAACTGGATCGAGCACATGGCCAGGGTTTATAATATCATCGACGCACGAGAATCGAAGAGAACCGAAGCTCAGATACGGGATACGATATGACACGAAAGCTGACCCAGACTGAAGGTTGCGTACGAAGAAAGGCATCTTAGATTCAACCATAATAGTTGGCGGCTGGGGCCCTAATTGGTGAAATTATATCCTGTCCTTAATGTCAGGTGGCGTTCCAACACGAGGATAGATGGCAAGAATCACATACGCTTGCTGCCTTCTAGATCAGTCTCTCTTACCAATTAACACGCTACAGACTAAGGGTCGTCATGATGACTGCCTGGCTTGGGCATGTTAGGCGACTTTGCGCAGGAATTGGACGAGAAGAGAAAGAGAAGAAAAAATTCATGCCCTCATATGTTATAGCATTTGCCTTGAGTACCTTCCTAAAACATATGTATATCACCAAACACTTTCTGCCCTATTACCTATACTGCATGTGGCTCAATATCCTTCTATACCGTTAAAAGCCCCCAAGTAATTGGTTCACTCCAGCATGTCAAGCTGTTTCAATAAATAAATATATGTTAGTACATGGAGACTGAGAATACATTCAACTGGATACCTAATTTCTTGCGCAAGGCTCGATTTAACGCAGAGCCATTTTATTCAAAGCACACTGAACAGCATAGATCGGACTGAGGAAGGGCTTAAATCGAGCTAGATCAATGCATATACACCACTTACCGCTTGCGGACAGTAACCCAGACCAATAAATCACATGGCAGATGGAATAAAGTAAACTTCCTCGTATATGCTTACATACGATAGGTTAGGCATATATTTCCCCGTAGCCTATGACCAGGCAACAATTCCTCTCGCGGGAATTCGGACATCCAATGAAAAGAATAAGAGCAGCCAAGCCGGATTGTTTTAATGGCTCTATCTCGCTATGTCTCTCCGATCACGACTCAAAGCCAAGAATGTCTCAGATCAAGACCAAGATACGAAGATGGGATAATCGGTAGTTGGAGGCCTTATTCCATTTGGATACGGCCTTGTCACACCCACGTGGGCCAGTCGTTCATTGCCATTGTTACAGAGAAGCAGGAACGTAGGCTGAAGGGATTACGACGAGTCGAATATCCGAGTAAGTAATGCTCGACAGGGTTAGTGTAGGAATTACGAGGTAAGACGCTGTATTTGTCTTGAATAAAATGTTCAATTTCTGATGATTAAGATAATGATAAAGGGAAGATCTAGATATACAAGAAAACCCTATTTTATATCTTATGATCTTGCTAGGGGGCCTATTTAATTCAGGAGGTCTCTGGTAAATTACTGCGGATAATCTTATTTTAGCGGGAATATTCCGGTATATTTATTTAGAATACCAGGAATTCCCACACACCCCCTTAAAATGACGGTTATCTTAAAGCTAAAGTATTTTATCTAGATATTTTTATTTAGCTATAATTATTTAATATCTATTAATTTGGCGTGCTATTTAAATTTAATATATAAAAGTATTTTTATTAATATATCTATGATTATTCTATCTGTAATTAAGTATTAAAGTTTAATATTACTATACTAAATCATCTCGCGAATCCAGTAGGTTTAAATATTAATATATTTATTTTAGGTATATATCTAGGTATTTTTTATAAGTTTTAAAGCGGGTTCTAAATTAGTATAAATAATTATTAGCCTTATATTATTAAAACTAATTAATTTAAATATTTAAATAATCTAAATTACTTCTCTGTCTGCTATATTAATTATAATATATTTAGTTTTATAAATAAATAAACTTATTATAATCTGCAGCTTTAAGGTCCAGGAAATAAATCTACTAGCTAATATAAAAATAAAACTAGTAATAGATTTCTGTATATTAAGATTACTAGCGAAATCTATATTTATATATTTTTTTATTATTTTTAATTATTCTATTATTTCTGCTTCTTTATCTTTAATTTATAAGCGGAAAACAATACTATAATTAATTATTAATTAAAAGAATTAGAGGAGGTAAATTAAATCTTTTATATATAAGTTATTAGGATTTAAAGCGAATTATATAAGTTATCTGGTTTTAAATAAGGTATTAGGGTGAGTCTATAAAATAATATATATAATTAAATTAAATAACTTCTGATATTACTTTAGAAGGTTGAAATTTGGTTTTTTTATAGTTAATTTAATTAATTTAATATTTTTGCAGGCTAGAATAAATAAGGTTTTATTTAAATCGCGGTCGAAGTTGTCAAAAACGCGCTATATATATATAGATTAAATTAATTTAAGTATTTTTTTTATTTTTTTTATTTTTATTTTTAGATAATAGGCAGCTTCCTAAAAATAAGTACTGTTAAAAATATCTTAAATAGTTACTATTATTTCTTTGACAGTTTTATAGTTACCAGCTATTAAAATATTATTAATATAAATAATTAAAAAGGTCCTATTTATATTAGTAAAGAGATATTTATTTATAAAGATTGGGAAAAAGCCTATTTTAGCTAAATTATATTATAAAGTGAGATACCACACCCGCGCGGCTTGTTTTAAACTATAGAATAGTTAAAGTAATTAATAAATATATCTAAAATTATTTTTAAATCCTTTTAGCTATTTTATATAAATAGTCTTATTATTAAAGAAATTGTTTTATAAAAATATAAGTAAAATATCTCCTTAAAAGCATTTAAGGTTTATAGCTATTATTAAAATAAAAAATAATTAAATAGTTACTAGGCGCGCTATAGGCAAAAAAATATCCTAAAAATTAACTTTATATTATTATATAAAATCTTAGGTAACCTATTTAGCTTTAAAATATAAAATTTAATTATTAATATTTAATTTTAGTTTATAAATCTAATAACCGCGAAATATTTTACAGCCAGAGGGTAAATCTATAAGTTTCTATAATTCTTATTTAATTAGGCTATTAAATTCTGATTTTATAGTTTTTTATTATTTATTTTTATATAGAGAGGCAACAGCTTTATTAAATAAAGAAGGTTTAATTATTTTATTATAATTTCTGTGATAATTACTAGTTAAGAGAATACTATTATAAAAAAGGTGGGTAGTTAGCAGCTAGTCTACCACTAGTAACTTAAAGATAAAAAAAAAGATATAGTCTGTAAGTATTAGCTTAAGAAAGAGATGTTAAATAAACTTATTTTTAAAATTATTATTTAATTTAATTTTATAGGGGTTTTAAGATAATAAATTAATTAGTAAAGGCACTTTTTAATTCTTATAATTATTATTAAGTATTTTGTATAAGTCTAGGTCTGATCTTTTATTAAATTATATATTATAAACTTGCTTTAACTCCTTTGTTAAAGGGATCTAAATAATATATTACTTGTCTAAAGATATATATCTAATAAGTTTTATATTAAATATTCTAAAGTTTATTTTTGTTATTTTTTTATAAGACTAGATCTTAGGGGGAATAATAATTATAATTTTATAATTAATAATTCTTAATTTTTTAATATTAGGCCTCTAATTATTTCTGATTTTATATAAAATTAATTTTTTATTATGAACAGGCGAGATATTATAAATAAAAGTAACTATTTTTATTATTTCAGCCTATAAATAACAGGATAAATTATTATTAATTAAAATAGCGCGGACCTTTATAAGAATAGTCTTTAAAAGATACTTAATAGGTGAATTCTGGCTATAAATATACACAGAGATGAATTCTTACTTAATCTTTTATTTTTTTATTTACTTTAATATTTTGTAATTAGCAAATTCCTTGCTATTATTAGAATAAAAGTGTTAAATTAGGTATTCTGTGGTTTTTTCAGAATTAGTATATGCCTGAATTACTAAACATACTTAATCCTTTATCTTTAAGAATCTAACTGAAGTAAATCTACTATACTAATTATAGAATAAGATCTAATACTTTATTTTATTTTTATAAGCAGGTAGTATATTAAAATAACTATCTCTTAAATCTATAAAGACATAATCTCTATACTTTTTTGCAGGGGTTATTACTTCTTATTTATTTTTTATTATTATTAAAGCCTTCTGGTAGAGCTTACAGGCATGTTTTAGTATAATAAGGCTTTTAATATCTAATCTGTTAATTATTTTATTTAAATATTTTATATTTCTGATTAAAAAATAAGTAAGTTAATAGTATTATGTTCTGAAGTTAATATATATTTTTTTTATTATTTAAATATAGTAAGGTTTTAATTAATAATTCGCGTGCTAAATTTTAACTATTTCTTTTATAAGAGGGATCTTGTTTTGCTAAAATAAAATCTGATTTGAATTATAATTTTTAGCTAATTTTATAATATAAATATCTTTTTAAATATCTCTGTATTTAATAACTAATTTATTTAATATTTTTATAAAAATAACTTTATTTAGGAGAAAATTAATACTAAAACTTTTCTAGTTTATTTTAATAATTTCTACTAGGTTAACTCTTATCTCTGGGAGATAAAGAATATTAATAAAAATTATTTTCTGGATTTTTATAAGATATTAAAGAAGTAATTTAATATTTCTAGTAAGTATTAAATAAGTTAAATAATCTATTACTATATAAATCCTACAGCAGAATAGCTGTGTGGTCTCTGTAATAAAGTTGCTGGGATTATTAATAAAATAGTAGGTTAATCCTAAATTAATAATTTAGTTATTTTAGCTTATATAATAGACCTTTTTAATATTAATTTTAATTATCTCTTTTCTGAATTACCAGGGCTACTTTTCTTAAAGATTATATAAATAATATTATTATTAAATAAAGTATTAAAAGACTTTATTTTTTTTCTTTACTATTTCTACTCTTTTAATTAATCTTT